TCGCCCGTGTCTCGCTCTCCCGCTCCCGCCCGTATCTCCCCAATCTCATCGAACCCTGTAGCCCCTGCCAGCTCGCCCCTCCAGGCGGCTTGCTCACTCTTAAACTGGTTAAGCCCCCCGACCGGTCCACCCCCTTGCTCCTTCTTAGCCCTGGTATTCTGCTTGACCCACACCTTCTTTCATATCAACCGAGAGTCTGCCGCTTTCTCGTTCATCTGACCCTCAGTCACTCCTTCTTGCAAACCCATCAGCCCTTTATCATCCTAGCCCGAAACAGAGAGTCGTGTGAGAGAACACCTGTGTAGACGTCATCCGGCTTCCTGGGTTTCCTTGACTGAGAGCTGGATCACTCTTATGCTGTGGTTCTGAACCTCGAGTCTCTGGCTTAACCGCTCCTCATATTGCCATACCTAGTCGGCCGAATCACTAACCTGCCTCTCGCCATCTCTGACAGTGTTGACGAACTAGGGACAATGGATCCGGAACTATTGAAATATTACCAGCAGCAATACTACCCGGGCATGGGCTTTGCTGGCCCACAACACACACAGCACCATGGGCCGCAGTATCAAGTCTGGAATCCGAATAGCTATCAATGGACGGTTCTTCAACAGCAGAGGGCAGCGATGATGGTGGGGCCAGGAAGCCTACACCCTTCAAAGCAAACAGAGCCCAAGCCTAGGTTGGCAAAGGATGAGGTCGAGCTGCTGGAACGAGAGTTTGCCAAGAACTCGAAGCCAAACACCAGTCTCAAACGTGAGCTGGCTGAACAGATGGGTGTTGAGGTTCCAAGGATTAATGTTTGTTCTCGCGAGATATAATTCCCCCGGTTGTGTCGTGAGCTAACATCGTCTGTTAGAATTGGTTCCAAAACCGACGAGCGAAGGAGAAGCAAATGAGGAAAACAGCCGAGTTTGAAGCACAACAAGCGAGAGAAAGAGCAGAGTCCGAATCCAAGCCCTCCGACGACCAGGACCAAGGCGCCGTCACCGAGTTTTATGGTCTAAGCAACCGCCATCAGCCCCTTGGCCTATCAACCGCTTCTATCGGAAACGAGGATGGCGCCAACAACGATCAGTCTGATCGGCAGCGTCCAAACCTCGAGCAGTCAGATCTGGTCTTGGCTGGAAATGCTTCGGCTACGCAAAGCAGTGCCTCCCCATCTGGATCGGATAGCGATGGGTTCGCTTCTGCTGATTACGACACGCCACACTCGTCCGGATCCCGTGGATATGGGCTTGTCAGCCTTGCTACACCAACAACCGTCTCGAATTCATATGGCTCAGCTTCGAATCATATGGCGTATCCACAGCCGGCCCCATTTCCGTATGGTCTGAATGAGCCACCACGACCGGTGGGTGGTCTTCCCGTAGCCACCATGCCACAGCATGATGGTCTACTTAGTGAAGCGAATCAGTTTGGCTCTTTCTCTGAGCGGAGCATGTTTATGCACCCTTCTGATGGGTCATTTTCATCGCAAATGGGAGGCCAGGATGGAACCGGAAACGGCACTGCTGAACATCCAACGGTACGCATGTCAATCGAGGGTGCGATCAACCCGGAAAACATGTCTCCTTCCTCGGGCACCGGTTCGTCTCCAGTGGTAGCGGACTTGCGCCTCAGGTCACCGCCTCCGCCTTCCGACATTGCCAGCCGCAGAAACCTGCGGCGTCCACCGCCGCTCGGGCCTCTGTCGCTTCGCACCGATTGCACTGGAAACGGACCGAAGACGGGTATCGACGTAGCGCCCCGACGGATAGAAAACGCACGCACGATTAGGAGGATCTCGTCGGCGACCGGAAGCTTAACGGGACGCATACAAAAGTCCATGACGCTGAACTCAGGAGGACCGCGCTCTCCGTTCACCATTGATCGAAAGAAGTCGGCCTTGCTACAGAGCATTCAGAGCGTCCAATCCCCAATCATGGCGTCTCTGAACAGCGCCATGTCCCCGATGACCAATGGTTCGGATGATGAGCAGGCGTATACCTTTGGCTCTCTTGGGGCGGTTAGTGAGATGTCCATGCCGCCATTCAAATCCGAAGCTGGCATCAAGACACCGCCTGGGACGCCCGGGTTAGGTGTTCACTTCCGTGATCCATTCGCGTACCCGGTCCCGGCTGACAACGCTTGGAATTACGTGTCTCCGGATGAGCCTCTACCCACCCCTGGCCTATGCAGCAATGGGGGCTCTGAGTTGGATTACTCCATGGCACCGCAGTTGTCTGGCTATGTTACCAGTCAGCCTGTAACTCCTTCATTTGCTCCCGCCATCGGACCGACTTATAACAACGTATTCGGAACCAACGGCGGAAGTCACCTGGCTAGAAATACCGAGTACACCTTCCCAGAGTCATACCGACCCGAGTCTTCATCACGGTGCTCGCCGGTTGGCCAGTTGAGGGCAAAACAACAATTCCAGTTTGCCCAAAACGTTACACCTCAAAACTTTAACAACCATGAAAAGTGAGGAAATGGCCGGACTGAGGCGCAGCTTGCTGGGCGTTTCCTTTCAGCTGTTTCGATCACACGTCTGGATTGGCAGACTCCTCTGATGAGCTGCTGGTATCCTCTCACGTGGGTTGACGTATGTTTTGAGATGCCGTCATCTCATTCTTGTGGTCCTCTTTGGGACACAATGTACCAACACTTCTTTTCGCAGCATCTTATCTTGGCCTCTCCACTGAGGCGTGAATAAGTTGAATGCCGACATTACGTCTCAAGAGGCTGCTCTCGAAGAGCAGGTGTCATTTGTCCAAGGCAGGACCGGCTTTGTTCCTCTCTGCATCGCTGATCTTCCTGGTATCGGAAGATGCCATTAGGTTGAAAACATGTGGAAGCGTACCCGCAAACCCGAATACCCGGGACCACGAATATGCAAACAACATCAACCGCTATGCATCCGCTAAGATAGGGCAAGGTCCAGAATCAGCAAAACAGCCAGAGAGAGATATGAGCGAAGAGGTGGGGAGAGGCAGGGTTTTCTTGTGTCAAAGTTTGGTGAAAAAGGAGTATTTGGATGCATTTATACGCTGGGTTAAGTCAAGGGCACATATATACACGACGGGTTTTCTTTCTTCTGGCGCTTGCCTGCGCTTCTTTGGGTTGGAAACATACGGAAATTGGGTTGGGCCACGGATACCCGCACGCAAAGGAACCTGGGAGGGGAGTAAAGGCAGGGAAAGGGGCCTGTGTTTTATGTCCGGTGTGGAATTTAATGCCTTGATAGCCCATTATGGGCTATGAAATACGGAAGTGGAAGGAGAGGGACAGTGCCTGGCTCTTTTGGCAGAACCCCTTGGTCCGTTCCGCCTTTCGCTCTGTATCATCTCTCTTTCGGTTACCCTTTTGTCACTGGACACGGGGGAACGGTATCAAGAGATGAACAATGGATGATGAAAGATATATTTGAGTATGAAAGAAAGAAAGATTTATCTCATACCATGGAGCACGGCGGTTTGACAGTTATGTGGCGATCCATTGTAAGGTCAAGTGAGGTTCAAATAAGGTTTGGAGGTTCCCGCCGGGGGTGTAAAGTGGCTACTTTACGGGGGCCGGTGGTCGATTACGATTTGCTGGATGGGTGGTCTTAACGTGTTCGAAGCATCCGGTTTAGGTATCATCCCGTTCGATGATCGACGTGAAGAAATCCTTGGGGAAAGTTATCAGTTCAAATATTGAAACATCATGGGGGAAAAAGGGGGGGGGAGGGTGACAAGGAAGTAACCTGGTGAGGATGCCCACCGAAGCTTCCCATTCCCACTAAACCATACCTGTGAACCATCTTCCTTTTTATGGTAATCATCATGACAGTCCACCGCCATGGGAAACCACAGCTCGTTCAAAACTGTCCTGTCGGAATTGGGGTGGGAAAGGGGTTTCAGAAACCCAGGTCAGTGGGGTTGGGGGGATCCATCTGAACCAAACTTCCTTTGATTTTCGTCATTAAGCATCTTTTCAGTTTTCAGCTCTTTCTGGGACTGATTCAGTCAGGCAGGGAGGGGCTTCGAGTTTAAAAGAGAGAGGAATTCGCGGCGGCTCCGGACCCGGGATCGGGATCGGGATCGGGATCGTCGAGCGGGGAAAAATGCGGTGGGATCCTCTTTTGACGACATCATATGTCGTTCGTTCGTTCGTCCGAAAAGAACGGGCGACAACACACGTGAAACCTAATCTTGACGACGGACCAACGGGACGTACCGAGAGGGGACGGGATGAACGGTTAATTTAAGCTTTTTTATTTATTTATTTATTTTTTTGTAACTTTCCTTCCGCTCCATCCGCTTTTTTCCATTTTTTAAGTTCCACGTTTTCCCACATTCCCCGCCGTTTCAATAGTTTCTGCTACTATTGAACTGTTTTTATCGGCGGATCGCGACGATCGTCATCGGTTCTTGCCGTTTGTGGTGTGGGGTTACCATTCAGCCGACTACCTATGCCGACCGGACGAACCTCCGGGAATGTCAGTGTCGCAATGCCGAACGTGCGTGCAGTGTGTGTGTGTGTTTCAAGTCGATTCGCAGCGCTCGATTGTCATGCCAAACATTCGTTGACTCGTCACGAGACTCGGGAAGGGAAGGGAACCGAACTGATTGAAGGCTTTTAGTGTGTCGATATGTACAAGTTGGTAGGTAGGTAGGTAGGTAGAAACATCCCGAACGATCCCCGGATTGGATGTAATTTGCACGCCAGACAGAGCATACCAAGATAGGTGCTATTAAAAATGGGGATGACACATCTATCTGCTAACAAAACTCACCCATTTAAATGTGTCGCTCCCATTTCTACTGAGTGGCACCTAACAGTTAGAGCATGCCAAAGAGAGCAAGCATGTCGGAGCATGTCAGGGCCTGAATGGCTCGAGATTGGCATGGCATGAATGGAATGAAAACGAAACTGGCATACCTACCTGGGTACCTCCGAACTTGTCGCTGAAACTGTGTTTGGGAAACTGCAGGCGCGATAAACGTTCCTTCCCATGCACGCACGTTGACTCGCAGCAGTTGTACGGTCCCGGTTGGTCGGTGTAGTTCTTCGTCCCGCCGTGAATCAACGGTTGATCATCCATCCATCCATCCATCCATCGCCCGGTGTACACAGACAGTGGTGTCATCCGTCTTTAAATAGTTGAAACGTTCGTTTCGTTTCGTTTGTTCCCTTCCTTGTGTTCATCGGTTAAAATGCCAATACCCACCCACCCACACCTCGTGTACATCAGGTCGTACACCAGGCAGGCCAACCTCACCCCCACAGACAACAGACAGGTATTATGCCAGCAGAAAAAAATGAAGAAAGAATGAAGAAAAAATACAAAGTCATCAATCACTAGCATGCCCCGGCCCCCCTTTATATCTACCACCCACCCAGCACCCACCCGCCGCACATCACGTCTTGGCAATACATACTTATTCCCGAACTCCCTCCTTCCTTACATAACACCCGGAACTATACATGAAACAGCCCAAGGGGCCCGTTCGGGTCGAAGGGGCGTCGAAGGGGCGGGCGGTGTGTGGCGAGGGCCCGTTCGGCTCAGGTTACTGTTCCGTCTAGTCCGTCTGTCTTTATCCGAACCGAACCGAACCGTCGAACCGTAGTACGTTAGTTCAGATCTAGGATCTAGGTAGGGTTCGTCACAGATATACTATGTAGATTGAGTGAGTGCCGAACGAGTCGGGCGGGTACCGAACGTACCGTACCGTACCGTAGCAAGCTTGCGTGATATAGTACCTACCGGTCCCGTTCGGCTGGTTGTAAGTAACACCTTGGTTGGGGCTTTCCTATAATCTATGAATGCCGTACCACAAATGCCGTGTAATAAAGTGACGGGAACATGCGGACCGGGAAACTATCTACCGAATGAATAGAAGTCGAACGAACCCTGCAGGGTACGAAATCTAGATGAAGGGCATAGTAGTAGGTGTTGACATCCATGTTAAGTGGCGAACGGGAAGATAGATTACTTTTGCATAGTAGTAGGAGTAGTAGTAGTCACCAGTCGTCACGCTACCTGCGGAACTGCCGTCGTGGTTGATGACCAACAGGGAAACCATAAGTGGTCGAAGAAAAGATATTACATGTGTTTTTCTATGCTTGCTTGCTTGGTGACATTTTGGATAATCGTCAAGTGACTGTCCACCAGCGCTCGCTTGCCTGATTACCCCTTCCCTTCGTACCACACACACACTTTCAAAATCGACCTGGTTCATAGAACATCTTCTTTGCCCACCCATCCATTTCACAAACGTTATTCGGCCATTCACTCAAACCATGCTGAAAACACGCACGTACAAGCAACCTCCGTCCCAGCAGCTTACCCCTCCTGTAATCCTATCCTATACACGAATTATCGAATGCCTCCTCCGTAGTAGTAGAAAAAACTCCAATTTGCATCTTTTTGCCCGTCCTTTGAGTTTTTGTTACCCTTCCCTGACTGACTGACTGATTTCCTCCGTCCTGCTCCCTACAACCACCACGAAGCAGCGTTGCTGACCCAGCCAGCCCCTTCAACCAAAGGGCTGCTTGCTTGCTCCACTATATTCTCCTCTTGCCTCATCAACCTCGTCGAAAATTCCACAGCCCTTCTGAGTGGTGTCTCGCTCTCTCTCTCTCATCACCAAATGAATATAGATAGCTAAGGGGGTATCGATCGTATCCGCGCATGCGCCGTTCGAAAAAGGATGAAATGTTTGTTGTTGCTTGTTGTGTTACAAAAGAAAGACTCGCATTTCAGAAATCATCAGTACATTCCATCGCCAGGAAAGCTGCTCCGTGAAGAATTTGCCGGGTTGAGCGCGCCTTGACTCGTCGTCGAACCTGCGTCGCTACTAGGGGTGGCAGGCTCGACAACTCTGTTCCTGATGGTCATGATCCATTCATGCTGCAACAGCTCCATGGCGGTTGCGCGCTTGGTGGAATCCCGCATGAAACAGCGTCTCAGAAAATCGATGCCCTCAGGGCTGAGCTGGTCTTGACTGGGCAGCTGGGGCGGGTTTCCTTGGGCAATGTTGTACATGATAGCCCACTCGTTGTCCAGGTTCGCCCATGGCCTTCGGCCAGTCGCCATCTCAAGGATGACACAGCCGAGAGACCAGACGTCAACCGCTCCAAAGTGACCGGGATTCTCACCCTTGATCACTTCGGGCGACATGTACATGGGCGTGCCTGTCATCGACTTGTTGGGCTTGGTGCTGGTGAGGTCTTGTACTAACGTCCGTCCCTGGCGGGCGATGAGTTTGGCCGCACCAAAATCGACATACTTGATTATGCCGTTATGGTCGAGGAGGATATCTGTTAACACGCAGTTAGTACAGAGCAACTAAGCATTTAGGGGGAAAGCAAACTTACTCTCTGGTTTGATATCGCGGTGAGCAATCTTCAGCTCGTGAAGGTACGCAAGACCTTCAAGAAGTTGCAACGCGTAAACCATGATAACCTGTTCGTCCTCGATTCTGCCATGCTCCAACAAATTGGCAAGAGAGCCTCCGGAACAGAACTCCATGAACATGTACACGCGGTCTCGATGGACCTCGATACCGTAGTAAGAAACAACGTTGGGGTGGTCGACCGTCTCCAGAACCCGCATTTCATCCCTGATCTGACCAGCAATAGTGGGGATCAGTTTAGGATCTTGCAGGCGAATCTCCTTCACGGCCATCAGCTGGCCGGTATCAAGGTTCACAGCCGCGTACACGTTGCCGAAAGTTCCACCGCCCACAAAGTGACCTTGCTGCCATCTCATGGTGAAGTTGGTCGCTGTGGAGGAGAGCCATGCAAGCGACCGATCCACCTCGTTGGAAGCTTCCAGGACTCTGCCCATGGCAGATTGTTGCAGCAGGATCTCCTTTCTGTAGTTGTCGACTCTTGCCAACTCTTCGAGGCGATGATCTTGGTAGTACTTGGCTGCTTCGTTGTCATCCAACATTTGACCTTTGTTCAGGCGCTTGATCTGGTTGACGAGGCCCTCCAAGCGCTGCTTCTCCGCCTGGGCGGCCACGCTGGATCTGGCACCCATGATGTCGAAGTGAGATATCAGAAGCGCCATGCACCCGGCAACCTTGGCCCTCAATCTCGCATACTCGTCATCTCCGAGGGCGAGAATGTGTCTTCCACGCGTCATTCCCATGGCAAACTCCAGGGCCTGCACGGCCCAGCGGAAGGTTTTCCGATCCGAGGAGATGCAGTCGTCACAGATGAAGCTCACCCAGTCCAAAGCAAGCTTGGTGAGTTTCAGGTTATTCATCGTGCGTCGGTTGTTGTCCATGTACAGCAAAGACCGCTGGCCGAACTCGGTTGCGAAGATGAAGCATGTCTGGATTAATTCTTGGCAATTGAGACCCCGTGTTTGTCGTCGGATGGCTTCCACACTGTCCATGAAAGCGTTCGAGAGCTTGAAGGCAACCTTGCGGATCTCCATGAGCCTGATGTTGACCTTTTGCAGGTTTGACCTCTGCTCTACCACTGGGTCGACCTGCATATCAATCCTGTCGATGAAGGTCTTGCGCGCATTCAACAGTCTGGGTTGGCAGCCGCCGGCAATAAGTCGCATGTGCCCCAACTTGATGTCCAGAGGCTCATTGCGGACTCTGAGGGTATGGATTGGCCCGAACCACTGTGGTGGATCTTCGGCTTTGATGATGAGAAGGTAGGGATCAGATGGGTCCTCCATAGCGGCCTCATATGAGAAAGTGCCCATCAGCACTTGGATCTCATCGTCGCGATTATGAAGTGTCGGGGAGGCAATGATGAGTATGTCTTTGTGTTCAGGACTGCTACTGTAAACTTGGAAATGGCCCGTTTCTATCAGGCGGTCGTACAATTGCTGGAGCATTTGAGGACCAAAAGCGATAGTGTAATCGCATGCATTCTCATAGTTGTCGCTCAACATCCTGGAGAAACGCTGCAGCATTCGCTGCCGAACTCGAACCGAGTCTAGGATCTGTTTATATCGCTTAGTCATCTCAGCCACGCTTTCTTTTGGCCTTCGTTGAACCTCCTTTTCAAAAGTTTGGCTCAGTCGGTTCCAGGCCTTGTAGGTTAGAGAACTGAACTGTTCCGCGACTTCCACATCGCCGTGTGTCAAGTAACGCCCGATTTCGTTTCCGAAACCCCACTCTTGGAATAGCAGTTCGGCCTCCTTGAAGGTGTTCTTGTTGCCGCTGAGCTTCCAGTTCAACAGTTTGAAATAGTACTTGAGAGCATCCAGGATGACACGGTCGAAATCCTCGTCGATACATGGAGGCAAGTCCCAACCAGGCTCCGGTCGAGCGATTTCCAGGTACTCGCACTTGATCTTGATGGCGAGCTTCAGAAGAACCTGGAACTGCGAGATCATTTGATCTTGCATCATGGGGTTTTGTTGTGCTGAGTCCTTCATCTTCTTGGCATAAGCAAGCCGCATCTTGATGATCTCCTCAATGAGGCGGGAAGGGAAACTGATGAGGGTGAGCAGCTCCTCGATGTAAGGCGGGAGATGGCGCTTCTGGAAGGCTTCGGCATTTTCGATAAGTGTGTCCTTGGCCTTGGTAATGACGCGAGAGATGCCGTCGAGTCTGCTCTTCTTCTTTAGGCTTTTCGGTTCCGAGCCATTGTCTTCGTGCAGTGACTTGAGACCCTCCTCCTTCATGAGACGATCCAGGAAGGATGATTCATCGCTGAGACCGTTCCCGCTGGGCGACTTTTCCTTGGTGCGGGAGAAGTCGAGAGCATCGTTGCCGACCCACTTTTTCAGGATCGACAGCTCCGTGTTGATCATCTCATTGACGTTGTACCATGATATCACTGCGTCGCAGGTCTCCTGATAGGCGGAATAAACACCAGGCTTGAGGGCGGTCATGAGTTCCCTACTGGACGGATAGAGGCTCTCGATTTTTTCGATTTTGTTAACCACATCGCGAACCTGCTCAAATGGCGGCTTCCCTGCCTCGCTCTCTCCAGCAATCGCAAAGTTGACAATGTCGTTGATGGATCGGTCCAGCGCTGCACGGGCGTCTTCGACAACCCTTTTCTGGACTGGCAGATGTCTACCACATAACCTTGCCCGAATCCCAAGCCAGAGCTCTACATTGTGGGCTGACTTTGCAAAGTCCTCGTCATTGGAGCCGATGAGACGTTTCTTCTCTTGCCTCACAACATCACCGGTGAGCACAGCCTGCAGCATGCCGTGCCATTCTAGTCTCTCGCGGCTCTCGGGGTCTTTTATGTCTTCCTCGGTAATCTGAATGTCCTCGTTATTAACGAACATGATATGCGCATCATCGTAGCTGTCGAACGGGCCTTCGGAAGATGGTGTCTCGCCTTCGGAATCCGAATCGTACTGCTCACCGGAGCCGTAAGCGTCGAAGTAGTCGCTGTTGTAGTCCTGTTGACGTAATCTGCGCACATACTCTCTCTCCTGGGCCCGGAAGGTTGAGGTGCCGACCAAGGGGCGTGGCCTGGAGCCATCGCGGGCATGGGGACCGTTGGCCATGTAGGACGAAGGCGGGCCTTGTGGGGGCCTGCGCTGGTTGTAGGGCTGATATGTGTTGGAAGGCGTCCTGGCAGGGGCGGTGGGGCGCTGTGGTCGCGACGGAGTGCCATTGGCATAGGTCTCGGAGCTAGCACCGCGGCGACTGCTTGATCCATTGGTCAGGGGCAGGGAGCTGGTCAGGGACCCGGGCACCAGCGAAGGCACCGAGCCAGAATGACTGTCGACATATCGACTTAGAGAACCCAGCTCGTCAATCTGCTCTCGGACGTGGTGATCATCGTGGGCGTCCGTTGAGGAAATGGACAGATCCGAGTCATTGGTATGGGGAATCGGTCGGGACACGGTCTTGGGCCGGGCAATCGGGTCGTCGTCCGTCTGCGAGAAGCGCACAGCACGGGGAGAAAGCTCACTGGCCATTTTTAATGAGAAGAGGTTGGATCGTCAATCGTCAGCGGGATGGTCGTCGACGGTTCACCGCCCGATGCGATACGAGGCCGTCCGTCCGGAGAGGTCGGTCGCGGTCGCGGTCGCGGTCGATGGCGGTGTCGATGTCAATTTCGGAAGACCGGTTTCACTCAGTGGCTGCGTGTGCTGTGTGCGTGTGTGTATGCGTCGCGTGTTCGGCGTGCTCGTTAAAAAGGATGATGGTCGTCGGGGTCGTCGTCTGCCTTCGGTGGGAGTCGTTGTCGATGTCGATGTCAAGGTCAAGGAATGTATGTCTGTCTCGCTGAAGAGGCTACAGCAAAATCACCCACTGCTTGGGGAAACAAAGCTGACACCAGGGCCCTGCCTGTCCATGGGGTGCAAGCCAGAAATGAGGGGAGGGCCGTCAGAGATCGATCAATTGATCAGAGGCGGCGTAAATAATGGAAAACGGCTGTATCCAGTGTTTCGGGTTCGAAGATTGTCGCGGCCTGTGGCCCTAGTGGCGACGGAAAAGGGGGAGTCCTTGCGTCGGGATGAATGCAGCGATGCAGCGATGTTTCCCGAGCCGCCTTTTTCAGTTGGGACCTTTAGGTAAGGTCGGGGTTAGGTCAGGTAGGTACCTCTACAGTACCACCAGTCCGACCTAGTCCAGTTCGGTCCGTGCCAGGGGCACCGCAGTGCGGAGGTAAGGAGCAGTTATCAGGCGGTCTGTACTGTGAGGTAGCACCGGTCCCACCATAGAAAAACAATGGGTGCGGTCGGACAGCAGTACACAAAGAGAGAAGAGAAAGAAGGTGGAGAGAGGTTGGATTCAAACGCCGGTTGAAAGTCCTACTTTGCAGTGCAGGTGCCAGTAGGGGGCAGCCTAGAGGTCGGGTAGGTACTTACTAACCGGATGGACCTTCCACTCCTCAAGCTGCATCTTAATAATCCGGGGTGGGTCCGACGGCACTAACGAGCCCACAGTAGCAGCACCCCAACGGTGACCAACCAGAATCTCTCATTTCAAACTCAAATGGGGAGAAACTGGGGACAGGTTGGAGGTTGGCCGAGTCTTTGTGTTAGTGCTTCTGTCTTGGCTGCTTCTTGGCTCTATCACTCCAACTCGCGGTGGAACTCTCTTTTGCAGCCTTGACTTTGTTCGCGAACACCTGCAGCATCGTGACTACCGTATCACCCGCCGCCTCGCTTTCTGGGCAAGAGCGGGAATGACATTGGCAAAAGACTGGGTTGACTGGGGGTGATGCGGTTGGTAGCCAGTCACTGCCAGTCCCGGTCGCGCAAAAAGCAAGACACCTGCACGTGCTTGCGCGAGCCAGTGGCAGTTGATGGTCGACGTTGAAGTGCCCTGAGTGCCAGTGCTTGTTTGGGGCTGTTCACGCGGGATTCGCACGGGTAGAACGGGACGGCATAAGGCTTTGATCAACCTCCACTTTCAGAGCCAGTTGAGGGATCTCTCTAGAGCGCCCAAGATCTCAATTCTGTAGGGGGATCGGACATTGAACGCGGCCGACATGATCGATCGGGAATTGCCACCGCGCACTTGACCACAACATCGTGATGGAATCGAACCATCTAGACCATCTTGCCATCGTATCTGCCTGGGAGATTCGGAGGATGGGAATTGTTAATTGCCGTACCAGATATAAGCATTTGGCCGGCTATCTCCCCGTCCGACCTGCGATTGGATCGAAGCTCTGCTGTCTGACAGTCGGACAACTTGAACTCCAGCTTCTGCTAAGCCACACGAAATTGCGGGGCGCGCCGCAGTCTTGCTCAGGTTTCAACTGAACCAATCAATGTGATCATCTCAACACGGAGAATTACTGCGTACATGTGGCGCGAGCTTGGGCCACATCCGCCTTAGCAGCGCACAGCTATGACGCTTTGGCAGTTAAGCGCGACGCGTAGTTTAATTGGAAAATTCACCATTGCGCGTCGAGCGCGACCTGACCATCAAGGCGGGACAATAGCAACAAAAACAGACACAGCTTTATTCGATTCCCACGGATTCCGCACCCATTGAGCCTAATCCAAGTCGCCATGTCCATCCTCAAAACGAGTTAACAAACAACAACATTAATGGCGAACATATTTAACATATCGATATGTCCTCTTCGCTTAGACGCACTTCTGGCGCGTCACGTCCAACGTCATCAAGATCTATATCTGCACCGACGCCATCCTTAACGGCCGCAACAGGACTACCGTTTCCAGCACTACCTGCATCGCCTGTAAAACAACTTTCGCCTACAAGACAGAGTCAGGCTTCCTCTGATGACAGGAAGCGCAAGAGGGAGCCAACTGGCTTCTCTCAAGCGGGAGATGGCCTTCTGAAGGCCTCCGTTGTGCTCAAGGTATGTTTGCGCCATTCTTCTTGTGACTGCAAGTAACTGACCGTCTGTTGTCTTCCTAGCCACATCCCTCCAGTCTAACCGACAAGCCGCGCATTCTATCCCCCTTGATGCTTCTTCCACGAGAACACTTGCCTCTGTCCGCCCTCGACCTTTCCCAACCGCAGGGCGATTTCCCTCCCAGTCGCTTCTACGAATCGCGTATTAAGATCTTGGACCTTGAAGGTCGATTGGGCTCAAACATACTTCTTGCCCGATCTGAGGCTAATCGCATGCTGTATGCGATTGAGCGGGAAAGCGATGGTTTATACATTCTATGCAAGCTTGGGTCGTGGGTTGACGTTGATGTTCTGGCCCAGTCCGCAACGGTCGTGTCGAGCCAACGGATGAAAAGTTGCAAGCCATCCCAGCTGGAGGTTGCCGCCCCAGGGCCCCTCATCACACCACAAATGTACAAGGAGACGAAGCGTCGAAAGCTTGCGATAGAGGAGATCCAGTCGTCGCTCATTCGAAAGCGATCCAACACGACAACTACTGAGCTGTCTCAGCTGCCTACACCAATATCAGGGAGTCCTGATCAATCGCTCGCGGAACCAGCCGAGGTACCGACAGTGTTGAACAAACCCGATCTGCCAGCTGCTCTTCCACATCCTGCCGAAGACGTATTGTCGCAACCAACCGCCGAAGGGATTTTCCAAAACATCAGGATGCAATATTTTGAAGCTCTATATCATTCAAAGGGATCATTGGCGTATTTTGCAAAGGGGCCGCTCTCTAGGGCACGAGCGGCTTTCCACTTAGACTGCGACTTGAACCTCGAAATGAGCCATCTCATTGACTTTCTGAGAAGTCTTGTTATGACGACAGCTTTGATAGACAAGAAGTATCGGGAGACTCTCCCCGAAGTTATCGGCAAAATGAAGACCATTGTGGAGGATTCCGAGCAAGCGCGTTCACGGTTGAAGCCCAGAAAGAAGAGGGTCAAAAAACCAAAGCTTGGCAAGGATGGACTTTATCCGTCGGAAGAAGAGCATATCGAGCGATGGTGGGTGACGCACAAGCCGAGTACTATACAAGACGATGAGAAAATGGTGGCGGCGACAGAGGCCAAACACCACATCTCGGCTCTACGGCGTCGGGAGACTCAGTTGCAGATGATCATAATACTCGAGATACTGGCTCTCGAGCCTCTGAACAGACCGGTAGAAGCTGCAGAGGACAGCCAATTGCCGGGCTTGGATACGCAAGAACCGATCAAACCAGAAGGAAACAAAAAGAAGAACAAGACGGCCAACTTAGCGCTGTTGCTGGATATGCATGCTGATCGTCTCTGCATTTGGCAGAGCACAACTCTAGACGAAGTCAAGGCTTTGACAGAATCACAGCCTTCTGCTGGGGAACAAGAGGCGTCAGCAGAGAATAATAATTCAGATCCTTTGCGAGATTTCTGTGTCGACATCATCGTCCCCTTGTAAGTCATGACCCATTTCCGTCGGAATAACTCGGATGCTGATTAAACCACGACAGTTTCTCTGCTCGTCTACCGGAGCTTTGCGACTCCATCAACCGCAAGCTAGGCGGTCCGGTGATACAAGCCCCCAAAGAAAAGGCGAAAACAGTCGCAGCATCCAAGCCAAAGCCTGGGGCCCCTGCGAAACGAGTAACAGCTACCAAAAAGGAGAATGAAAGAACTCTACAGCGTGTGCTCTCCAATGAGCGCATGAGACGAAGTGTCTCAAGGGGTCCATCTGGGACGATCGCACTGCTGCGCTCGGCAAGTGCCACTGCCATCCCGGGCCTGAAAAGAGAGGGCAGTGAGCCCCTGTTGGGAATGATACCCAAGAGCGAGGCTGTAGCGGTTAAAGAGAAGAACATTTCCATCTTCTCGCGGAGCGCTGGGTCTTTGGCAAACAATGAAGACGCCAAGGCGAAAAAGAAGGCTCGTCTCGAGGCCGAGCTCAAGGAGGCCATTTCTGCGCTTAAAAAGCCAAACCGGGCCTTGGCTGGTAAAGAGATTGTAGAGGAGGCTGAGAGACGTACAGCTCAGCCAAAGAGTAGTAAGTAATCTCTCGATACCCGTCATTATGGAGCAGGACTAACACCCTGCCAGAGCTTAACAAAAAGCAACCAAGAGCCGCCGGCGTGCAAATCAAGGCCACTCCCGCGAACAATCGATTCAAGGACGTATTCGCCAAAGAATCACAGCCTCTACATCTGGATCATCTCTTCGAAGAGGACGACGGTCCCGCCATACCGTCTAGCGCCTCAGTAGTCCCTGCGTCTACTTTACCCCGCAAGTTCACCAACGTGTTTGCCACTTCCACCACCCCCAACATCGGCGCCAACAACCCATCTTCTCAAGGAGGGAATGAAGCCGGCGGACAGCTCCCACCGCGCAAGCAGCAAGTGCAAGAGACTCCTCTAAGGAAAAAGTCCGTCCCACATCTCTCGCTCCCTCAAATCGACGAGGAGGAAGTCGAGGAGGAGGCGACCCCGGTACCGCCGCCCAAGACCGTGAACGTACACGTTCAAGCAACAACACCAATGCGCAAACAGCGATTTACACAGCAGCAACAACTACCAGTACCTCGACCCTCCGAGAGTCATCATCTCCAGGTACAACAAGCAAGAACCCCTCAACGAAAGCGAGGAGCTATTCAGGGAACTCCTATTATGCGAAATCGGAAATCCCTACAACAATCACTACTGCCCCAGATCGTGGAGGAGGAAGACGTCGATCCCCTAACCCACAGCACCATCCCTTCGTCCTCTCCGATCTTTTTTGCAAAAAGGTCGACGATTATTACGCCCCCGTTGTTTAATAGGGCCGCAAAGCAGCAGCAGCAGCAGCAACACCTAGTCCCTCCAACACCCCTCGGCAACCGCTCCGGTAATAAAGGAGCAGCAGCAGATTTCCTCCCATCCTCCCCTGGGTTTGCCTTCATCGAGACCCCGCTGAACAACAACACAAAGACGGCGGCCAAGTCGACGAGTAGTACCAACGCCGCCGAAGGAGTTGTTGTTGATGATACCCCGATTAAATCTAGGCTTCCGACGAGTGCTTTTACCTCCACCACGACGGTGGGGGGTGGTGGTGAGAATAACCGCCCTTTCAGTAGCAGCAGCAGCAGCAGTAGTCGTCGCAGTAGCAATGGTATGGGTAGAGGAGTAGGAGGAGGAGGAGTTACCAAAATCAAGAAAGAGAAGGAGGACACATCATCGCCGGTCGTCAGCATATACCAGCGCTTGGGCTGGGATGATACAGATGATGATTTGGCATAATTCTGGGGGACTTTATGTTGTTGGGCGTCCGTTGTTCATGGATGGCATTTATATATATACCCATACCCATACCCATACCCATACCCATACCCAATAAGGCATTTGCATACATTCAGAAAGTTTCAGCGGTTAGGAATCAGAAGAGAAGGTCGAATAGGTAGCTGCATCAGTTAGGGCTGCACGGAGATAGATGATACATATGAGAATAGATGAATATCAAACATCTTGCTTTCATGGCATCTTGATTTGTTATGTTCATGTCGTTTCTAGGTAGGTAGAGCCATATTATTCTCGAACCCATTTTCCCCTGGGCTCCCCGCAGACAAGAACGGCGGTATATATATAAAATGGATGATGGGCCTCACTCAGGGTATCATCTTTTCTCCACCCCTCTCTCCCCTCATTTCCTATCCTTTTTCTTGTCCCCTCTACCCCTGACTTCATGAAGTGACTAGACTAATCACTATCATCATCAAGCGCCTCATCCTCATCAGGCGGTCCCGCCCTCTCCTCCTCATCATCCTCCTCCTCCTCTTCTCCTTCTTGCTGCCCATCCTCCTCCTCCTCATCTTCCTCCTCCTCTTCCGCCTCCTCCTCCTCCTCCTCCTCCTCATCCTCATCATCCACCTCTTCATCCGGCACCGTCTCCGCATCCGACGGATCTTGTTCTTCTCCGTCTACTTCCATTTTTGTTGACGACGTGTCCACCTTCGCCTTCTTGGCCGACCGAGGTCCTCCTCCTTCTCTGTCTGTTGTCGATGTCGCTCCTGCTGCGCCGGACGCAGCAGCGGAGAACTGGTTTTGGTTTTGGTTGTTGTCGTTGTCGGCTTGATCATTTGCTTCTCCTCCTTCTGGTTTATCGTCGCCGTCACCGCCGGCTGCGCTGCCAGGACCGCCGGCACCGGAAACGGAACCGGAACCGCCGCCACCGGCCTTTTTGGCTGCGGCTACCTTTTTGCGGTAGACTGATCGTTTGGAGGTTTGGATTTCGTTGAATTCTGTTTTTTGTTTGTGTGGGTGGTTAGTGCGTGTTTTTCAGGAACAGATACGCTATGTGCTGTGCTGTGCTGGTTTCCTGAACTGGAAAATGGCTGGGGAACATGGCGAAGGAAGGGGAAAGATGAGGGACAACGAAGGTTGTTGGATGGATGGATGATGTAAAACGTACTCGCAAACTCAGCCTCCAACTTCTCCCGCATGAACCCGTACTCGATCTCGTCTAGGGCTTTGAACACGTCCGCCGGCATGATGGTCTTCTTTCCTGATGACACGGTATGTTCGTTTGCACTAGTTTTTCAGGGTCAGAGTCAGTGGAAGCATAGGTAGGGTAAAAACAAATGAAAGACATACGCATTAGCCAAATGACTGATAAAAACCGTCGCGCTCTTGGTCATGGCCAAAATCGCATTCGCCTGTATCTGCGTATTCGACGGCAACACCCCCTTGGCAAGACGGGTGATGATCGATTTCGGAAGCGTGAGGTCTTCGATTGTGATGGCGTCGCGCTCCTTTTCCCTTTCCCTTTCCCGTTCCCGCTCCTTTTCCCGTTCCAACTTGTCCTTCTCTGATCCCCCTCCTCCTCCTCCTCCCCGCTTAGACTCTGATGGTGATGTTGGTCCTACTCCTCCTCCTCCTGTTGCTGATCCCGTGGTTGACGAGGCGCGGCCGGCAGCGGCAGAAGGTGCTGGGGTGGATTGCTTTTCAGATGTTGTGGGTAGTACAGGTGGAAGAGGTTCATCCCGCTCGATGGCGGCCGCGGCGAGGGCGGAGGCTGGGTTGGCGGAGAGAATTGGTTCGCCTGTGGCCATTGTCATGTCTTCGTCGGCTACGACGAAGCGTGCTACAGAGACGTCGCTGCGACGAGTACCGTCGGTCTTCTTTGGTGGCATTGTTACTTGGGTGGTCTGGAGTTGTTTTATGGAGGGCTCACACGTCGATGGTTGAATTCGGGACGAGCTGTTCACAATGCCGGTAGTTGTTGATCCTCGTAGCGGAGGGGTCAAATGTGCTGAAGTCCAGTAGACGCTTGGAGTACAACAAAATGCCTTCAACTGCGACTGCGGAGTGTGGGGGAGGAGCAATGGATGGGATGCGGAGAAAATTGCGGCGCGTCACCCGAGGACGCGTTAAACAGCTAGGGACGTAAAGTGAAGGATGTTAGTGTCGCACGAACCAATGTCTTTTCCCCTGGAAATAACCCCGAATGGCCTCGAGTTGGCCCCGGCAGCTTGTTAGCGCGAGACCTCTGGTCAACTTACCTGGGCGTTCCAACAACCAGTTTTTGCATCCTACCCACACCAGTTGCCATATCTGAGTGTAAGTATGTTAAAATAGACCTTAGCAATGTATTTTACCAGTTGATTTTGCCTTTTAACGTGTCCTCGCAGCAGTTCGGACGGGTTAAAAAGTCTCATTTGGAGTACCGGGCTAACACATAAACCAGCACTGGACTGTAAGCTTCAACAACCATCGTGAGGGCCCATCTCTCACTCTTTTCCTCTTCACGTTCAGTAGTTAATGCTTGGAACGATGAAGTCAAAATAGATAACATTCACCGTTAAGACGCAATTATTTTGAAGTAAGGTCTGATTTTGGGTCAAATTCATGATCAAAATCCCGTATCGTCCTATCACCGCTTGCTTCTCACTCGCAAACAACCACACACAAATATCACCACAACCCACACACCTCCCAATACAACCTGATCAGACAAAAATGAACCAAAAGACCCGAGCGACATACACAGTCAGTTGAGACTGTGTGTTTAAATTGACGTCCCTCTCTCTCCTAGTGACAGTCCTCCAAACTGACCCTATGGGTGGGTAGGGGAGGGAAGAAAAAAAGGAACGCGAAAAAGAATAAGAGTAAGAACGTTCTCTCAGAAAAGGGTATATCCAACACATAAAGTATCCTCTCGTTCCTAAAGATAATTTTCAACAGCCAGTCTAGGCTGTCTGTCTGTCATCCATGAAGACAAAACAAAAACAAAAGCCGTATAAAAAATTTTTTCAAATAAATAAAAAATGTTCCTGCATTTCGGCAATGAGCCAGCATTAATGTGCCCAAGGCATAACTAGGCCTCGGATCCAAAGAACTGTGTGAATGTGTGAGGTAGCTTCCAGCACCTCGGTGTGTGTAGGAGTGAGGTAGGTAGATCAAACGATCTGTGAAAAGTTGATATGGCTTCCAGCCTACGGAGACGGAAATGGTGACGGAGGAGAGAGAGTAAGTAAGTATCGGTATTTCTCAATCATCACCCGATCGCCCGTCCGATCTCTTCCTCTCTCAAGAATTGTCTCCGCGAAAGCGCATCATCGCCAAGCGACAGCCTCGGAGGAACCGTCACCCCCGAGTGAAGACGTGAATGGTGCATGCGCATGCTGCTGGTGCGAGCGTGGTCGATGGAATGTCGCCCGGGAAATCCTCCTCCTCCTGTGTCGGATGTGTAGCCTCCTCCGCCTCGGTAGTATGCCGCTCTGTTGTTGTTGTAGTTGTTGTAGTTGATATAGTTTGAGTAACCGCCTATGCTGCTGGTGCTACTTTTTGAACTCGTCTTCCTCCCATGTCTCGGACGTGGTGATGATGCGGCGGCAGCATGTGCACCTGGCGGTAGCTTGTATAGCCGAGAGGGCTGGCGCTTGGGCGCTGGTATCCATGGCACATCGCCGGGGACCGTTTCGTCTGTGAGCCCGGCTCGGGAGTTGGGAGCCCTTGCGAGGATAGGGGTTGGTGGTAGTGGCGTGTGGTCGATGCTCGTTTTTCCATAATAGCCGCTGTGGGTGCTATGTGCGGCGGGCCGAGGCGAGCCCTCGTCGAGTGATTTCCGGGTTTCTCCAGCTGCTTGGTCTTGAGGGTTGACGTAGACGATGACGCTTGCGGGTTTCTTTACCGAGCTTGTTGATGATTGTTTCCCATGGCTGGTGTTCAAACGATCCCCTGTTGCCGATCTGCTCTTTCCATCTACGTCGGTGTCGTCCATGGTCGTAAACCAAGCCTCCTCACTTTTTGGGGTTTTCCATGTTGCAATTTCCTCATCGTCGACAGGTGTAACGGTTCGTGAAAAGACTCGTATCTGCCGTCTTTTCTTCCTCCAGCATAGACAGAGCACAACAGCCGCCAAGAAGAGAACCACGACTGGGATTGCGCTGCTTAGGATGATGATGAGAAGCTTTCTTCCTGTGTCTGGACTCGTGGCATCGTCGCCATCGAATGGTTCTCCCCTTTTCTGATTTGTAACGGCGTGGACAAACCTCGTCACGGTCGTGATTGGGGGCATAATAGGGACATAAAGTGAGGTATGGAGAAAAAAAAAAGATGAAAGCTGAAGACGGGTTGCCGTATTTCTCACAAAAACAAGGCGTAGAAGAGAAACGATGCCGCTCGTAAAGTCGACTTGATGGAGACTCGAGAATGCTGATTTCCTTGCCAGCTGCCAGACCGGCCTAACCCGACGGAATAAGGAGCTTGGTAGATATGACAAGCGCAACAATGTCTGATGAAGATGTTGTTAGCAGGTTTGATCGGTCTGACTAGATTACTGAGCAGATATGATCATAAGTGTCAAATCTTTGTCTGAACTTAGACCCGTGGTCCTGTTGAGTTTTTCCACATATGGCTCACGTCTTGGCAGTTGGTACTATACAATGCTTGGCTTAATACAGGCGATGGGAAAGGTGAAGGGTGGATGTGAGAAAACAAGCTATGTTTTACCTTTTTAAGAAGTCATTGAGCTGGTCTTGATTTCAGAGAGCAACTCTGTTTACCATATGACTTGACTTGATGAAGCGGATGAGGAACTCGAAAGCAAGAGGAGCGATGATGAAAGTAGACTGTTTGAACTGTGGGGGAGAAACCAGATACCAGGAGTCGAATAACTCGAGGAACAACCCATTGGCACAGAGGCCTTGTGGTCTGGAGTACTTGGAAGAGAAGAGGTGCAAGAGTGGGATAAACGAGAGGAGAGGGTTCTTGATGTTCAAACCGCTTGAAGGATGGAGCAAGCTTGGATCCCAACCGGCCGACATACAGTGTAAGCAGCAGCAAGGAAGCAACCACGAGGTCGGAAGTAGGTGGCGTACCTACACGGTTATAGCTATAAAAATAACGACGAAGACCTGGAAAAGGAATGACCGGCATATATATTCCCAGTCCCACATCAACAAAGACGGGCACTATCCCATCCTGGGCAGGAGTGGTGGGCTAGCCTGGCGGGCTAGCCGGGCGGGGTGTGGTGAGGTGTGCATTTTGTGATGGATACCGGGTGGGTGGATGGTGGTGAGAGCACCAGGAAGACTCGAGATCCTAGTACCTTGCATATCTCCCAGTTCCATCCCTTTCAGGGCACCCGCAGTCCCACCGTAGCTTTATGGATGTGTAAGCCCAACGTCGGGGTTTCGAGGTATGTGAAGCTCGACAATATCAGAGGTTGTTGGTCGAGTTCCCCATGTCTGGTTTGGGACGGGTGCACAATGGAAGCATTGCGTGTGCCACAGGCCTGCATGCAGTGATGGTCTCGGAATGGTTGGCCAAGGGCAGACAGAGAGATCTTTGGTCGTGACGCCCCGCTTGAATGACAGGACAATGGAACCCTCCCGGGCACTTGACCGAGACAGGGGCAGTACGCCGGAACGTTTGTACGTAGTGTACAATTTAAAAACAAAACAAAAAGTTATCTCGACGCAAACGGTGTTGGATTTGGGGGTAATTGTGTAAACGGCTGATGAGATATTGGTACCTAGACGAGTCCGTAATAGGGGGGCATCGAGCATGGTGATGGGGGCTCGACGGACGTTTCAAGAAACAAAAACGAAATGGAATTATGGAGCTCCCAGGCACCGAAACGTCGAGTTCCCTTGTTGATGACATTGCGAACCCAATGTGAACAAAGAAATTGTCTTTCTGCTCAATGCTGTGATGTTTGCTCACCGCCTCTCTTTTGACCATTCATAAACGGGTTTTGAGATCTGTGAGCGTTGATTTGTGAAGTCGGTCGGTCGGTCGGTCGGTCGGTCCAGGTCTCCGAGGAAGAGGCAATTCCTGAAACATCAAAATCCAAGGGCCCGCTCTCTGTCGTGGATGTTGTCCATTGGCTGGTCATCTCAAGGTGGGGGACGAGAGAAAGCCCGGTCTTGTCCCGGCCAAGCTTCCGCTTCATTGCTTGAACCTCTGAAGTGCCGTGGAAAGTGGGAGTACGTGCTGGGCCGATTACTTAGCTCAGTAGCTTGGGCAAGCTCGGTTGCAAGGAACAGAAATTTTGATATCGGAGAATGACCCGGACGTGAGATGGATCCGACAGCGGTCTCTGGCTCCTTCATCCACGGCACTTCGCTTTTGTGGATTCCTGCCTGGGTATTGCTATCCGGGTACAGCATCATCTTTTGAAGTCATCGCCGGTTGGTGAATCGGAGCAAGGACGTGAAAAAAATTGATGAAATCTCCGAGGAAAGATGGAGGTTTTACCCCATCTGGTATCGGCAACCTTAACAGCCTTAACAAATCGTCCGGGGTATGTGGAGTTAGACTGAGCGAGCTAGGCCTAACCTGGTAAGATTCTGGATGGCACTGTTTCCAACTTACCCCACCGATCCACACCCGTTCCTGACTACTTTAAAGGCTCGGGCCATACCGTTACATTACTGGCAAAAACATCGTCCCATTTTCCATCCTTTCTCCATCAACTTGATAACAGGTTTTCAGGAGATTCACTTGCTATTCCGATCCTGTAAGATTGTTCCCAGTAGCAGTAGCCTACGGAGTGTTGCTCCCGATATCACTGACCGGCCTGAACCCTGATGTAAGGGAGAGAGCCTCTAGTGTACTGAGAACAAAAGGAACGACAGAAAGAAGCAATGGAATCGATCCTGTTCCTGCATTAGCAATCGTCACCCGCAGGAAAGCGCCGATATTGGCCCTTTTCCGTTAGTGAAGCTGAATTGTCTCAACGACATCCTTTGTCCCTCCGCGCTTATGGATCCCATCTGGGCAATGATCGTTGGTGATGCTCTCTGAACCCAGCTGCATGCCAACATCTCGAATCCACGTTTTACCCCTCAACCTATCTTACCACTGGGGTATATCGAGCAAGATTCACACAAGAAACACACTGTCCACCCGTTGACAACAACAACAACGAAAGAGTGTTAGCGAAAAACCACACAACCTCCTTCACGACACCGCTTTTGGTGGCTGCATCCCGCCGGGACACTGCTTTTCCCCAAGCGCCCATGCGGTTCATGTTTGTTCCCGTCGATATATATCTCAGTATTCCCACAAGTTACACGACATTGGAGAGGATCCAAAGGATTTGGTGGGCGCATAACGGTGTACAAGTAAGTTTGCACACATCAACATGCTCGAGTTTGGCGAATGGCTGTTGGGACAAACTTATAACTACGCCGGTCAAGTTGACCTTTGCGCGCGGTACTGTGTGTGTGAGATGCTGTGCAGACCAAAATGCTGTGTAAGACGCTGTCATTCAGTCTCACCAACCAAGATGCGTTGGACTAGAAACTGGTATGTGGAATGTGGATGGCGGTGGCTCCGGTCGACCGGTGTCTATCCCGCAAGGGAAGGCTGAAAAATGAAGATACTAGTTGCCTGCATATGGCGGTTTTCTTGATGCCCAAAGCTGTCCTATATAAGAAGGACCTTTTTCAGCTATAAACCTCCGAGGAAACGACCGCGGCCGGGATTCCTGAGCCTGTTCCTGCGTGACGTGGTCATGATCGAGAGGTCTGGAGAAGCGAGCTCGGGAACCAACCAGACGTCTCAGACGCCATCTGACATGGTCGACTCGTCGTCTCACCTCTTTCTGGCCTGGGCCTTGCGACGGCAAGCCTGTCAGGGCTGAACAGAGTGGTCTTTTGGTCCAGGCTTCAGGCTTATCGTCAACCAGTTATCGCTCCTAAACACCATGTGGCGAATTGGTCAAGTGGTATTCAATGCCGGCCTCGTTTTATGGCGGCGGCCACTCGGGAGGGTTGTTGAAAGGAGCACTTCTGGGCGGTGATTCGTCGTGGGGTGTAACCAGGATCTTAGTGCTGTCAGGCTTGTGGTTTTTGATGCAAATAATATTCTACTGTGTAATGCGCACGTGAGTGTACTTTGGTGGGGTAGACCTGGCGTAAAGGTCGTGAATGGGATCGTGAATCTCTTTGAATGCACCGACTAGGCAGGTTAGAAAGCGCGGTTTAATCGGCGTCCGGGCCAAGAAAAAAGGTAAACGCAATCGATAATGCTCCAGGTTGAAAATGAAGGAGGAAGAAAAGCAAAAAAAAAACAAAAACAAAAAGCTTAGCTACACCACAAGATCGGGAATCGAACTCGCAACTAAGGAGGACTCAACCGACCAGATGGCAGACCTACGAAAATACCACGCGTTTTCTGGACCCAGCGCATTACCACGTAGGCTACTGGACCGTAGTGGAAGGTCTATACTTTGGTGCTTATATGGTCCCAGTAGGTCATGCCGCTGGAAGGATGATCCGCTTCAAGTCACCTCACACCCTCTCCCGTCATTGTGCTATCGGTGCACTGTTCTTTCGCGAAACAACAAACACAGGGCTCTCAACTATAATCAATCATAGGACATAGTGTCTTTTCGATGTGAAATTAAGAGAGGAGTGGGAAGTTCACCAAGTAATGTCCAGATTGTACACGAGTCAGACACTTGCATGATGCCGCAGGAACGTGCCGCTTCAGCGGACCGCCCCCGGACTACAGTGGAGCTTGGCAGGTGTCTCCAGTGCTCCATCCCCAGATTCATCAACATCACGACCGAGTTCCGTTTCGTCAACGGAATCCGTCGCTTTTCCACTTCCATGATCACACTGTTCTGCTCATGTGAATTGCTCCTGGAAGTTGATTCTTCCAGTCTGATAATCTTCATCGAAAAGCGCTAACGACAGACTGCTGCTGCTATCTGTGGTTTCGTATTTCGGCACAAGCTAACCCGGCGCCTCCGACAACCGGGCTTTCAAGCCTCGAAAGCGGAGACCTCCTAGGCTGCTTCAACTCCGCAACACGGATCGCTGACCGAGGACCTGAAGCCGGAGGTGCATCGGCGCCGGCACCCTTGTTATCGGCTTATCACTCCTACCTGAATGGGGTATTGGCCAATGAGACGTCCCCAGCCCCGCACGATAACGTCAAACGGCGAGGGCTTCGTGCAGCTCGATATGTCTTAAGCCGTCACAAAGCGATCCGTCAATCGCAGAACCCCGGCTGGATTGGTTGGCAGAGAGGGCAGGGGCGGGCTGAAGGTATTCGTACAGGGCAGGAGCAGCCGCTTGTGAGAATGAGGGGTGGTTTCCAAAGGCCAATGACGGGAATCGTCCGACTGTGTCTTTAACTTCAACTCCAACCTCCATCGTCAAATCTTCAATTCCACTTTCCCGCCTACGAGTACTCGTTCTCTAGGCAGCTCCAACGAAAAAGTCCAAAGGCGACATCACACACGAAGCACTCCCCTGCACCTGGGATCGAAAAAGGCATACAACCCTACAGAAAAGGTCAACAGAATGTCGGCACGGAGGCTCCAGAGGCTGTCTCTTACCACTTCGAGTGGTCTGAGATCAGCTCGCACATCCTCGTCTACAGCATTGTTAAGGCAGCAGCTACATAGCCAGAGACCCAGGACAGACATGCCCAGCATCGTCAGGATGAACTCTACCCTCGCAACCTTCAAAGTCCCTACAGTGGCCAACGAGCCCAATGTGAGTCTTTCCGAGCCTCGTATATCCGCCATGTCTGACAATTAGCGTAGCAACACTATGCCAAAGGCTCAGAATCAAGACATAAGCTCACGGAAGCTTATGCCGCGCTTTCAGAGAATCTCCCTGTCGACGTCCCCATTATTATCCGCGGGAGGACGGTAAGTTCATCCGAAACTAAATTTTATAATTTTAGCTAACCATCGCCCATAAACGTAGCTTAGCAAAGCAGACACCAAGTACCAGGTGAACCCGGCCGATCACAAACAAAAAATAGCCAAATATGCCGTGGCAACCCCCGAAATGGTCAACTTGGCCATCAATGCCGCCCTGAACGCAAAGCCGGCATGGGAAAGCTTGCCCTTCGCTGACAGAGCGGCAGTCTTCCTCAAGGCAGCCGATCTGATCAGCACCAAGTATCGCTACGAGTTGATGGCCGGCACAATGTTGGGCCAAGGCAAGAACGCCTGGCAGGCCGAAATCGATGCCGCTGCCGAGCTCTGTGACTTTCTCCGCTTCAACGTCCAATATGCGGAGCAACTATACGCTCAGCAACCGGAACATAACTCCCCCGGTGTCTGGAACCGCGTCGAGTACAGGCCACTTGAGGGCTTTGTCTATGCCGTCACCCCCTTCAACTTTACTGCCATTGCGGGCAACCTTCCAGGCGTGGCAGCGCTGCTGGGCAATGTTGTGGTCTGGAAGCCGAGCGATCACGCGATCCTCAGCAACTACATCCTGTACAAGGCCCTCCTCGAAGCGGGACTCCCACCTGATGTCATTCAGTTCATTCCCGGCGATCCTGAGTTGGTGACAAAGGAAGTGCTCGCGCACAAGGACTTTGCCGCTCTTCACTACACAGGCAGCACCGCCGTCTTCCGCAAGCTCTATGGCCAGATTGGCGCTGGAGTTGCTGAGGGTAGGTATCGGTCATATCCTCGTATTGTTGGCGAAACCGGTGGCAAGAACTTCCACCTGATTCACAAGTCTGCCGATCTACGAAACGCTGTTGTCCAGACGGTCCGCGGTGCATTCGAATACCAGGGCCAGAAGTGCAGCGCCACTTCCCGACTGTACGTTGCCAAGTCGATTTGGCCAGATTTCCAGGAGCTTCTCGTCCAAGAAACGAAAAAGTTGAATGTTGGCCCACCGACTGACTATGGAAACTTCATCGGCCCTGTCATTCATGCCGCCTCCTTCAAAAAGCTGAGCACGGCTATTGACGAGGGGAAGAAAGATCCAGACCTCCAGCTGATTGCGGGAGGAGAATACGACAGCTCGGTTGGCTACTACGTCAAGCCGACCATCTTTGTGTCCAAGACGCCAGACCATAAGCTCTTCTCGACGGAGCTGTTCGGACCCGTCTTGACGGTCTACGTCTATGATGACTACGTAGATAGCACTACCTCTATCTATGATATCATCGACGGAGCTACGGAATATGCACTGACGGGCTCAATCTTTGCAAGTGACCGGGCCGTTATCCGCCTCGCAGAGGAGAAACTCCGCAACACAGCAGGAAACTTCTACATCAACTGCAAGAGCACGGGTGCTGTTGTAGGCCAACAGCCTTTTGGTGGCAGCCGAGCGAGCGGGACCAATGACAAGGCCGGCAGCATCAACCTCTTGAGTCGGTTTGTTAGCATGAGAAGCATCAAGGAGGAGTTCAACTCCACGACCACGGTGACATATCCCAGCAATGAGGTCGAATAGGACCTTAGTGAGATTATGGAGAGCACCGTATGCTCCGACGATAGTTGGGAGGATTCCTTCCGGAGGACTCGCTCAGGAGGAGTTTTGATGCATCAATCCGGCATCGGCGAATTCGTTCATTGAGGTGCGTTCGACGGAGGTGTTTATGAGCAGCGTTGAGACAGGTGCCATGTTATTGGATTAGGTGTCTAGCGAATCAAATCACAACCCGATCTTGATGTTGCATTGTGTTGCTGGCTTTGTATGGCACAAGGTGCTTTATCCCGACTTCACCCATTTTCTCCTGATGCTGTGAGTCCGAGAGAGTTGCGGACGGCCCGTCGTTCTGCCCCGTGTTGGAGATCGTCCTGACTGTCAAAGGCCACGTGCGGGCTGCCTTAAAAGAGCTTGGGTGGCGCCGGGGGCTGTGAAAAGGGTCGGGGATCTTGATGATCACTGATTGGCAGGTATCCACACTTCCTGTAGCCGGCGTTAGACAAAGGTCCAGAGCCAGAGGCACAACCTTGAACGACATTGCTTGCAGGCGTTCTTTTGACACCTAGTCAAGACACCAAGAAACATGCTGTCCAATCAGCATCGAGGAATCCACCTCGTGCCGACTGGAAAGGAGATGGGCACGCGACTGCTTTGGGACTCGGGAATGCACTTCGGAGATGGAAACACTAGTGTTCCATGCTCTCTAGATGCAACTGCACGTTACGATTACCGACTTCCTACGTCCGTCTCCCCGCATCCCTTGGTCCATTCCTCTGATCTGGATCTTACATCAGAACCAGCAAGCACAATGTCCATATATTGTCCGTGATGGCATGCCCAGATTCTGAATCCCATGCTGGGACATCTGTACCTCTCGACAACACCTGAGCGAACTTATCACAAAATCGTGGAACTCGAATCTGCTTCTTCTTCGGCTTACCAGTGCAAGGTGATACCCGAAGATCGTCTTATCGTCCACTCTTGACCAGACACAGCCAGAAGCACAGTGAAAGCCACTAATTGGAGGATTCCCGCCATCCTTCAAGCCCGAATCTTGCACAGCACCTGCAACGTCAGTTGTGCCTGACAGTTACCTATTTCGTCTGAGCAACAGGCTGTTCTGAGCTTCCCTGGTTTGCGATAGCACGACAAGCCCATCACGATGCCTCAGAGGTCGTTGCCTACGCCACTATCATCAGCGGATATGAAAGCCCAGGAACCTCCATCCCTAGCCTCCCTTCAGATGCTGTTCGAACTACCACCACCTGCCATTATGCCATCCAACGCTGCAGGCACACCTCCACAGACCCCGGAGAAAAGATATCCGATGCAACCAAGCGAGACAGTCAAGTCACGAAGGCGTGCAGCAACCGTAGCAGGCCCATCCAAGAACGATTTTGCACTTCCTCCCCCTCCTACGAGATCACGCAAAATCATCCAGATGAAGCCGCGTGAAGTTGCTGCTGCCCCACCACTTGCACCAAACTCCAAAGATTCGACCACTGGCAAATCAGGCTCGGGCCTTGTGTCCACCACAACGAATTCAGAGTCAACCACGCCAGCGGCGACAACAGGTGGCGCTAAAAAGAAACCATCAACTGCGGCAGGAAGGAAGATTGCGAGAAAAACAGCACATAGCTTGATCGAAAGGAGAAGGAGATCCAAGATGAACGAAGAGTTTGCTCTCCTCAAAAGCATGATACCGGCATGTACCGGTGAGATGCACAAGCTGGCTATCCTCCAGGTTAGTATCATCTTTCTAAGAATGTATACTGGGAATTGAAGCTGATGAAGTACCTCAGGCCTCGATAGAGTATATCAGATACTTGGAAGATTGTGTCGCTAAGCTCCAGGCCCGGCATCAATCCGGTCCATCAGAGGTAGAAAGTGCGACAAAGAGTCTTCCAACGCCCTCTGGTCATGAACCTTTCCATCCTGAGGCTGCCTTTACCTTTGCGGCAAGAGAAGAAGTCCACGACGTAGAGATGTCGGACTCGTCAGGGGTTGATTCACCGGCCTCTTCGCCTCCACTTGCCGCGATCACCTCTTCCCACCAGCCATCCGCATCCCCGGTAATACTACCCCAGCAGCAGCTAAGAGATCGACATGATTCGATCTCGTTAGCTGTGACATCGACCGATTACCAAAGACACTACAGCTTCAGTGGTTCATCTGTTACTGCCTCGCCCGCCGGCTTTGGCTCCTGGGGGCATTTGTACGGCGGCAACAGCAACATGCACGACACGCGAACCGCCTCGGTTTCGGGCTCAGCACTGACTAGCCCTTACCTGGTATCGCGAAATGACCTTGACCATGAAGCAACGGCTGCTCTTCTCATGTTGAACCAACAGACACAAACGGATAGGCGGACGTCAACGACGAACACCGACGGGCCCGCTGGAGCCGCAGCCGCAGCCGCCGGGACCGTGAGGACGGGGCGGGGAATGAGTGTCGCAGACTTGTTAAGCGCATGAGCGATCCAGAAGGAGATCGTTCGATGGCGCCTTCACGTCCGTCCGATCAAGATCATTTACCCTTGGCGTCGGTCGGCTTAGACTCGGGGCTCGGCTTGGCGATTCTAGCGATGTAGCGTGCATGCATGCTGGATCCATAACCGCTGGTACCGGAATAGCGACCGGGCGATCACAGGACTGGAGTATGCAGGGTCTTGGGGTCCGCCAGGGGTTGGGATGCCCGTGGGAAGGGTGAAGAAAGATAAAAGTTTCAAATCGCAGCATCGCGCCATATATCGAGTCGTGAGGGACTGGGATGTGTATGTTGTTCTGGGCTGAGTGAGCACAAATGAATAATGCCTCAGACTTTGGTCGTCACAGAATGGTTCGAGATGGTTGAGGAAGTAATACAGGATTACCTATGCTAGAGTTCGCGCTCTGGAACTGGCAAAGAAACGGCCATCCGGGGGAACATGGCAATCGATAGACGAAAGACAGACTTTTCAAACTTTGTGATGGATTTCCAAACGACAAAAGCAACACTCAAAGAAAACTTACCATTTATGAAGATCATGGTGCCAGTTGGAGGGTAGTTAACGGTAGATGTTTCAGCTTTGATACCAATTGCGTACCATTGATTGCTTTGCGCTTTGACCTCTAGAAGCGAACATCGACAACACCGAGCGCCCGGATGACACTTGAAAACACCGAAGGTTCGAGGCGGCGCATAACAGTTCATTCCATCCCGGAATGGCTTCATGAGGCCTATCTTTCTACCGGACGCGCTGTTTGATCCGCTGGACGAACAAGTTGTGTACGTGGCAATGGGAAAGCCCGGGGTTTTGATACTCGTCAGTCGTACGAGAAACCAACGGTTCGCCTCCCGCTTCAAGCATCACCCACGGACCCCAATGCCCCTGTATCGCCCTATGTTCCCAAATTCTCCCGGTCAGGGGCACGTGATACCCCTGATATCGAACAACAACATACCGAAATGGTCCTTGGCGATGGCCGGACAAGGCCGGTGGTGACACTCAGCAGGATGGACAAGACCGAGTCGATATCCCGGAGTCCCGGGGAATCCCAAGAGGGGGCCACCAACTCTCCGCCTCCCGAACCAATCTGCCTATATATGCTGTCCTCTGCTCGCTCAATGTAGCCTTTCATGTCTTACACCAGTCAACAACAACTTCCACCAAACCCTTTTCAACCAGCTTCTTCTTCACGGCCTCGTATCGGCGTGGATTTTCACAAACAGTCCGTAAGACCGCCTCCTTACCCTCCTCTCCCGGTATCGCCGCGGCAGTTCACCAAACTTTCACCACCACCACTACTTGTACCCTCCCGTCCACATCCCCGGACCGTCTTTACCTCGAGAAAGCCTCAGCCGCTTCGTCTCGTTCAGGAGTCACTCAACTCGCGCAAACGAAAACCACCTGTCTTTTTCGCCAAGCACACACGGACTCTGGTTCAGTCCGTGACTTACATTACTGTCTACCAGGACTCTTCTTCTTCTCCAACTTCTTCTTCCTACTCGCCAACCGCGACAACCTTCTTCAAGATGGCCAGCACCAACCCTACCATGCCTAAGGTCTCTAACCTTCCCCCTGTCCCTGCCGGAGCCCGCTCAGGTTATCTCTCCCCAACTAAGGAAGAAATGCTCGCTGACCTTCGACGCCAGGTAAATACTTGAATTCCCTCCCGTCCCTGTTGAGTATTAGTAAGACAAAATCAAACAAAGGAAAAAGAAAATCTGACTTGGGTAAAAAAACACAGCTCGACGACACCAACTCCGACGGAGTCTCCTCGGTCGACTCCCGCGGCCGCCGCCGCCGCAGAAACAAGGGTGCCGTCCAGAAGCAGGGTGGTCTCAACGGCCCTCAGATCCTTCCCCGTCTGGCCGACACCAAGCCCGTCCGTCTCCAGCTTGGCTTGAACCTCGATGTCGAAGTCGAGCTGAAGGCTAGACTCCAAGGCGATGTCTCACTTACTCTTCTGTAAGTCTTCCTTCCTTTCTGATTGATGTCTTCCATCCATCCATCTGCTCCTTCCTACCAACGGTGGGCTAATTTTTTTTCTTTTCTTTCTTTCCCACAGTCAATAAATTTCTTCTTTCCCCTTAAACCTACCTCCCTTTTTCTCTTGCTCATAGCCAGTCAATACATCACATCTCTCCATTCAGCCATAAGCTATTAGCTATCGCAATGAGCTCCTGTCTGTATCCATATGTTTCAACCATGACAAATTCCAACACAAAAATAAAAACAACAGAGTCGAAAAGAAAACACCGCTGCAGAAACGACCCCCGTCTTCCACCCAGCTTTATCTCAACTCCTCCACCCGCTCCGTCACCGTCGACGAACTCTTCCACCTCCGGCTCGGCACGCTCCGCCTGCGTCAGCGCTGGCTCGACCGCGAGGTCAGCCCTAGCCTGACGGCCGCCGTTGCGGTCTTGATTGGGATGGTTGGGTTTTTGGGCGGGGTGTTGGTTTCTAGCTGTTGCTCATGGTCATGGTTTTGGTCATTCTTGACTGATTGGTCTTGGTCTTGGTCATGGCTGTGGGTGCAAATGGTTTGGGACTCGGTTTGGGATGTGGTGGTGATTAGCACTTTGTCTTCGATGGTTCCATCTTGGATGACGGGGATGGCGACTACGATGACGACGACAATGATGGACATGGGCACAGCAACGATGGCATCGACGACAACGTCCTGGTCATATTTCCATGTCTTGCTTCAGCAGGGCTTGTGTACATCGGCGGCGTCTTCTTTCGAATGGGTCGGCGGCGTTAACAACATCATTGGGGTTGGGGTCATGGGATGAATGAGTCTGTCTGGGTCAGTCAGTCAGTCGCCTTCATACCATCCATCCATCCTCTGGTCTGGTTGGTCTGGTCGAGGAAAAGGGAGGGGAAAAGGGAAGGGAAAGAAAAAGGGGAAGGCAAATGCAAGGAAGGGTCTATAATGATGCAACAACGAATTGGGGCATTCATATGGGACATATGGATACGGGAATAGGAACAAGAAGAAGCATGAGATTTAGGAGAGGAAAGAACCCAAGGAGAATAGTACTTGGTCCTTCCTTCCCCTTCATCCTGTGTCAATTCTTGGCGTTGTCTTTTCCTAAGGAAGGGAATTGGGTGGGTTTTCCGTGGGTTGTATGGTGTATACATATGGGAATGGGATAGGATAGAACAGAACACAACACACCTCTTTCTTTTTTATTACCATCATCATCGTCATCATCATCATCACCATCATACTCAGCTCTGTGATAAGGTGCCTGCCTGTCAGTCCTTTTTCGGTCACACCCGACTCTGGAATCAAGTTTTATCTACTACTTACTCTCTTTTTCCATACACTCACTGGTCACGGTGGCGATGGCATGGTCCTCCTTTGACCGTTTGTGTAGTGTGGTAAAGTTGTAGGTAGGGGTTGGTTGATACAGACAAATCGAAATGATGTTTTGGTTTCACTTGCCTGTGGATACTTTGGTTGAGTTGAGTTGAGGCAGTGTCTTGATTGACTCTTAATATCAGATTAGCTTGAGATTCGTTCGGGACATGATTTGTGTTGGTTGGAACATTGCACCACGGACGGACGGACATCTTGGCATACCACGAGACAGAGGGCTCGCGCGATGACCACATGGCATCCGACGACCTATGTCTGTAAGCCGGATTTGTTATTGTGACATGGCCCAATCAAGTTAGCCATATAAGCTCTAGGTCTGTACCTGCTTCCCGTAAACCAACTACGACAGCTGATTTAACAGTTGTACATCTTCCGTAGTATAGTGGTCAGTATGTGAGCTTGTCAAGCTTGAACATCAGTTCGATTCGCTCGAGACCCGGGTTCAATTCCCGGCGGGAGAGACCAACATTTTTTTCACTTTTTGCCTTTTTCTTCTTTCCTTTCATTATTAACCAGCTATTTTTTATCAGCTCTTGTTTTCTTTTTCTTTTTTTACTCTTTCTCCTTTCTCGTTTGTATTTTTCTTGTTCTCATTTGTTCATTAGTTTGCGGTCGTCGGATGCCATTGATATCAAGAGTCAAGACACTGCCTCAACTCAACCAAAGTATCCACAGGCAAGTGAAACCAAAACATCGTTTCGATTGTCTGGATCAACCCCTACAACTTTGCCACACTACACGGTCAAAGGAGCCATGCCATCGTCACCGCGACCAGTGTATGGGAAAAGAGAGAGTAATAGATGAAACTTGATTCCTCCATGCGTCTTTACTACATACATACGCCTTACGGTCGAAATTCGAAACATTTCATGGATCCAACAATCCGGCCCTAATAGACTCTAGCCAATGTTGCTTCCAACTTAGTACGAGGCGCTATCACAGTTTTGCAACAGCCTTTCTTAACTAAAGCGCGCAGTATTGGACTCATGTCCATGTTCGGTTTATTAATTATTCTTACGACCACTCGCATACATACATATATATATGTAGATGGTGAAGGTTGGTCACGATTGACAATGTGTGCGTGGATAGCCAAGTTTATTCATTTGTAGGTATTATGCTGAAATGGGTATTTAAAACGTAGAAGAAAATGATTGCGAAAATGGGGATAGGGTGCATACGATTGGTTGCAACTGTCAACCCTTCAACGCTGCACGCAGCCGCTGACTGATAGATAGCCTACGTGTTGAATGGATGACAGCAGTGGAAACCGATCGCACGCATCCATCCATCCCACCGATTATCATTAAACACTACTTCCCGGCCGGTAGGTATCCCGAGGAGGAAGGAGGTTGAAGGAATGCAAAACCCCAATTCATCCACTCTCCTCACGCCTCAACCCCCCCCTCTCACCGCACCCCCGCCGGAATCTCCGGCACCTCCGGCACGTCCGACCCCCCCGTACCACCCGTGCCTCTCGACCCATAACTCCCCGCGCTGCCCGGCGGCGGCGCAATCGTCGGCGGTCTCGGGCCCTTGTAGCTCAGCGTCGGGATCGTCAATCCATAACCCTCGGTGCGGCCCTCGGGGTTATGCTGGTCGATCTCGATGCGGATGCACACATGCAGACTACCGTCGCTGTCGGTGCCGTGCTCGGTTGGGTCGGCGGCCTTGTGCTTAGTGCCGGCGTTGACTTCGCCTTTGCCGAGCGCGTAGCGGCCGTCTTTGTGGCCGGGGAAGGTGCCGCCGGGGGTGGAGTGCGGGGGAGGGGAAGCATGGAAGCCGTTACCGTTTTGCTGCTGATGGGCATTGTTGGGCGAGTTCTCGGTGATGACGGCAAAGTTGCGGCTGGGCATGGTGACTTGGTTGTGTTTGGCTGTTTTGGTGCTGTCGCCGGGATCTTTGTCGAAGATCTTCAGGAGCGTCTCGTCGGTGTCGTGGTCGAGGTGGTGGATCCTGTTTCGGCGTGCCAGCAGGTTGGCGACGGCCGCCGGGGGCGGCTTGTTCACGATGGCGGAGGAAACGACGTTGACGATGTAGCGGTAGTCTTCTTCTAGCGGGATGTTAAGCTTCGGGTTGGAGTAGAACCTTCCTAGCGCTGCCAGGTGGACGTCGCCGCCCAGGATGGTAACGCGCACCGAGAACTCGGCGGCGATCTGTTGCAGCTTGAGGATCAGACCGTTGCGCTCGCGCTTGTGGGTTCTGGCTGTATAATGATCGTCGAGATCGTCTAGGAGATCAACACTTCCGTCAAAGGAGTTGAAGAAGCTGCCACCAAAGCCCACGCGTCTGTTCAACAGCTTTACTGGACCCATCAAGGGGCTGGCAAAGATGTTCTCAAGCCATGTCAAGCGCTTGTGGCAGGTCAGCTCAAGCTTTTGGTATGGGTTAGATGCCACTTACAGGATATGCGATGGGAATACCCAAAAGAAGAATCAAGTGCTTATATGGCTTCTCAGTTTGTATGGCATGGCTCAGCTCCTGCCTCAAGCGGGAGAAGATAGCCTCATATGTCTCAGGATAGTTGACTTGATGTCTCGTGCGCTGTAGATTGTTAGCACTAGGAGAAAAGACTTTGAGAATTCTCTCATTACCTCTGTTCGCGCGTCAATACCCAAAAACGCTATCCTGGCGCCCAACTTTGTAAACATGTTGTGTGAATGCTCCGAAACGTATGGCTGTATGGTTGTCAGTAATCGAACTAGTCAGGAGTGCTAGCACCGGAAAAAGGAACTTACACCTGGAGATGGTCCAACAATGTAGTTGGATTCTGTCATGGCCGGGTGTACATAAGCCGCAATCATCTGATTGGGATCGATTCCCTGACCCGCTTCGCCCTTAGCCTGCATGGTGTCTGAGGTATATGTTGAGGCTGGAGGTGGCAGATGGTGCTGGAAAAGCATATAGTACTTGTGGGCAATGCCGCCTATTCCTCGGAAAACATCGCATCTCATAAAGTCGTCCACATAAGATCCAAATCCATCAATAATCTGCATCGTGTTAGCTTGACTCGCTTGGCAAAGGAGGCGCTGATGGGACATACATCGTGATCATCCCAAATGTTTAGCTGAGGAATCTGGCCGTTTGCAGCCGCAAATGGCTCTGTCCCATACCATCGGATATAGTTGTTTAAGTAGTAATCGTCGCACTCAGCACGGAGGCTCTCGGGGAATGGAAAGTGTCTCCGTTTCTTGGGGTTGCTGATGCTGGTCCATGTGCGAAGGGGTCCCGAAACTCGAATGCCGTCGTTATAAATCTGGTCGCCGCCACCGATCCTGTAGTCTGTTAGCGCTCGACAGGCTTAATAGAATCCTCAGCTTCTTACATGACATGGAACGGCGCCTCTTGATGACGCCTCATAACGTCGTTCCACAGACATGGACCACTCCAGTCCTCTTCATCCGTGCCGACGCTGAACCCGTTACAGGAGTGGAACATGATTCTCATCGATTCCGTGATGGCGGGCACGAAGAAGGTATTCACTTTTGGCTTCGTCTTGCTAGCAAAGACCAGGTAATCCGACAGCCAATACTCCCACTTGGTCTCATATGGTTCCATTTCCAGGTGCAGATCGAACCTCCAGAAAGTGTTGCGCCAATCCGAATAAAGACAGATTCCCTGGCTTTCACTGACTTTGGGTTCACTGCTGTGACCATTTGCAGCGCCATTGCCATTGTGACCATTGCTCATACCGACCGTGGCAGCCTTTCTCAGGAACAAGCTCGGCCTAAAGGACTGTTCTCTGCCACCCCCGCGGGTCACAACCAGGACACTGCCAACCCACTGATTTCCCTCCATGCGGCGATAGTTGATCAAAGGTCCTACAGCAATCTCCTTGTCGTTTGGAACGCTCTCCGGAGCCAATGCGTCGGCCATGTTCTTTTCGCCATTGAGAACCTCCCTGGCTTCTGTAGCGCCCAGCACAACGGGCTTGAACTTTGGATCGGTAGGAGGACGGGTACCAGCCTCCTCGGGCGAGATACGCGACTTGTTGAGGAAATCGGCCAGGTCGTTCACATTGCCGCGTGCGTCTGCTTCCCGCGCTATGGAGTGGTGATGGTGATGGTGGGAGGGTTGCTGGGGCTGGGCTCTCTTGGCCTCGTACTTGGCGAAAGCTCGCGACTCTTGGTGGCGCCATTGGGAGCCGGAGGCATGAGGATTGTGGTGTTCATCGCCGTGCGCATAGCCCTGCGCTTCGTGGGAGTCCATATCGAAGAGGTAGGCAGGCGGTATCGCAACGTTGTCGGTCGCAAATGTGAGCGGCGGTCAAATCGGTCACGTATAAGATTTCGCGACCTGGGGTTCCCAATTATAATACAAAGAAGCCCAAGCTCCAAGTCCGAGGTACCAGCAACGGATTCGGTAAGCGGTCGCAAGGGTTCAGCTTGCTAGGTCTGTAGGTTGAGGAGCCGGCGGGGTCTTGAAGCTGGTCTCTAGCCAAGAGACTAAGATGGCCTGTTGGGTGGTGAAGGAAGTAAAAGAGGGCAAAAAAAGAGAAAGAGAAGAAAAAATAAGATAAAAAATCACAGGACGAGGGAGGAGACTGTCAATCTAAACGAAATTGATGCCATGGGAACAGGGGGGTCGTGCACAACTCGTTCGACCCGAGCGGCACACTTGCTCGGCGACGGTGTCTCGGATACTCAGCTATCAAGCTTTGTCTAACAAGCTGCCGATTCTGGAAGGGAGTACACCTTGGTTGTTTCAGGGCCAAGATTTCAGTTCCTTGTCTTTTTATCAAGGGAGAAGTTCCCAACTAGGGAGGAGGAGGGAACGCGGAAGAAGAAAGGATATATGACTCCGGTACCACTCGAGTATACAAGTTGGAGAAAGTAGTGTTGGTACACAAGCCCATACACACAAGGCACACAACAACGTCACGGCATAAAGATGCCGACTTGGCCAATTGGTCTGTCTCTCATCAGTTCTGGGCATCGTGGAGATGAAATGCGGTGAAATAAGATCATCCATATGAAGATGGCAGTATGAGGAGATACAAACCCATCGTCTTCCTTTCGACGTTTGCGTATGGGTGTTGGGCAATCATGTTGATGGAACATTCCTAGGAGCTTTGGGGGAGCTGTTGGAGGCCTCGCTTGGTACCCTGTCGATCTTTGGGGGTCTTTTTCGATCTTCACTCGGGGCCTTTTCCTTTATGTTTTGACAAAAACGAAAACTCCGCTTCCATATGAAAGAGGATTGCGATGGTCCCTCGGGCTTGCGTCAGCGCGGTGTCAACGTCTTTGGTCCTGTGGCCTGTCATCATCCTGCATGTGGGGAGAGCAAAATCGTCCAATGGGGCCGCCGCGCTTTGGAACCCCTGTTCGGACGTTCAGCGGGGATTGGCGGGTCTCGGCGAACACTAGTTTTCAGCTCAAGAAGGTGATCGCGAGACCGACCTCTGGACGTGGATAAGGGTTGTTGCTCCGAACGACGGCCCAAAATGACACTCGAGTAAACAAAGGTAGTACCAAGAACAATATACAGCTAATTATACAAAATGTTCATATTTACACATCATTTACTTATTCTCAAGCATGGTGTCCAGAACACCCGACCCAGTCTTCTGGTCCTCCAGGTTCAGCTGAGTGTTTCCGGCTCCTTGAAGCCTCGCCTTCTTCTTCTGCTCCATCAGATGACCGGCGATAATACCAATGACCATGCCGCCCAGATGGGATACGACATCCATGGTATGGTTCTTGCTGAACAATCCCCAAATGTTCAAGCCACCAAACAATCCAATAAAGGCCAATCCCTGGACACCAGTATACGGGTCAGGAGGCAGGCCAAAGATCTTGAAGCCCTCGAATCTGTGCATCCAAAAGTAGGCTGCCGAGATACCGTAAATGGCGCCGGATGCGCCGAGGGTAGTCATATGGAAGTTGCCCTTCAGGACGAGCCAGAACAGACTGGTCAGGAAACCAACAGATCCGGACAAGATATAGGTAGTCAGGAAGTCGGCCCTGCCAACCTCGTCGTGAAGCCGGGTGCCAAAGAACCAGAGGATAGGCATGTTGAAAATCAAATGGCCCCAGACAACCTGGTGAGAGAACACGGCACCAAGCATGCTGAACGCCTTGGGTGTCGCAGGCGAAATCAAAAAGTACCGGAGCAAAGGCTTCCACATGACGGGGACCTTCCAGAGGAACCAAATCAGAACATTGGCGCCGATGAGGACGGCAACGGTGGCGGCTGCTGGAGGGCAATCGGGCCATAACCTGTTTTCGCGGCTGGGGGCGACGTAGAGCTGCGAGTATGTGAGGAAACCGGCAACGAGGAGAGCGACAAAGACGGTCGAGGGCAGCAGACGCTTCCACGCGGGCATCTTGGGAGGCTCCTTGAGGTCGGACATGGCCCATTCCTCCCATTCCTTTCTCTTGGCGCTAACCTCACGCTTCGGGGTGTCGTCCGCTTTGGCGAGAGGGCCGGCCTTGCCGTTCTTGTATTCTTCCTCGAGCTTCTTGCGTTCCTCTTCCTGCTTCCGGAGCTTCTCCTTCCAGATAGCCTCGTTCCGCGCGCGGATAGCATCGAAAGCGCTTTTGCCGTAAACCGACTGAGGCTCGGGTTTCTTTTTCTCGGATTCCTCGAGACCCTCAGAATCGTCCTCGTACACCTTGAACCGTGACTTGTACCCCAGTTGCTTGGTTACGTCGTCCTCTCCCTCGGCCTGGGCCTGGGCGTCTTCTTCTTGTTGCTTCTCCAGCGCTTCCAGCTCGTCCTCGGCGCGTAATCCGGCGTTCACGACCTCGTCGACATGGATGTTCTTGCGGAGGTAGTCCAGTGCGATTCTCCTGTCTTTAGGAGTGTATCCGGCAGTGTTGACTTTGAGCACAGGGTCGTCAAGGGTTCCAGCGACGCGTCGACCGTGAAGAATCTTCAGCAACCTGTTCGCCGCAGGAGTGGTCATGCCGGGCCCGAATAGCTGAAGAACCTCGCCAGCTGCCAGGTCATCGACGCGGAACGGCAAGCCCTCCTCATCCTTGTAGTTCGGGGGTAGGTCGACATAGTGAATGAGGATCCTGTTGCGGGCGGCAAACTTGAGGGTGCGTACGGCGATGCGCGGAATCGAAGAGGGACCGAAGAATGGCGTCGAAGAAGAAAGGCGGCCCCGGTTGGCTTGCCATTGTCTGGATGGGAGCAATGTCGTGGAAGAGAAGCATCGCGTCGTGGGTGCGGCGGCGACGAGCAGTCGGCTACATGCTTTGGAAAAATGGTGAGCGGCGACCTGGACGCCTGGCCGAAAGGCATTGACGCCCAGGGAGCAGTTCATGGTCACGGAATGGGCGCCCTATATCGCGCCGTTTCGCGCAAACTGTCCATCAAGGTGAGTCCGAACTCGGGAGTTGTTGGACCGGCCCATCTGGGGGAGCAACCGGAAAATGGCCAGGGAAAAAATAACGGAGCTCCCCGGGCCCGGCAGGCAGATTTGCACAGCGTGATTGGTTCTTTGAGGTCCAGTTGGCTCCATAGAGGGGCCGTCTTCTGCCCCTGTTCCCGTACTAAAAAAAAAGGGGGGGGGGGGTGTGGGCAACAGTTATTCGACCGTTGAAATTTAAATTATTGTAAATTTACTGTAAAATGCCGTTAAACGTTATAAAACGTTGACGTTGGCTATGTTAGACGTTTAAGTAGACCCAACGGTAAAATATCGGTTGATATAGCCAAACGTTTGGGAATTCTTGGACATTTAGGGTTAAATATCTAACCTCAAAGATCCTAAGCCAAGAGTTAGAAGAGGGAGCACCTTCCCATCTATAAGTTTTACCTTCGAGTTCCTTCTTCGATTAGATAGCAATGGTCTTTTGGCCAAGTAGTCTCGCGCGCAGATAGAAATTGATCTTTTACCCAAGTCCTCTATTCGAATCCTGACCGTGCAATGTTTTTCGTAATATCCCAATTTGAAAGTTGAGTCCAAACACCAAAGTGCATTACCAAGTGAACACTAAGAAGATGCATCACCAAGAACACCAAGAAGATGCATCACCAAGAAGAAAAAGAAGAAGAAGAAGAAAAAGAAAAAGAAGCACCAAAAAGGTGCACCATCCTTTTGCACTATAGAATAAGGCCTTGAGATAATTTTTAGACGTTTGGCCATGCCAAAACGACTCAGACTGCAAACGTTTACATTTTCACCAACGGTTGCTCAATCCTTGGCGCGCTGGTAAACGTTTGAAAATTTCAACTGTCATTTTACGCTAAATTTACTGTTTCCTGCGCACACCCCCATGCAGTACGGTCTCCAGGCACCTTTGCGGGACAGAAGGACCCCGCATTGCAAGCTTCCAGAACAAGCTCCCGTCCAGGCAATCGAGCTGCGACGTCAGGTCAGGGCCTCGAAATCACCATCGTAAAGAGGATCTTTCAAATACCAAATCAGCACCAGATTCATCCCACATTTTCACCGTACCTTGAAGACGACAAAAGTCCATTCACGACGTCAACACTCTCCCACAATAACGGTACTTGCTGCTATACAAATAGGTAGCAACAGTCCACTCTACCCACCTCAACGACAACACAACCACAACACCTGATAACCAATCACACACAAACATGTCATCCTCGGCCGCCGAATCCCTCCCCATAACCCCCCAAGCTTTCGCCGCAGCTCTAGAAGACCTCCCCGTCTCGGCCCTCCACCTCAAAGTCCTCGAAATCTACAACTCCATCGCCCACCTCAAGTACTCCAACGAGCAGCTGCGGCCCTTTGCCGAAGGTCTCGAAGCCCCTCTCGGCGGCTCGTCATCGCAAAACCAACAACCCGACCCAGACTGCGTCGAAGCCATCCGCGAGAACGAGCAAGTCATGGTCCGCATGGAGGAGCGCGTCCAGCTGGTCAGGAACGAAGTCGAGCGCAGGGGACTCAGCTGGACCGAGTTCGAAAGGAAGGAGGAGGTGGAGGCGGCCGCGGCGAGGAATAGGGCTCGCGGACCGGTGGAGACTGGTGAGGAGGATTCGGACGATGAGGAGGAGCAAGGACAACAACCGATGACGAATGGAACTTCGACGACAACGACAACGACACAGCAGCACCCCGCTTGGATGGATGGGACGTTTCAGACTGGAGTGATTAGGAATGGAGAGATTGTCATGGATGATGTTGCTGGGTCGAGAAGACAGCAGCAAGAGCAACAAGGTGATACTGGTACTGGCACTGGCACTGGCGCTGGCGCTGGCGCTGGTGCTGGTGGCTCGCTGAGTGACGAGGAGCTTAGGAGGAGGATGGAAGAACGACTACGGGACTTGGGAGGGGAAGATGACGAGGAGGAGGAGGGCGGTATGCACCTGTGAGAGGCAAGCGACGGGAATAAGGGACCGAAGGAGTTGAGCATCGTGAAGAAGAGGTTACGCACGACTTGTCACTTGCAGCATGGGCCGGCAGGCTGGCGTATAAGTGGCGTTGTGGTGCACTTTTTTGTTATTCGGTTACTAGTGCGCTTCAAGGGTGAAAAGGTTAATTTAGATGGATGCTACAAGAGCAGGGCTGGGCAAGGGAGATTCTCCAGAATCTCTTTTAACTTTTTCGTATGGGCGGTCTGGTAGTAATCTGATTTGGAACACAGGCGACGCCATCTTGATTGTAGTAGGTGTGACATTCTTCACCATCTCTGCTACACCTCAACTTCTGGGGCGCTAATTGAATCACCATTTTTTTTCTTATGAGATTGAGTTCTATTACGTTGGCCTCGACTGGAATTTCAACGTGGGATCTTCTGGACTCGTCAGTTCTCTTGATGATGCGTCCCACAATGCGCCAACCATTGGGGATTCGATAGCATCGAAACATGATATCGGTCATTGGAACAGTTATGAAGCACAGGAATGCATCGACTCGGGCAATTGACTGTCAATGTCAAACAGCCCTGTTTCCTCTCTCGAAACTGTACTCTCTTTCCACAACATCTAGACGCGGGTAAAAGCTGTCGACCTGAGACAAGTGATCTTCACGATAGGCGCGGTAACACACGTATGACGACACCAAATCCAACATTATTCTCTCGTTCCTCAAATGCCATGGTCGTCCGCATGTTTCAATGTTTCATCGTCGGGAACGCATGACTTTGGTGTTGAAACGCCAAAGTGGGGAGGGATAAACGGGCGAATCCCTGGGAGTAACACGAGGACGGGAGTTGAATGGTTCGTTTGGGGCATTCTCGAAACAATTGACAGAGAAGGAACTTGTTCATACACGCGTCGACGACGGAAGATCTGATGAAGATCTCGGGGTTTGAAGGCATTCCAGGCTTTGGGACAATGCATTGTCGCATAATTCTGTTGTCTTGTTTGGTGGTTGGTGTGGCTCAGAGGCTCAGAAGTCAGAAGTAGGGATGATGGCATGTTACCTCATCTTGAGTGCCTTAACATGCTTTGCTGCAAAGCTCACCAGACTTTGTTTGGTACACATGTAACCATCGTAGGCGCCAGGGGAGATGTTATTCTGGATATTGTCCTGGAGGTTGCACCAGGACTTGGAAGGGAGGTAGGTTTGGTTGGTTGTGGCAAATTATCTCCAAGACCGGGACGACGGGCGGACTGAGGTAAAGGTTACATCGGTCCTTCAGATTTCAGACGACTGCCTTGCCCTCCACTTGTTGGCGATTTGGCTCATTGCTCGCTCCTCGCTCGTCTTTGTGTTTTCCGGTCGCTAGCAAACCCTCATGACACTTTGCAATCTGGGGAACGTTGATAGTTTTGTTTCATGGGAGAGGAGACAAGATGACAGCCGAGGCAGAGGGCGATTCGGGTAATGCCGAACGCTGAGTGTCGGAGCGCATTCCGCTTTCATTCCCTCGAGATTGCAGAAATCCTCTTGGCCAATTTTCAGGGTTTGGGCTTGGCAACGTTGGTTCTTCTCAGGTTCCCAAGAGTCTTGGCGATGGATCCCCTCAAATTCCCCCGGTGTCACCTGCCCTGCCCGAGTTGAAGAAGTCGGCGGTTGCGATGATGAGGGTGCGATAACAAGAGCAAAAGATGGTGTCGATCGTTGAACACCTCAGTCAAAGTTCCATGGTGTCGGGATGATGGTTGTGCAGGTTTTGATATCAAAAGTTATGCACGCCATTCTCTGGTTAGCGCATCCCGTTCGTCGCATTGTTCAACGCAGATGCATGCATGGAGACGCACAGGCATCAGCATCCGCCATCAATCCCACTTCATTCAGTGGTTCATCTCGCCTTCCCAAACACGGTGGCGCCTTGTAAAAGAGACAAGAACACATGGACCAGCTTGTTTGATTCAAACTCGAACGAAGAGAATGCAGCATTCAATAGGTGAAGAGCGACACCGCGACTTTGTTCAAGCTGTTAGACGCCGTCATCGTCAATCAATCGGCAAGACATTCCACAGCTGGAGTCGGAGTTTTATTTTTAAAATCTTGCAGATTCAGGAAAGACAAAGGGACCGTGAGCAAGTGTCCACACCTGTGCCGGCCCGCCGGACACCGCTATGCCAATGGTTCGTTCCATCTCGAATCGGGGTCAGCGGATGTGCGCCAAATTAAGGCCTGTCCCGGCACGCCCAGGCCGCAATACGAGGCCGCGGAGCCAGCTGGCAGTCCTTGCCGGTCGTCGCCAGCCTGTCGGCATTTTTTCGGACGGGTGGTCAACCATGTCTGACAGTGCTTGTTGCTTGTCAAAGTCAGGTGTTTGCATTTTGCAGGGCTTCGGGGCCTGTGGATATCGAGCCCACAGTGCCCTACCGCTTGGTCCCCACCGTGTCCACTCCTTTGTACCCGACCCTCCGTTCCTGTTTTGAGATTCGCAGCGAGGAAGGTGTGTTGTCCCCGTCGTCCACTTGTCTCCGTGACCTGAATGCTTCATTGCAAATGCAGAGATCACGCTCTTTTTTCATCATTCTAGAGTAGCCGTCCCACCCACCCACCCTTCCACCATTTCTAGTCTCTCGTTTCCCATTTTCCACCCGTTTTCCCATTTCCCCCCTTCCCCTTCATTATTACACTTTGATATACGAAAAAGACAAACAAATTGAAGGGAACCTAACCCATACAATCGTTTCACCAACCGCGCGCACTTCCCTCGTTCGATTCATCTTAAATTCCACTTCCAGTCTCGACACCCGACGACACTGAGAGCAACCGCCTTCGTTTAGTTCACTGGTCGACATCCGCCGCGCCCAAGCTAATTAGCCTGCGCTAAAACCAAGCCGATCGTCACCAAGTGCGCACCCGGGCCTCACTTAGCCAGCAGACCAGAGGTCAAGCCGGTGTAATAACCCTTCCCCTTAAGGGTTCGACGATTCCCATATCATCAACCACCAACCATCAACCATCAACACCACATCAACACTTCACATCAGTGTCATCATCATGCAGCTCAGTCGCCTACTTCTCGTCGGCCTTTCGGCCCTAAGCGTCGCCGAGGCCTCCTACATGCGCATCGGCGTCAATGTCCCTCACCACAAGAACCTCGGTGCCCTGGCGCGGAGAGCAGACGACGATAGCTCCTCCGCCGACATCCCCATCCCGACCGTCAAGGCACCGACCCCAGAGACGACATCAACGAAGGCTGCTCCTGTCACAACAACAAGCGCAGACCCTCCAGCCGAGCCCACCACCACGACCAAGCCTCCACCTGTCTCGGTGCCAGCTGTCACCACAACATCACCTCCCCCGGCACCGACAACCACAAAACCCAGCAACAACGACCAGCCTCCAGTAACAGCGAACCCTAACGGCGACGTTGTATCTTCTACCCAGGGACCAGCACCAACACCTTCGTCTTCGGCTGGCGGAAGCGGTGGATCATCCAACAACGACGATGGCGACTCCAAGTCCTACTCGTCTGTCAAGCCCGTCATCTTGACCGTCACCCAAGTCATCACCACCACCAACCAGGAGGGAGTTGCGACAACCATGACGACCGAAGCCCTCACCACGTCGACCCCGCCTCCTAGCCTTGCTTCCGATAAGAACAACGGCAAGTCCGGCGGCGGCATGTCGAACCAGACCCGCAACACCGTCATTGGCGTCGTTGTCGGTATCGGTGGAGCCATCGTCCTGGCCGGCTGTGGTATCGTCGCCTGGAGGATTCGGAGCCGCAAGAGACAGTCCGACGAGGCCGACAATCTGATGGAGTACAACGATGCTGGCAAGCCCGAGGTTGGAGGATCGATGGTCGGACGCACGCCCTTCCAGAGCACGCTGGAGAGCTACCATGCGCCAACGCATGTGAACCAGGCGTCAAACTTCTAATTTCTGTTGTCGATAAAATTTAAACAAAGAAATATGAAGTTTTTGCCTTGTCTCATTTTATTTTGAAGCGTACCAGTCATCCGCGATCGAGATACCCCCTCCGCATATTTCAACCATTGTCACCGCCGTCGCCGCCGTCGCATGGTTTGCCTGTCATCAGCCAGTAGCCTGCATTTTTTTCACCCAAAAATCTTATTTTAACTAGTTTTACACAAACCATCTGTCAATGTCATATCGCATTAACATTTTTCTTTCTGGCTCGGCTCGGCTTGGTTTTGACCCTGGGGAGCTCACATTTATGTGGTATTCTACCGGTAGTGGGCAGAGCATTTTGCATGCATTTGGGGGAGACGAAGATACAACACAAACTTTATGTACACTACGTTTTTTTACATACACACTCACTACACTCCCATCACGAAAGGATAATGAATTTTAAAGGGTGGAAAAGCCATAGGCAGAGCAGGCAAGCAAGCAGAGAGATGGATGGATGGATGGATGGATGGATAGAAGGAAAGAGATTCCAAATTATACAACCGTTCAAACAAACCCACATTCCGCGTGAAGACAGTAGTCGAAATAACCTCAATTGCTTGCGTGACACATTATCAGCCAACGATATCACAACTTGCTGGGCTGGATAGACACAAAGAGGGACATAAGAACCCAGCGCTTGCTTTGTGCCTGTCTGTTAGAAGGCTTCCCCATGTCTTCTCCTTTGTTCACCATCATCAATCATGCTCAGCCCCACTTGACTGGAACTACTCATCAGTAGGTAACCCGAATATACTCGAGGAACGGACAGAAGTTAGTTAGCGACTACCTCTACGAACAAATAATTACTTTCAGGCTCTTGGTCCCAGGGCATCATCATCAACTAGTCAGTTGGGCAGTTTGTCAGTTGGTTGGCTGTCTGTCAATCACCAACTAAGTAAGCACCGATCGCTACCACCATATCTTCGCCAAACACCGACAACCAGAAGAGTAAAGGGAACAAAGAAGACAAAGACCAAAGAGAACAGAGGCAGCAGAAAATCCCCCTTTGTTTGTCTCGCAGCCGCGGCGTTTCACAACTTTCAGTTCTTGAACTGGATTTCCTGACGATCAGGCACTGCCGTGGGTACGTACTACTTCCATACTAGTCACCCATCAACAACAAAGGACTGACTGATCAACGAAACCACCACCTTGTCGGTTAGATGTAGGTTGTACGTACGTCGTCAGGTTATGCATACACTATTCTACCCCTTGATTCCTTCCTTCGGCATTTCTTTTGTCTCCACGTGGGTGTGGATGTGACATGCCTCTGAGGCTCGGCCCGTTGTGAGAAGGAGGGATAGAAGATTAAGGTGCTTCTAGAAGGCTTGATGAGTGGACTGGGAAAGATTGCGCTCCGTGCGGCCTTGTTTTGGAAGGCCGGTAAGGAATGAACGGGAAGTCGACGACGATAGAGTTAAGCATAAGGTACCTAGGTAAGGTAAGGAACGGGAAGTCGACGGGTGGTGGTGGTGCCATGGAGGTAGGTGCTTATCAAAGATACTACCTACTTAAGAGCTAAGCTTTAATGTACGTCTAGAGATTTTTTTTTTTTTTTTTTTTGATTTTTTTTTCCGAATTTGGAACAGCTTCGGGATTTAAGAAGTGCCTCTCTTCTCTGTTTCCATCCTCCGGGTCTCTCGTTTCCTAGGTACTAGAACTAAACATGTTTGTTGGTGATGTGGGGTTCTAGACTCAAGGCGAGATCACGGGCTACCTAAATATGATGATGTGAGCAAGTTCTTGAAGACTGAGATGCCACACCGAGCTAGCTCTCCGTTGCATCACCTCAACCAAGGTGGTTGACTGTACTGTATCTAAAGAATGTTCGGGTCGGTGGCACGGCGAAACGGACAAGGAGAGAGTGGTTACCTTATTCCGCACTCTTCTTATACACTTATCGACAGGCCTACGAGGTATCGAACGTAGATCATCGTGAACCTCATTTCATGTGCATAAAGTTTCCAGTCGATCACCACCACTTTTTGTTTGCTCATGCCTCATGGCTCAGCTTAGATGACGACGATATTGGTTATGGTTCTGGTGGTCGGGTCGGGATTAGGAGAAGGGAGGGCACGGGAGGGTTACGTTGCGTTGCAACGATCAACGGCGGCCTCGTCTCAAGATCGTTTCAGCCTTGACCACGACTTGGCTGGAGGGCGCTTTGAGCCTGAAGACGACCACTTTCCTCTTCTTTGCCTTGATTATGTTCGGTCATCTAATTACTGTGTTGTTCTCTCGGTTGAGCTGTGACGGCGACAAACTCGAATCTTGCTGGTTGTTGAGTGCTCTCTGGGTTTCTTTTTTCCTTTGAGAAAGTCATCGAATTCAACACCTTGCCTGATCTCCGCGCACAATACTACTAGCAAAGACGAGACGACGAGATTACGAGCCGGTTCACCTTGGTAAAACACCAGATCACACCACCTACCTCAGCATCGACCATAAGTTCGAGTCCAATTTCAGCCCCGAGCTACCACGATGAAGGCCACCACAGCCCTCCGAGCCATTCTCATCCTCACCAGCAGCACCTCGACAGTCTCAGCCTTTTCAGCAGCCTCCACACCAGACTCACCACCCAGCCTCGAAGACACTCTCCACCACAACGAGCTCGGCTTCGCCTTCAACCACCTCCCGCGACAAGTGTCAACAGGCCAAGAGCTGCAAGCCTTCTTTTCCGAAAAGCCTTTGGGCGGAGCGTCATCGCAACCGATAGTGTTTTCTGGGAATCCTGAAAGGCCGTTTGAAGTGGAGGGTGATACTTTTGTTAGTTTTTCCCTTCTCTTCTCTTCACTTTCCATTCTGTTCTATTCTACCTTCCCTGCTGCTGCAGGTCAACATACTCTCCTTTTCTTCTTTGCTGACTGACTGACTGACTGACTGACTGACTGACTGATTGTATCAGCCCGACTTCCCAACAGCAGCCAACCGAGTCTGCGACAAGCAAAAGAATGCGTGCGCGGAGATGGCGAATGATGCGAGTGAGGTGAAAAGCTTTCGGGTTAGTGATTGTGATGAGCAGCGAGGTGAGTAGTAGTTCCCGGGAGTGTTTTTTTAGTGAGGTTCTCTCGAAAAGTGAAGAGGGTATCTCTTCTTGGATTCTTAGGTTCTCAGGCTCTTTAGGGTCAAAGTAGCCTGAAGGTTCCTTTGCAATTTTTCAGTTTGTTAACACATCATGGCTCTTTTAGAACGATGTATGAACTCGATACAGTCAGCGACGGAGACGAGCTTTGCGGACAAACCAGGGCCGACGCTGGTGGTGTCGAATGCGACGCATGATATTTTCTGTGATGTGTAGAGTGTGGCTACAAACATTGGTTTACTTTTGGGTCGCGTTATGGTGTGATGACGGGCGTTTGGTGTTAAGGATTGAGGGCAACTTTGGGCATTCGCTAGACGTCGAATCAACTTTGACTTGGAAGCGCCCAGGTGAACCATCCGCTTGGATTGTTTTTTGTTTCATCTTGGTCTTCTCTTGGATTCAGGCTCACTGTCGACATCATTCTGAATGTTTGCCAAGGCAGGTACAAACCTGAGACATGAAGCCGAAGGACATTTGCAGTCGCAAGAACCTTGATAGGCAACTATGGCGTCGCTGCGCCAGTGGTATCAGCGACCTGCAGCGGCCAGCGGGTGGCCCCGTGCCTTTGCTTCAAGTTCTCGTCCGTTCCTTGCTCTACGAACGATCGGATTTCCCGCTCTGGAGATCCGGGCGATGCCGAACGACGGGAATCTTCAACGTCTTCAACAATGAGCATTCTTTCCATTCGACTTGAAACACATTTACAAAAGCCAATGGCTGACCTCGGACACAAGTAGATCTGAAACATGAACTTTTAAAAAAATGCACAAATCCAACCAGTTCCAGCACTCCACATGCGAACCAGATCTTGGGGACTTCTTTTCCACCCATCTTGGCTTCCTTGGGTATCGCTGCATGGCCCTTGCCTGATCCGGGTTGATGCCAGCACGTGTTGCCCCTTTTTCTCTGAAAGGTGTTCCTGAATGGACAATGTTTTGTGAAAGAGTTTCAGCCTGAACAGAGCCTCATCGTGGTGTTTTGCCGCTGCAGTGTAATCCGACAACTTTTTAGTTAAGACCAATCGGGAAGTGGCAAGTGGAAAACAAACAGACAAGTGACGGCTACGGGAGTTGAAGCGAAGGATGGAACATTTCCATTTCCATGCGGTCTAAACCTTGTGGTACTGTACTGACGAGTATGTACTTGGCGGCTACCTTGAGACCCCGCTTTGTACCCGCCATCTATCAAATCGCACAACGGCATTCGACGGACAATGTGGGTCGGTCAGGGACCATGCGGAACCATAATGGACTCGGCGAGGGTGAAGCTGAGCGCTAGGTATGCCCGCTGCCTCTGAGAAGGCGGGACGGATGGTGATCACCGAAAGAACGAACGAACCCCAGCGGGCGGTCGGGAAAAATAATTGTTGGCGACAGAGGCACTATAGTAACCAGAAAGCACGCGTCAGGTCAGCAGCTGCAGCACGAGCATCCGATAGTCGTACCTCTTCCAAGGTACAGTACCTCTCTCTGGCACAACCTCCATCTGCAACCACACCAACCTAAGGAACCTCAAGTCAACCTTTCAAACCTCCATCCATCCCGCTCTCGGTTCTCGGTTCGCCAGCACACCCTGTGTCGGAAACGGAAACCTCCCAGTCCAGTCGTGGAAAACGCGTCGACGAACCCTCCATTCACGGCGATACTTTGCGCGTCTTTGCTGGTCCCTCCAAGTGTTTCAGAAAAGTCTACCTCTACACCTCTTTATACAACCACCAATTCGCAGCGGTGAAAGAAAAGCAACAGCAACACCAACAGCAACAGAGCCCCTCGATGCGTCCGGCACTCCAGAACCGTTGCCTTCTCCCCTTCTTCTCTTCGCTCATTTGTTGACTTTTGGTCGACCCTGTACCTTAGTTAATTCGTTACCGACTTTTTATTTTTCCAAGGTCTTCTACCTCTAAGCTTCCTAATTGCCCCCTTTGGCTCTTCTGGTACCCCATTTTTATTCTCCTGGCCTCGCCATTTGTCGACAACAACTATACCGTTACCGCGTGGGACAGTGGTAACGAAGGAAAAAAGGGACATCAACATCACGACCCTGTGGTGCTGACCAAAATCAAAAACAAATCGAGCATCGGTGGCAGACAGGCTCCGGCTTCGTCTGCGCGCTGATCTCGTCCAGGTGAGCTTAAGTCCATACATCCACTTTTTGTAGCTCTCGAGCCCGTCACCCGTCGTCCCCGTCCCCCGTCCCCCGTCCCCGTTCCCCGTCCCCCGTCCCCGTTCCCCGTCCCCCGTCCCCATCCCGTCTCCATAGTCCATACATGACTTCAGGACAGAAACTCTGAAACTCCCACTCCTGACTTGGTAGTGATTCACATGCTCCAACTCTTCCACCGCCTTTTGCATCCCGGTTGCTAACCTTGGACCTTTACTTCACCTTTCGCCAGCTATTCCAAAGACGTCTTCCCTAAAGTCGTCACCGCGAACCCCTCCTCCTGCTGCGTTCGCGCAGGACGGTATCAAGAACTACTTCCGACACCCATCTGAATCGCCCGCCTCTCCTGCCCTGTCGAGCGCCTCCACCGCCCAAGGCGAAGCTTCCCCCGAGCTTCCGCCCTTGCCTGTCCCCAGACTTCCTCTCCGGGTTCAGGGTCTTCTGAGAACTCCGCCCACCATCTCCGTGAACGGAGACGAAGACGACGGAAGCCGCTGGGGCTCTCCCTACCCCCCAAACCTGCGAACCGAGAGTTCGAGCAGTGACGACGACGACTCCGAATCCGAGGGAGATCCCATTCATTCCCTAGCGCTCCAAACTCGCTTTCTGCGACCCGCCCCGCCCACTCAACAAGACACCCCGTCCGAGTCTCGGTCATCCCTCATCAGCGGAGCCGCAAGCGTCCTCGCCACTCGCGCAAGACGCCTGGTACACGGAATCACAGAGGACTGGATCCGTCAGCATACAGCGCACGGTAGCGAGCGGGAGAAGCTACATTGGTTTAGCGACGGCACTGGCGATAGTGAGAACTCTTCACTGAGCGACTCATTTTCCGGTGACGAAGACGCCGCTTGGCTAGGAGACCACCTTCTTACCCCCAGGGCGGATCGTCGGCGAAGCAGCAGGCGAAGCAGTAGACAGCGCCAGGAATCACAGGGCGCCCTCAAGAAGCAGTCGAGCACCGATACTCTAAGACAGTCCCGCCTGGTCAGCAGACAGGCAAGCAGATCCAACATGGCGTCCCCGAACGAAAGGGCATCGCAGCCCGACGTCACTACGGCGAGTGACCGTGCACCCTCAGTCTCTCCATTTCCCGAACGAACATCCTCCATTAGCCAGCCGGTTAGCGCAACAAAGCCCGAAGATGCTTCCAGCATAAACGGCCTAAAAGGAGAGTCTGCCGCAGCTCCTTCCACACCGTCGAAACCCGCACCCAAACGTACCTCTACCCTCGTCGCATCGCCTCGAATGAAGAAAAAGGTCCCATGGAAGGGTAAGAGCGTCATGATCCTTATTCCCAAGGACGACGAGCGTGGGCAACCGGGCAAGGCTCCAATCCCTCTCTCCGAATCCGAGGTTCGGGAAAGGATGAGGAGTTGGCAACAGCAGGGTCATGATATCAGCGGCTTTGATCTGGAGCCGTCAAAGACCGCGATTGATAAGTCCATTTCGCAAAGTAGAGGATCCTGGCCCGATTTCGATGATTTAATACAGGAGCGACAGGAAAGAAGCTGGAAAGTGCTTCTTCCCGACTTGAATGGTAAGATCCCGCCCTGCTACATCTTGACCTCTGAAGGTATGCCTAACATCCGCCATCTAGCTTGGAAGAGATACGTGGACGAGTTGACCGAAGCGAAGCTCAGAGCTCTGGGAGTATCCCTTGGGGACGACGAGCCCCCACAGCCTTCGGTTTCTCCGTCCACATCCATGAGCCGACAGCCTTCGGTTGCCAACTACCCTCCGCTCCCCTTCTCACCTCCGCTGCCGACTTCTTCGGCCGCCAGTGGAGCTGGTCTCCCGGGCTTTCCTTTCCATCATGGTCTTGGGCCATCGCCTACCAGCCCAGGTCTCCCTGCCGGCATGTCGCCTGCCTCGTTTACATCCAAGTATAATCCTCGGGCTTCGATATCGATCCCATCTCCACATGCCTGGTCTCAGCAGATGATGATGCAACAACATGGACACCGCATGGGTTCACCCTCGCTTGCTAACCTCAACGCGATGATGTCTCCCAGCTCACCATTCTCACCAGACGGTGGTCTCTTTAGTCCCATGGGCCATATGGGCCATATGAGCCATCAGCGCCATCAGTCTTTGCAGTTACCCATGTTCCAGCATCAGCCTCAGCATCAGCTCCAGCATCAGCTCCAGCATCAGTTTGCGCCGCCCCCACGAGCATCGTCGCGCTTGCAAGATCTTTCCGAAATCGCCGAAGAAGAACCAGCTCAAGATCCCGTGCGCGCTCCCGAAGCCGGTCTCCCCCATCACATTCCAGGCGATGATTTGCAAAGGGAAATTGATGAAGCTGAATACCATTTGGAAGAACAGATGCGCTCGCAGCTCGAAAACGACCAAGATTACAGCCCGCACAGAGAGGAACATACCATCCCGCCGGTTAACCCCCATGCCAGAGACTCGTCAGTTCACTTCGCTCCCCAGCAACCTCAATTTGGTGCTAGTTCGGACGGCCTTGTCTTGCATCATCCGAGACCGCACAGTCGCGGACACTCGCTGTCGCAAAAAGTCTTTACCGAAGAGGACATCTCTAATAGTGGAGGTGGTTTTAGGCCTACTCTGCAGCCGATTGACGGACTGGCTGCTGAAGACGACGAGATCGAGACGAATCCAAGCAACCTAGGAACCCCCATCCAAGCGCTCGAGTTCCAGAAAATGATGCATCAACATACACTATCTAATGCTAGTAGCTCCTGGAGCGCAGGGAAGCCTGCGGTTGGCCCCGTCCCTAAGCATGCCAGCCATGGCAGCAAGTCTTCGTTGTCCAAGTTGAACGTGGAAGCGCCCGAGTTCAAGTTTAACCCCAACAGCACTTTCACACCGCAGTTTACCCCCCAAGTCGCCACGTTCTCTGCCGCCACCAGTCACTTCGCTGCATCAGCACCTACGACTGGCGCTATCAACCCGACTGCGTCTGTGTTCTCCCCGACTCAGAGCGAGTTTGGCCTCAAGTTCCGCCCGGATGCGCCTGCATTCACTCCTAATTCGTTTGCAACGCCGGCCGCAAATCCCGTGGTGGAAAGCGATGCCAAGCCTGAAAGCTCGGTTGTTGGCGCCGAGGAACTGGAGAAGGCCGAAATTGTTTTGCCCGTTAAGGAAAGCAAGGCTGTTCCGATCTTGCCCCCAGATGAAGAGGTGCAAGGAGAAGAGAGCAAAGATGAGGTGGAGGGACAACTTGACGGTGTTGTCTTTTCCAAATTGGATCATCACAATGTTGAACTGGACAGTGTGGCTCCTGCGGCGTCGGAAACCGCTGAAAGTTCTACTCCTGTGGCTGAGTCTAGGCCAGACAAGGACGAGGATGAAGACCTGCCGATTGAGGAGAAGTCATTCGACGAGTCCACTCATGGTCACCCTGACATGACTCTGTCTTCGACTATGGCTTCTGAGACGACAGATACCCAGGCGACGGTGAGCCCGTCAGAGCAGGCTGCGGATCCCATGTCTTTGAACTGGACTGTCTCAGAGCTCAAGGATCCTAACCCCTTCAGTGACGATGCCGCTACTCATCATGGCCACAAGAAGTCTCTCTCTGCGACTGCCTCGGCGTTTGTGCCCGGGATCTCGACATGGCCAACGGAAGTCGCAGATGTCGCTACTGGCTCTTCTCAGCAACCACCTCAGCAGACGCCTGTTGTAGAGGTTGCAGAGGCAGAGCAGCATATTGAGAAGGTAGCTGCAGAGCCTGAAGTGGTTACTGTGCCACCGAAGCCTACCAAGGGCCTTGCTGCTTCTCGATGGGCTCCTAAACCACCGCCGCCCCGGCGCGAAGGGTCCAAGAAGGAGGAGAGTACTGCAGCGGCCGCAGAACCCAGCTTTGACGACATTGATGCGGTCATGCGCCACCTCAGTGCTAACCCAGATATGGGTATCAACAAGCCCGCCGGTAGTCAGACTCAGACTCAGTGGCACCAGCCTAGCCCGACTCGCCCCATTCCTTTGGAGGCAGTTACGAACTCGTCGCCTTACCATCAAGTGGAAGATAACTCTCGTAGTCCTAGCCCGAATCCGCGCGAGTACACCGGTCTTCCTCTTCAGCCGTCACAGCCAATTCCCACAACCGAGCTGGAGGACCCCTTCCTCGACCCTCCCACCAGTGCGCAGTTCATTGAGGGGCCTGTCCACCGCCTCAATGGCAGTGATGACGTGCCAGTTAGCGACTGGAACGGCGCTTTCACTGAGGATGAGCAGGAAAAGCTGGAGTCCCGTGTCACTTTCTTCAATGGGCAGGTCAATGATGTTGTTGGCGGTATCCTGGATAGCCGTCTTGGCCCACTGGAACAGACTCTTGATACCATTAAGCACTCTCTGGCTGCTATCTCGAGGAGAGCTGTTTCGAACCGCCGAGACGTGCGCAGCGCCTCTGCCGAAGTCCGCGATAGCGACGCCGATGACGAGGATGATGATCTGCCTACTACTCGCCGTTCCATCAGCCCGCGTAGGGACCGTAAGATGGAGCAAATCAAGGCTGCTGTTATGGAAGCCCTCGCTTCTCAGCAGAGAACCAGGCCAACGTCCTCCTCTGCCAAGTCGACTCTTGGCGACCGCCCTGACGTCCTTCAGGCCCTCGAGGAGCTGAAGGCTCAGATCACTCAGCCAAGGGTCTCCTCGATCGACAACGAAGACATCAAGAAGATTGTTGAAGAAGTGGTGCATAACCGCCTTGAGCCTGCAGTGGATGAAGCCAAGGAGGCCAAGGTCACTGACCTTCAGGCTCGCGTACTGGAGCTCGAGGAGCGACTCCGCTCTCAGGAGGCCAAGGTGGAGACGGAGATTGCGGCCAGGCGCGCTGCTGAGGACCGTGCGTCGGATCTCACCCGTGAGATCCAGTCTGCTGCGACCAAGATTGAGGTCGAGATGATGAACAAGAGCGCCCTGAACCAGCGGATCGCCGACCTTGAGGAACGTTCCCAGCAGTTCGAAGGACAGGCTGAGAAGGAGCAGAAGGGCCGGAGAGCTGCCGAAGACAAGCTTGCCGAAGTCCAACGCCAACTGAAGCTCACCACAGAGGAAGAGAGCCGCCTCAAGAAGGAGGTCGACGAGAAGGACCATAAGATCAAGGCCATCGAGGCCGCTAACAATAAGGTTGCCATGCGCTTGACCCAATTGGAAGCCGGCACCGAGAACACTCAAAAGTCTAGGAGCGAAGCGCAGAATCGGATCAACATGCTGGATAACGATCTTCGGACTGCTCGGCAAGAAGCTCGGCACTGGCGGTCTGAGGCTGATAGAGTCAGCGAGCTTGCCAAGCGTCGTGATGCTGATCTTACCAAGGCTCTTGACGAGAACAAGGTTTTGCATAAGCTGATCGATACCCTTGGTACTCAGGTCCATGAGAACGAGCGCGTCCGTGACAGCTGGCGCACCAAGTTCCTTGCCCTTCAGGATGAGATGGCTAACGCTGCTCGGCAAATCACCGAGGAGAACGCCAGGCGCACCAAGAGGGAGCAGACGTTGATTGCCCGCCAGGAGGTCCTGGATGCTAAGCTGCAGGCCGAGGCCAGAACTCGTGAACGGATCGAGACCGAGCTGGAGAGGCTGGAGATGAACGAGCGGCAGGGCATGAGGGCTGTTGCGGAGTGCAAGAGACTTGAGCAGTTGCTTGCGGAGATGCGCACTGAGAACCATAAGTTGCAGCAGAGCGCTTTGCGGTTCAAGTCTGAGTTCCAGGAAGCTAGGGAGTCCGCTGCTCGCGAGATTACGCGTACCCGCAACGCCATGCACGCAGAGGTTGAGCAAGCCAACCACCAAGTTAATGCTGTCCGCAGGGAGCTTGAAGATGAGCTTAACAGACTCAGATCCCAGATGGACCAGGTTAAGTTGGACGCCGACACAGCCAAGGCTCAGCACGACATGCTCCTTGAGGAGGCTCAGAACTCGAAGAAGACGGAGCTTGATGAGCTCATGCGCAAGCATCAGAACGAGGTGGAGGATCTTCAAGCCCGCTATGAGCGTCAACTCAGCAACACCACTGAGGACGCCCAACGGACGGAGAAGAACCTCTTGGATCGCTTGAGCATCGAGACATCCAAGGCCCAGCATCTCCAGGACAAGCTGTTGCATGTCGAGGAGAAGCTGGAGATTGCCAAGGAAGCTGCCCGTGCCGCCGCCCAAGCGGCCAAGGCTTCTGTGGCCGGTACTTTTGAGGCTCCCGCCGTGTCCAAGTCCGCCTCCAACGATGTCCAGCCTTCCGAGAGAATCTCGCCCCAAGCCCTCCGCGAGTCCATCATGGTTCTCCAGGAGCAGCTCCAAGCCCGCGAGCTTCGCATCGAGGAACTCGAGCAGCAACTCGAGAAGGTCGATCCCGAAGCCGACATCAAGATCTCCAAGCGCGACGACGAGATTATCTGGCTCCGCGAGCTCCTTGCTGTGCGTCACTCGGATCTACAGGACATTATTGGTGCTCTTTCCAGTGACGACTACGACCAGGATGCAGTCCGCGACGCCGCTATCAGGCTCAAGGCCAACCTCCAGATGGAGGAGCAGGAGCGTGAGCGCGCGATGAACGGCGGGTCGGCTATCAACCTGCCCAACATCGCTGTTACGATCAGAGAGGCGGCCACGCCGCGGGTTGCGCAGGCTGTTGGTCCTCTGGCTGCCGCCTGGGGCAACTGGAGGAAGGGCAAGGACCTGCCGGCTTTCGGTAGTTTGAGCAGTGTTTTGTCCGCGTCTCCTGCACAGAGCCGCAATGTCACACCATCGAAGCCAGCCTCTGGCTTCCTTGGCAGTACCACGACGCCCCCGACATCTGGATCCGCTGGTTTGCGCAAAGCTTCCAACGCTTCCGTATCCACGGTCAGGAGCACAGCCTCAGCCCAACAGCCTCAGCCAACCGCTTTCTCAGCCACCGGTCGCAGATTCACTCCCCAGGAACTTTCCAACAGGGCGTTACGCCAGAATCAGCACCACCACCAGCAGCAGAGGTCGAGAGGGCCGTCCACGGCGTCTATGCACATCCAGCAGCAGGTGGCTGAGGAGGATGAGGCAAGTGACAGGGAGCTTAGGGGGGCTTCTATTTTGCCTTCACCTGAACCCTCTATGCTTTCGTTTGCTCAAGCTCAAGCTCAACAGCATCGGAGAAATATCTCTTCACCTATGATGGCTCCTCCCATGACGAGGTCCGGCGGCATGTACGATAGCGACGCGTCGCCGGTGGAGGATTTTGATGATGATGGGTTTTTTGAGGATGATTGAAGTGGGGTAGAGGAGCGTGAATATGAGCGAAGAAGGGACAGAGGAGGGGCTGGAGGGGTAGTGTGTGGTAAATGGGCCTCTTGAAAATGAAGGGGCTTGGGGAGGATTTCCTTCTTGTTTCTTTGACTTTCACATCCACTTATTTTTTGTTTGCACGGAATTTTTTGCACGTATTAAGAATGAAAGAAAGGGACAACGTCGTCACGCAGAGATGATAAAGACGAAGACGATGAAGAAAGGAGAAGGGAAAACAGGAATGGAATCACAAAAGGGGGGAACGAAGAAGAAGGGGTATATACATGAGAGAAAGCGAGAGAGAGACACACACACACATAATTACCTACTGGCTTTTTTTTTACATACATACATACCTACTTGTATCAGCGATATATTTCTTACACCTTAAATCTTACACCTTATTTGGAGTTGTATAATCCTTTCCTTCGGCATCCATGAGAGTGAGCGAAACAACCAGGAGGGAGAACTTAGTGGTGCAAGAAAGGGAGGACACGAACGAGAAAACCGATGTACGCAGTCTACATGTGTTTGTTTCCCTGAGCTCTCTCTAACACAGATAATAATTGATACCCAGCGCTTTTCAGAATCGCAATGAGCTCTCTTCGAGTCTCTAACAACCCTGTGATTGGACGTCTCGATCTAAATTGGAGGGGTTGTGTACACACAATAAATGCTTTCCGTATTGAATGGGTCACTGTAAGGCGCATTGCCCCTCCCGTTGGCCATGCCGTTGGTATGCCGTTTCTAATATTCGCCAGTTACTGAAGAAAGGAACGGCCCGTTTATTGAACGAAAGAGTAACCTGTTGGCACACAAGGATGATGATGGGGGTGAATGATCATGAACTTGTTGACGCCATCGCAGGTAGGCCCCTCGGCTACATACCGGATAACGAACTTGCCATGAGAAGCTAGTATAAGCCCTGAGGAAGTGAAGATAAACGAGATTTCATGGTTGTGAAGCAAGAATGTCGCACCTCCACCTCTGGGCTGAGCTGAACCTCTAAGCTTGGCGACCACTGGCGATAGATGACCCCTCATTCAGCTCACCGGGTTGACTGACGTTGATTGCATCACTGCGTTACTACTTCCGTAGAGGTAGGTATATAAGATACGGACGGGGCAAGGGATGTATTGAGGGGTTGCAGAACGTGAGGAGCCTGCCATTGTGACAGAGGAGCATTCGTTGCAGATGGTTAATCGAATTCGGATGGCTGTTGAGACCGGGCAAGATGCAAAAACGTAGCTTTATCTCAACGACCTGGTGATAGGCGGCATGCATTATTGAGAGGAGAAGATCAAAGACGAACGGGTGGCTTCCATACCACCCCCTTCGAGAATGGAAGTGCGGATAAGAAAAACGCATGGCATGGCAGTTGCCGTGGATGAGGCTTGCTCCTTCCGCTAGCCATGGACGAACTTGCTCGTCTGATAATTTCCGGCTTCATAAACCTCTCCGTCCCCGTCATATTCTGCGACATAAACACTCTGGCTGGATATCCAGACAGTAGTCCTTCGTTCTTCGAGTTTCCTATGCGGTGATCCCAAAACCTCAACAACCATGGCCCTAACAGCCCTTCTCCCAGACCTCACCACCTCCTCATCCCTAACTCAAACCCTCCTCACCACTCTCCTCCTCCCCCTCCTCACCCTCTACACCATCTACATCGCCATATACCGCCTCTACCTCAGTCCCCTCGCCTCCATCCCCGGTCCCCGACTCGCCGCGCTGACACAATGGTACGAGTTCTACTACGATGTCATCCTGCACGGCCAGTACACCTTCAAGATCATCGAGCTGCACAAGCAGTACGGGCCCATCATCCGCATCAATCCCTGGGAGGTACACATTGCGGATCCGGATTTCCACAGGGAGTTGTTACCAACGAACACAAATCGACGGAGACATCGGACGCCTTTCTTCACGAAACAGTTTGGGGCTGATGGTTTGTTTCTTTCCCTTTCTCTTCAGTCTTAGCAGGTTGGAGGATGGCACACATGGAAACTAAGTCTAATGCTGGACGAACACTTGAACAGAAAGTATCGTGTCTACCAACGATCATGATCTCCATAAGCTTCGGAGATCAGCGGTCGGTCCGTTCTTTTCGATGCAAAACATGAGAGCGCTGCAGCCGGTTATCGAGGAGAGGGTTGATGCGTTGTTGGCCAGGCTTCGAGAGCATGGGAAGACAAAGAAGGAGACGCCGTTGGATATGATGTACCCGTATTCAGCCATGACTTACGGTGAGTTGCTTTTCTCGGTCTTGATCGACAAGAAATACACTGCGGGTGATACTGACGACTTATAAGACATCATCAGCGAATATTCCTTTGCCAAATCTGAGCATGCTGGTTAGTCGCTCATCTCCTCCACAATGCCTTCTTGAAGCCACGGACTGACACCACTTCTTTCTCAGTCGAGGACCCCGACTTCCGCGCCGAGATCACCAACGGGATCTTGACCGGCTCCAACTACGGCAAAGTCTTCCAACACTTCCCTTTCCTCGTCCCCTACCTAGCTTCGATCCCACCGCAAATGCTCGCCGCCATCTCCCCATTCTACCGCACCTTTCTCCACCTCCGCGCCTGCATCACGGTCCAGATCGGCGAAATCGAAAAGTCTCTCCGCTCCGAAGAAGGCAAAAATGCTCATCTCGACATCCCACATCCCACCATCTTCCACTCCTTCGTCAACACCGAAGCGCTTCCTCCCGTCGAAAAGTCCGTCCCGCGGATTGCCCACGAAGGTCACGTCATTGTGCAAGGCGGCACAGTCACCACCTCATGGGCCCTGACCATCTCGACTTTCCACCTTCTGAACCAGCACACCACAGTTCTCGCCAAACTGCGCAATGAGTTAAGGGAAGCAATCCCAGACGTCAACGAGTCCGTCGAGCTCGCTCGGCTCGAGCAACTCCCCTACCTCCGCGCAGTAATCAAGGAGAGTATGCGCCTCAGCATCGGCGCATCGGGTCGGATCACGCGCGTTGCGCCTGACGAGACGCTACGGTTCAAGCCCTCGAAGCTCTGTTTGCAATGCTATCCCGACATGAAGACGACAACAGACAAGGAAAGGGAGTGGCTGCTTCCTCCCGGGACGGAGATGTCGATGACGAGTTACCAGATCACTACGAACCCGGAGATTTTTCCGGATCCGCACGCTTTCGTGCCGGAGAGATGGTTGGGAAAAGAGAACGAGATGGGGAGGCTGGAGAAGTACCTGACGGTCTTTGGACACGGGGCGAGGGTGTGTTTGGGCATGCAGTTGGCGCATGCGGAGATGTATTTGATGTTGAGTAAGTTGTGGAGGGTCTGGGAGGGTGGTCCGCAGGTTGGTGGTGTGGGAGGGGATGGCAAGGAGGAGGGGGAGGAGGAGGATAGCAAAGAAAAGGGAAGAAGAGATGGTCAGACGGTGGGTAGGTTGAGGTTGGCTGAGGGAGTGACGGTTAGAGACGTGGAGATGGCGGAGGACTGGTTCATTCCTGTGCCTTATAGAGGGAGTAAGGGGGTTAGGGTGTACTTTGAAAGCTATTAGGGGGGAACGAACGGGTGAGCTGTGAATGTTGTTATTTGGGCAGACAGACCGCGGGAAGAATCATGGATAGGTGTGACAGTTGAACAAAGAATTTTCCTATGCATGCCAATGCTTCAAAAGCTCCTTTTCCATAGTATCTTGCTCACAAGTTGGAACGCTGCTGCGCCGCCATGGTGGATCCCGATCCCGGAGGGATGGTGAGCTAGCTGGCGCGGGGCAAGACTCGGAGTTGACAGCAATCAAGAGGACGAATAGTGCTTATAGCAAGATTCTCTCTGGCACTGATGTGAAATGTGGAGGAGGGAGGTCAAGATGAAGTATGTATGATAGTCCGGAGGAATGTGAAGATTCCCTTTGAGAAGGAGGAGGAAAAGAAGGAGAAGAAGAAGGAGAAGAATGAGAAGAAGAAGACCGAGTCGGCGGCACTTCCATATTCTGGCGGTGCCTTCGCTGGTTACGCCCTCGTGCCCGTACCAGCACCAGTTTCTCCCATCGTCGCCAACGAGCCAGCGGAGCCTCACTGAGCAGGGAGCGGCGGCTTCTTACTTTTCCTAGCTATTCTGGGACACAAAGTCAGAGTCTGCCTTTTACGAATCCATGGGGGAAGCAGTAGCGAGAGGGTGCGGGGCGAGAGAAGGGAAGTGATGGATAGGTGCATAGGAGGGAGGGAGCAGGGAGGGCTGGGAGCAAAGAGGGAAGAATGATAGACGCAGCATGATTTATTGATACCCACACATGATAAGAGTGGAGGAAGCCTTACTAGTAATGAGTTAATGAATACTATGCTTGAGCAACTGCAAGAATAACCATATATAAACTGACCTTCAGTTTGAGTTTTGTGTTGAGGGAATGTCTGTCTGGCAGAAATGAATAATGATCCGTTCGGCGCCTTTGACCAAGTGAAACAGAGTGTCCGCCATTTTGAAAAGGTGAAGAACAATGAATGACCTCTCGGTAAGCCATCATGACCCAATTCAGTTCTGTTCTCGCTCACTTACCCTCCCTCCCCTAATAAACCCCCAACGGATACACCTCCGGAATATTCCCACCATCCGGCTTCACCACCGGCACCTCCTTCTCATACCCACCCCCACCCCCCTTAACCTCCACCACCTTATCCAACCCTCCGCCGCCCACCGGCATTCTCCTCACCGGCGGCCCCAACGCCTCGCCCACATGCTTCGCGATTCCCAGCAGCAAGTCCTCAGTCCAGGGCCTTCCCAAGATCTCCATCCCAATGGGAACACCCAGCGGAGCGGTGGTCTCCATCACCTCCGAAAAGCCCACGGGCACGGTAATAACAGGACTCCCCGTCAGCGCGGCGAGGATCCCGTTCCGTCCGCTCTGGGAAGGAGATCCGATCTTGACGACAAGGTTCTTCTGCTCGGGGTAGATGATAGCGTCGAGATTGTTGTTGGTTGAGAAGGTTTGTGCCAAGGTGGTTTTGAGTTGCTGAATCCCGTGCTGCCGGACAAAGTACTCGGGCGAGGAGGTAGATCTGTTGAATGCGTTTCTGATGTAGTCGTACTGCGAAGGAAGGACAAGGAATTGCTTCTTGCCGAGGGTGTAGATATCGCTGAAACTCCTCGGTCCGGTGGTACCATTACCGTGACCCGCGTAAGTAGTCTTCTCCAAATAAGCATCCAACCCTTCGCGAAACTCACAAGTCTGGACATCCAGCTTCGCCGCTATTGTCACTGCATCGTAAACCGGTTCGGTGATATTCACCAGCTCGACACCAGCTGCTTCAAGCCTTGAGAGGACTTTTTCCATAACCTCATTCACGGGGTCCGTCTCCTCGCCAGCCGTGTGGTTAAAAAACCCATCCAAAACCCCCAGTCTCAACCCCTCCAGTTTCCCTAGCCCCCCGTACAACGCCTGGCTGTAATCCCTCCCCTTAACCTCAGGCGGTACCAACACCGTGGTATTATCACCATTCCCCTCATCACTCCCCGCCATACTCATAACAGTCATCAAAACCCCCAAATCTCCAACCCCCCTCGCCATCCCCCCAACAGCATCCTGCGTCCAACCCACCGGCACCACCCCCTCCCGGGTAACCAACCCCCTAGTCGGCCTCCAGCTCCACAAACAATTCGCGCTCGCCGGACTTCTCAAGCTGTTCACAGTATCCGTCCCCGTCCCAAGAACCGCCAAATTAGCCGCTATCGCCGCTCCCGTGCCCCCCGAAGATCCACCGGGCGTGCGGGTGGAATCGTATGGGTTTATGGTCTGTCCGCCTAAGGAGGAGACGGAAATCCCTTCCAGCGCAAATTCGTGGAGGTTGGTTTTACCGAGGATTATCGCCCCGGCTTGCTTGAGGGCTTTCACTGTTGGTGCGTCCTTGGAGGGGGTGTTGTTTGCTAGAGCCAAAGAGCCGGCGGTTGTGGGGAGGTCGGAGGTGTCGAAGTTGTCCTTTAGCAGGACGGGGATGCAGAGGAGGGGTTTGTTGGCGGAAGAGTTGCCGGAAGCAAGTTGGAGGTCAATGGCGGAGGCGAGGTCGAGGGCGTGTGGGTTGAGAGAGAGGATAGCGTGCAAGGAGGGGTTGAAGGCTTCTATGCGGGCGAGGTAGGAGGAGATGAGGGCGTGGCAGGTGGTTAGGCCGGTGAAGAGGGCGTTGTGGATGGAGGAGACGGTGGCTTCGCGGATGTCGAAGGGGGGGTTGAGGTCTAGTGGGGCTTGCTGGTTGAGGGTGGTGCCTGGAACTGTTGGAAGCTGTGGGTTGAAGGCGGATGTTGTTGTTGTTGAGAGGAGGGAGAGGAGGGCAGCTTTGCCTAGGAGGGCTGTGGGGTTGTTGAGAGATGATAACATGATGATCGTGGTTGTGTACGAGACGAAGCACTACACGATCATGTCTGGTTTGTGATATGTCCGTCGGTCCGGTCGAGATGTTTCGTCTTTTGAGTAACCGCCGAGTTTTGAGGGTCCATCATCCTGGTAAGCCGAGTGGTACCAATATTGGTTTTCGCATGGTGAAATTGAGGGGTATCACGGCCTTGGTAAGTTGTATGGATTGGTTGACCAAATCTGGAAATATAAACAGATGGTTCCCGATTGGAGTGTCTTTGTTAACCCCGGTTCCCGGATGCCGGGAGAGCCCCGCTCGGGACCCGCTGTCAACGACACGACTGCTTGGCTCCGATCCGGGTTTCGGCTGCCGTGGTAGCCGGAACAAAGAATCACGGTTCTATCAACTGACCATTGTTAGAATCAAGTAAAAAGTTGATATTTGAACTTTTTATCAGATACGGAACTTGTTCTCTAGATATCAAGTCCAAGTTATTCGGTCAGTCCGGCCTAATCTCGGTGTTCTCTCCGCAACACAACATGATCCAGATACAGTCAGCAAGCACGGCCGTTATTCATACCTGACATCCGCTTCTGTACGGAGACTCATGAACCTCACCATCATAATTTCTATTCAATCCAATTCTATTTACCTAGACACGTGCTAAATAGTAATACAGCCCGTTCGCTAGCCCGTTCGCTTCGTGCATGCATGCCTATCATGTATTATCATCGGACATTAATATGCTGCTGACTTCTCCTTATGTCCCAACACAAAACTCGGTTGTGAAGCGTGGATTCACCAATCACCTCTTGCTAGCTCCCACGCCAGAAGACGCCAACCGCCACGCCTTGAGCGGGAGATCCTGCAAGTGAATGACCTTGGGACGGATGAACATGGTAAAAGTCACCACGCCAATCGCAACGCAGAGGATATTGACAATGTAGTATCCATCCTGAATCATGTTGCAAGTACCGCCGTTGGCAAGGCATCGGGTCTTGTCCTCCTGGATGGCGCAGCTGAAAGGCTCAGAGAAGGTGGCCGTCTTGGAAGTAGGAACGCAAGTGGCGGTGGTAAAGTAGTCGACCAACCGAAGAACGAAGAAGCGTGGGAAAGTACCGCCTAGGTTGCAAACGCTGGGAGGACAGAGGTTAGCAGGATATTCTCATGGAAAAAGGGGGAAGATGAACTCACGTAGCAAGAAGAGTCATGTAAGTACCGCCAATGACCGGGTCCGAGATCCGCGCGTGGAAGGCAGAAACGGCAACAAACATGATGGTGTTGGTAAAAGTGGAAAAGATGTGCTCGGCAATGACAACAAGCATGTACCAAGAGGTAACACCCTCAGCAGGGAACATCACAACAGTGAACTGCGCGAGAACGGCAGCCACCAGACGACCCATAAAGCCCCAGCACCAGAGGCGCATAGGGGTAAACTCCTGTGACCACTTTCCTGCATAGTATCCCAGCATGATCTCGAAGGGGAAATCGATCAGAACTGTGAGAGCCATGTTCTCGGTACCGAATCCCTTGTCGAGCAGCTTGAGGTTGGTGACGGCATCGTTGGCCTGGAAGCCGATCTTGGCGATAAGGTGAATGATGATGATAGTCTGGACGTTCTTCAGGTTGAGCACACCCCACATGATCTTGTAGACGTCCCAGACGCCATCCTCGTTCTTGGTACGCTCCTCGCGCTTCATCAGACCCAGGCCGATGGTCACAGCAATGTAAGCCCAGCCCCAGAAGGTAAGGTATCCACCCAGAGACATCAAACCCTGGTCAAGCGGTTCGGTGCGGAACCAACGATTGGCAAACTCCTTGGAGTGGAAGGCCAAGAAGACGGTATACGACAGGAACTGGCCAGCAGTCAAGCCGACCGTCTGCGCGGTAGAAGCGTACGAGACGTTGCCGGGGGTCAAAAGCGTCAGGGCCCAGCCGTCAACAGCAATATCCTGGGTAGCGCACATGAGCACGAGGAAGAACCACCACCAAGTAAAGCTCCAAACCGTAGGGCCGCCTTCCTTGCCCATGGAATCCATCAATCCTTCTACCCTAGAGCCCAGGTAAAGCATGCCGATTCCGGATAGCAATTGGATAGGCAGAATCCAGCTCTTTCTCCTTCCCACCTTGGGACTCCAGATAGCATCGACAATGGGACTCCATAGCAGTTTGAGAGAGTAGGGGTACGACGCCAAGCTGAAGACGCCGATCTCAGCATAGGAGAGTTTCTTCTTGAGGAGGAACGGTACCGAGCCCGTGGCCAATCCTAGCGGGACACCCTGCAAGAAGTATAGAAGGACGAGCAGGCCAAAGTTGCGCTGGTCCTGCTTGGGAAGCTCGAAGAAACCATGGTTGTTTACTTGGTCTGTCTTGTCTGGGACGGGGTCGTCGAGGGAGAAGGTTTCCCTGCCGATGATGTTGGCGGTTATAGCTTCGGACGAGGTGTCGTAGCTCTTGTTCCGGCGCATAAGCTCGACGTTGTTGTTCATCTTGTGGAGGCCCGAGGCGACGGTGTCAGGGTCGGAATCGGAGTCCTTGATTTGGGTCTTGTTGCCCTTCTTTTCCTTGGAGGCTTTGCGGGACAGCCCGTTCTGTGTCGGCGACTTTGTGCCACGAGTTTTAGTACCCATAGGTACCACTGTGATGGCGGATGTTGGTGGGTGGTTTTGTGTGCGTGTGTGTTGGAGGGGGGTTCCCGTTTCGTGGGTTACTCGAGGTCAAAGCCTTGTGTGATGCCGGCGCGTGTGGTGAGTGGTCGAGGCCGTCGAGGGGGAGTGATGATCAACAGACCCTAATTGAGTATTCGAGATGGAAGCGAGGGGTAGTTTTCCAGAAATAGCGGTCGCAAAAGACAAGAAGAAAGAGATTAACGAAAGACGAGAAGTCGGTACTAGCGGAGTCGAATAGTCCGGACGAGAGTGGTCGAGAAGGATTGTTGACAAGGGACGAAAGACAAGGGCCCGGTGTCTTTGTCAGATTGAAGCTTGACCTTCCGTTGTTGGCCCTATCAGACCAACTGCCCTGTTGCCCTAACGGAGCGCTAGAACTAACTGTTGTTGTCGCTGTGGAATGGAACGTTGAGACGCTGGAAGATGTGAAATCGTGGGGGAGTCAAGGTGCTCCGGCTACCGTGGCCTCTCGGTTGGTGCCCTGGTGGCGAATAACCTCTAACACGACGCTAGAGATGAATGTTTGAGATTGATGTGCCGTCTGGAAGCAACGACTGTGAGGCTCAACCTCGTATTGAGGAATTAACTAATGAGTGGCTTTCGGGGGTCAGTGTCAATGTCAATTGTACCTTCCGCGCCTTCCGTCTGTTGTCCAGCTGTCTCCAAGCTTCAGTGGAAACTGGTGAGGAAGTGACATCCGATAAGCTCTTATCGCGCCAGGAGACAGCTTGCTGTCTTTTGATGCAGGAACTGCGCCAGTGCGTCATTGGTATGGACCCAGGGGCAGATCGCTACGTTGACAGCTGCCGCCCCACAGAGCTTGGCGCCCGTTGCACCTGTCAGCTTCATCCCCTGATTGATTCGCATCAACTCCACCAAAGTAAACAATTGACTTGAGCAAAGTCACCAGCTTCAATATACAAGGTCTTAAAGAAGTCCATTTTCCACGTTATGATACCCAGACCTCATTGTCATTGATCCAGTTTCTTTCCATTGTATTCGAACTCTCTACACGCACGATTATTTGCGTCGCGCATATCACCAAAGACGCGTCCAAACACACCTGCTCTCCCCCAAAAGTGGGTCCCTCCACAAGTCACCATGTCCTCACCAACACCCTCACCACTCGACGACGAGATCGAATCCCTCAAAGCCAAAAGTAAGCCAATTCCCCCCCGCACCCCCTTTCATAACAAACTTACTAACAAAACCACCAGTAACCACCCTAAAGTCCCACCTCCGCATCCAAACCTCCACCCTCCTCTCCTCCCCTTCCGTCTCTTCCCTCCTCTCCAACCACCCCCCTTCCTCCTCGCACCTCAAACCAAAGGGCCTCACCCCGACCATCCTCAAATCCCTTCGCCACCACGCCTCCCTCCAAAAGGCTCACAACCAACAATCCCTCTACCGGACTTGCGCCACCATCACCACCTTCCGCGTGCAAGACCCCGATCCGAACGCGGTAGACGGCGGAGCCGTACTAGGGTTAAGGATAGAGGTTTTTGCGCGGGGCAGGTTTATGAGGCCTTATTATGTTCTTTTGAACAGGCCTTTTGCGGAGGGGAGGAATCACGGTGGTGGCCAAAGTGGGAAGGGGAGTGAGAAGGGGAATAACGGCAAGGAAAAGAGCGGCAGGAGCAGAAAGGGGGGAACCGGAGGGAGGTACGCAAACTGGTTAAGGGTGCATCGACATACCATCCCTCCATGCGTCCCGATTTCAGGGCTAGCGGCGCGGTACTTGCCGGCACCACCATCACGAGAGGAGGAGGGAAGGGAACAAGATCTGGCCAAGTTTGCTAGACGCCTACGCCGAGAATTAGTCCGCTACCATCACCGCCTTGCAACTATTACAGACCTGCGGAGGGCCATCCTCGCCGAATCGGAATCAAAGCAGCAGCAAGACGAGCAGCAACAAGAAAAGCCCCCAAACAAAATCCAAGACATCACCCCAGCCGACGCCGAAGCGAAACAAATCACTATCGAATGGGAAGATGGCCAGACGGGAAGGTTGGTGATGGGTGATGATGGGGAGATTGTGCAGGTTGTTGCGTTGAATGGAGGGGGTGGTGGTGGTGGTGGTGGGCAACAAGGGGGTGGGAGTGGAAGTGGGAGGGATAGAGAGGTGGTTAGGGAGTTGGTGGGAGGGGCAAAGAGGGTGGAGGATGTTGTTAGGCGGTTGGGGTCAGGGATAAAGGGTTGATGGGCGTGTGAAATTGTCTGGGTGAGGAGGGGAGGAGGTGAGATGATGTGTGAAGGTTGGTTTGATACCCGGATAGACAGCATACTTCCAATAGGAGAGGGGGAGGAATTCGATGAGTAGACAGCATATTTCTGTAGTATGCTCTCATCCATTCCCCCGCCAGAGCATCATACTGCTTGCCACGTTCGATCATCCTCGGCTTCGGTTTCAGGCAGCAGCACTCACCTTGGACCTTCCCCCAGTGCCAGTCCGGAATACATTTCCTGCAGTGTTCCCAATCCTCCGTATAACTTGTACACCGCTCCCCTCTCTTCAACAACGTGTGCATACCCGTCAAAGTCAACGCCACCGTCCAGTATCATCACCACACCCGTACGACGGGCCGAGTACACCCACTCACCGATAGAGTTGTCGCACGCTGTGTTCCCTTCCATCACCGGGCCGAGCCTTTCCCCATTCGATCTGTGCGCCCTGTAACCTGAGAGAAAAGGGTGAGTGCATGCTGAACTCGTGATTCTGGAAGGGTGGTAGTGAGGGGAGCATAATGCGGTGTATGAATGGCTGGGAGGACAGGGCGTGGTTTGGCGGCGGGTACCCATCCCATCTTAGCACGACGTCAGTGTATCTGTTGTGGTATCTTTCTGGCCGATCGTGGTTTGGTGAGTGAGTGATGTTTCTGGGCGGTCTGGCTAATGTGGACAGGTGTGGTAGTATCTCAACGGGTGTGCATCTTGTGGTGAAGGGTGAGGCATTGGTCATGTTGGTTACGTTCGGTGTGTAAGTGAAGATAATTGCAGTCCATACACAGCAAGTATAATGTTGAAGCACCGGCAAAACACACCAGAGACGTTAGCGAGAGAGTAGAGAATAAACTGAAATGTATTAAACTTTTACCCCATCAGAGGCCGCAAGACAAATAAGTTATCGATCAATAGAAACCCCCTGTAAAACCCAAGGGTCTCTCATCTCTGTAAGCTACCAAGTAGTCCAAGTCGCCGAATTAAACCAAGAAGAATGAATCTGCTCTAAAGTCTTTTCAACTCTCTCACCGCCATCAACTACCCTCTGATTCAAAAACGTTTTAAACCGTTGCTGTTCATTACTGTCCTTCAAGTTCCTCCCCACAATCCCTCTCATGACTGCATAAAACCTGCCACCTAAAGCAGCGCGGCAAGGGCAGCAATAACAGCCAGAGCGCCACCAGCGTGATGGGCGCGTTCGACCGATGCGCCGGCAGTGACGACAGGTCCGGGGCTGGTGGTCGTAGCCGGGGGTGGGGAGCCACCGCCGGAGCCAGAGCCGGTAGGCTTAGTGGGAGACGGGCCGGAAGTGTGCGGTGGCGGCGGAGCAGCGGAGCTGGTTGGGTTGCCAGGCGAGGGGTGAGTTGAAGCGGGAGGGGCTGGAGGAGCACCAGTGCCAGTGCTGACGGGAGGCTGCGGAGGAGGAGGAGATCCGGAAGACGCGGGAGGTGCCGGAGGGGCACCTGATGAAGCGGGAGGAGCAGGAGGAGCAGGAGGAGCAGGAGGAGCAGGAGGAGCAGGAGGAGCACCTGATGAGGCCGGGGGTGCGGGTGGCGGCGGAGGAGGTGCCGGGGGGCCACCTGACGACGCAGGAGGAGCCGGGGGTGGCGGAGGAGGAGGAGGAGGGGGAGGTGGGGGAGGAGAGCCGGAAGAAGCTGGAGGTGCCGGAGGAGGTGGAGGTGGCGGTGGCGGCGCCGGAGCTCCGGAGCTTATAGGGCAGACAGTGGTGCTGACCGGAATGGTGACGGTGGTGACCACGGTGCTATGGTCCGGGCATGAGGTAACAGCAGGCGGGCAGCTGGTGATGGTGTGAACTGCCGTGGTGTAGACGGTACTTGTCGTCCACTGTCCCTCGCCGCCTTTATCGGGTCCACCGGCAGCGGTGGTGGTAGGGGCCGGGGCTGGGGGGTAGCTAACGGTGCCAGCACCCCATGATTCAAAGATCGAAGATACGTCACCGTAGTGGGCCGACACCGAGGCGGCGCAGGCGAGAGCAAAGGTGGTAGTCTTCATCCTCCTTGTTCCGGCTACGGATGGTAGAGATGCCTCAAGGAACGGTCTTGATGGAAGAGGAGTGAGTGACTTGAACGAGTGGATGATGGAGTTGGTGATACTGAGTGATGGCCCGAGTCCCAGATATGGGAAGGAAGGGGCCCTTTTAAGTTACCGTGGTATCTGCTTCCCGTAACCGCCTCCTTCTTGTGAAATGTCAGAGAAACATGGCAAGGTAGCACAAAGAACGTTCGGCTGGATACTTTTGCCAGCCGCTTGGAGAATCCAAAGGCGTGGTTGGGCCCAACGGCGGCGAGAGACCAAGCGGACTGAAGTCACAACTGGGGAACCTGGACACGGACGACAACTGACGGGACACAAAGAAGGCGCCGCGTTACTGCGTACACTGACAGCAGGTGAACGAGTCGGTCTGGGCGGCTAAACGGGCGACAGTAAAGACCGAGTGTCTTAAAATCATTATAGACGGTCTGCGGCGCATGAAGAGAGACATTGTCGGACTAAAGGTGGTGAAATAACTCTCGGGTTACGCATGGATCAGAACACAGGCGAACGGACGCAGCCTGGATATCCATGAGGCGTTCCCCTGATCCACCCGAATTCAACTGGAGATTATTCCTGTTCTCTGCGCAAGGTCAGTGATTTTTCGGTGACAGTTCCAAACGGGAAAGAGTCCTGCCGTGGACATGTTCAAATCAGATACGAACGCCCAACTAGGCCCCTTTGGAAGTTTAGCCCCAACCGTCCAGTGAAAAGGCGCAGCCATCAGCTGCAGTGTCTCTTCCCCTGCATTTTCTTGGTGTTCAGCCATGTGCCGGCAGTCAGCACGTTCCCGCACGTACTAAGGCAAGCCTTGTTCGTTTTGTGTGTGTGTCATCTATGCTCGGGAAGCAAAGGTGAGGCGAAAGCGGTTTTAGATACCGGCTGACAAACGGGATCTTGAAGTTCTCAAAGAGTGGTTAACCTAAGATGGCCTTTTCTGGTCTAGACCAGGCACAGCTCTCAAGGCCCAACTCGAGGCGGCACAAGTTGCGATGTACTCAAGCGGAAACATCGTATATGCGGCAGATCGTGTCCGGTACTTGGGCAAAAGACGGGATGATGCAAGGGCTCGCACGCTTGTGGTTGCCCGGGTGAGTCGGCTCGGGGACTTGCGTGATCATTGCGACTGTGATGCCATGTTGAGATGAGATGAAGTGACCGGGAAAGGGAAACGAGAACATCCGGTAGCCTTGCTCATATCCACACCTTTCCAGAGTTTGAGTGAGCATGTCGGTGGTGGCGGTGGTGGCAGCATTGCCGGAGATCTGGGTATTACCCGAGAGTCGAGAATATGATTGCTCGGCCTCAAGTCTGTCGTACCGACGAGTGGAAATGAGAGGTTTCTGAGTAGATATTGAAGAAAAGGTAAACAAGAGCAGTGGCAACGACAACGTTTACACAAACACCCAGGAGATGCCTGCGTTTGTGTGATTGCCTCCTCACCAAACGGCGACGAGTAAGAAGGGAAGCCCTTGAGAGAAGAAGAGACAAAAGATGGGTTTTGGCAGTAATATGGGTTAGATATAGATGGTGGAGGGGCACAGTTCTGTCTTGGACATCTCGGTTGGGATACACGGTGGTTCGACGTTGAAACATGGCGCTGACCACAACTCCGTTTTGGGAAGAGAATAGAAGACAGCGAAGATGTGGTGGTGATTGGGTTGACTCAGGTCACGGTGGTTCTGACTTGAAAGTTTTGCAGGAGAGACAGCTGCAGTGAGTTCATGGAGATGCAGCTTCTTGCGGGGAAGACTCGCTCGATGTTGTTGATGCTGCTTGTGCCACATTGTGGCTGTAACTCATTGTGGCTTTATTTTGGAGTCTTCAATCCGAGCTGGAGTTCGCTTGTTGGATGCGCTGCCTGCCAGGAGTTTCCAGCTTGCCCCCGGCATCAAGGTACCCATTTGGGGTCCATCAATTGTTCGGAGCTCCAGGTTCCAGAACGAACTTGTCATTCGACCCGATTGAGCTCTCGAATGTTTGGTTTGGGTCAGGTTCCGATTTCGTGGCTTTGCAACTCTATTCAGAATATCCTTCCTTCGTTCCCTTCCATATCCAATACAGCTTCTTTTTCTCCTACATGTTTGATACATTGCAATCAGTGCGAAAGTTGTGAAACGTAAACAAACCCTCGTCCTCTCTCCTAGTGGACACACAAGGATCCCCAGGAGTCTTCTGGGCGTTTCAAGCAGCGTGACGTCGCTTCAACCTTCCACCAGCTCCGATTTCATCTCCCGACTTTCTCAACTTCGAACCTCCAAATCTCCGGTCCCGAAATCTGAACAAGTCTGAAAACTCGAGGTCTCAGTGCTTCACAACTCAGCAAGAAGAAAGGAACTTTCCGTTGGTCTTGGGAGCTTCAGCGCAGGGATGACGACGCCTGTCGAACCCGCCACCCGCAAGAGGGTCCTGAAAGTCATATTCTTTTCTTTGTTGCTTGACTTGGTACGTACTATCTGGCACCACCCATGGGATCGCGAAAGCTCAAGAACTAGGAAGACTAACTATAATGACAAACAGATATCATTTACTTTTATTCTTCCATTATTCCCAAAGCTCCTCGAATTCTACCGCAACGTCGAAGCTCCCCTCGACCCTTCGGCCCCACCATCCAAGACCCTTCTCTCCAGTGTCTTGGGCTACCTTAACACTTACAAGGCTTCCTTTGCGCGACCAATTGACTCGCGATATGATATTGTCCTGCTCGGCGGCGCCTTGGGGAGTCTCTTTTCGTACGTGACAGTCTATAGCAACAGTTCTCCTATCCCTACACCTTTGCTAACACACCCTACCTCTCCTTCAGTCTCCTCCAAGCCATCGCCTCACCCATAATCGGCCACTTCTCCGATCGCTATGGCCGCCGTACCGCTCTGCTCCTCAGTATGACGGGCAACATCCTCTCGGTGCTCCTCTGGGTCATGGCCACCGACTTCCGCACCTTCCTCGCCTCGCGCATCGTCGGCGGCCTCTCCGAGGGGAACGTACAGCTCGCCACGGCCATCGCAACCGACATCTCGGACCCTTCCAAGCGCGGCTCGACCATGGCCCTCATCGGCGCCTGCTTCTCCATCGCCTTCACTTTCGGTCCTGCACTGGGCGCCTGGCTGAGCTCGTTCAGCACCGTGGCAGCCAACCCGTTCGCGACGGCCGCCGGTGTCTCTCTGACTTTGATCGTCGTCGAGACGCTATACCTCTACTTCTGTCTGCCCGAGACACTGCCAGCTCTGACCCAGAAGACTGAAAGTACCGGCGCTCAGGTCAATGGTACAGAAGCCGAAAAGAAGAAACCAGCAACCACCCCAGCCGCCAACCCCACCGCAGTCCAGCGCACAAACTCCCACTTCCTCCTCAACCTCACCCACTTCTCCTTCCTCCTCTTCTTCTCCGGCATGGAATTCTCCCTCCCCTTCATGACCTACGACCTCTTCGGCTACGACTCCGCCAAGAACGGTCGTCTCCTCGGTTTCGTGGGACTAATCGCATCCCTCCTCCAAGGCGGCGTCACGCGTCGCCTGCCCCCTCTCCTTTCTGTGAGGATCGGCGTCGTCGCTTGTCTCCTAGCTTTCATCATGCTCGGCCGGATCACCTCTGTCCTTGGCCTCTACGGAGCGGCGGCCTTGCTCGCTACCACCTCGGCGACGGTTGTCACGGGTTTGAACGCCTTGAGCAGCTTTGAGTCACACGAGGGCGAGCGCGGGGGCAAGTTGGGCATGTTGAGGAGCTGGGGACAGCTTGGGAGGGGACTGGGGCCGGTGTTGTTTACGAGTGTTTATTGGTGGGCGGGGAGGGAGGTTGCGTATGGGATTGGCGCTTTGGGCATGTCGTGGGTGGCCTTGTTGGTTTTGTATACGCTTAAGACGCCGCCGGGGTCGGAGAGGGTGAAGACGGCCAAGGTGGCGGGTAGTGAGAAAAAGGAGTTGTAATATGGTGAGCATTGCGTTTTCGGCGTGTTTTGTATATGAGGGGCAAAAGCTGCCTGCACATACTTGTGGAATTAACTGCTCGATTGGGATACATAAGTTTGGGTGTATTGAAGGATAGAATATCACTATGTTTGTATAATTTTGAGCAATTGTCTATGAAGCATCGATTCTCGTTCATCCCTAACACTCTGGTATTTGGACTTACATGACAGGCTCTGCTATCTTGGTACGAACCTTCATTTTCGTCGGCCAGCTTTGGTACTTGTTGAGGTGCAATAATCACAGCATGATGGACCACCCGTGAGTGTTGACAGAAGAACTCGTTCGACGATCCGACATAGAGAAGGACACATCCGTTCCGTTTCATCCGCGACCATTCTAGTAGTAGGAGACCAAAAGGATACCTACCGATCTGGTGGTTTCCAGTACCTACAATTTAATGCTAGTTTGTTTATTAGCTTGGTACTCCTGGTATACTGGACGAAATCCATCCCGAATTGTCCCAAACCTCATAAAGATAAAATGAATGGCTAGGTACGGATCGGAAAGGCATCAATAAGATTCAATATGGCATATCAAATTTTCAAAGGAGCATATGCAAAGTAATATTACGCTTTGGTTATGGAACGAAACGAATTAATTAAATATAAAAAGGCCTAGGGAAGTTGACCCGAAGTTTCGAGTTAACAATCAAACCAGTACTGGACTATACGTATTTCAAATCATCCAGTAACCGATGAGCGTTTTGCAAATCTTTGGCGCAGCTCCTCGCATTCACGCTGACTTCGTGAAGTCTCTCGCGTCCAGCACTCATGGCAACAAGGGAACTGAAAGAAGAGAGCGGCGAAGGAGGCGATTTTTGAGGGCGAGGTAGTTTGGGTAGGTTGAGAAGGAGAGAAAGGGAATGGTACATAGGTAATATCGCAGATGATGTAGAGAATATAGGAAAGGTTCATGTTAGCTTCGTTGAAGGAAGAGTCAACGGCGTCGGGCCACTCTGACTTCTTGATGTTGGACTCCGGGGTAACTACCGAGTGTATTAGCCCGGCTATAGTAAAGAAGCTGGGTCTATAGCTAAAGAAGTTTGAGAAGTTATAGATAGTATCGTTGGTAAATAATTCCTAGGATTCGGTTAATTCTTATGTGATTGTAGAGGTCGTGATTGGAGGTATTAGGTATGGCCGCGGTTTTCGCTGTCGTCTACCTACGGAGACGGTTCGTCATGCGATATGGTGTTGTCTCAGAGCTGGATGTTGAGAGTTAATAACGTGCAGAATTGGAAGACGAAGACTTTGTCTATTACGGGTAGAAGGGGCGTCAATGTTTCCGTTCCTTTTAATAGTATATCCATCCTCTCCATCAACATCATTATCAGGATCCTACAAAACACAACACAACAACACAACACCCATCAAAACATTATCAATAACCCAAACAATCAACCACGCACGCACGCACGTACGTACGCACGGTACACTACACAGTAAGTAAAACGAATACAGTAGTATACAGGGAAGCAAAGAAGGACGAACGAAATAGAAAAGAAAACTACCCAAGGTAGTAAAAGCAAAAAGTATAAGCGAAAAAGTAAAAGGGAAAGGAAAAAGTGTAGACTCACGCCCCCGGCAGGATTCGAACCTACAATCCTCAGATTAGAAGTCTGACGAGTTACCATTTCTCTACGAGGGCTTTTTTATGAGTTGTTGTTGGAAGGGGTGCTTGATTGATGGGGTTATAAGGCGCTGGTTTTCTCTGTGGGTCGTGGGTGGGAGGCAGGCAGGCAGGCAGGGCAGGTTGGGATGAAAGATGTGGAAGCAGCTTGGCGGGTTGGATGATGGAAGGTGCGGTTGTGAATGGCTTGTGAGTGAAAGTTTGCTTCCAGGGTGCAAGGTGGGTGGGTGACTGCCGGTTGCCGATGGTGGTGGGTGACGACGCAGATACCTTACTTAGTCAAGGTCCATGGCATGAAGTGGAAGAGGTTGAGTGAAGTGGTTCTTTTGTTCTGATTATACTTGGTTATATTTATACGTTCAAGGTGTGCTATAACTACCGTGTCATATGTCTCATTCGAGTTCCTTCATAGTACAACTTCTCTAGCAGTAGCAGTAGCTGTTTCTGCCATGGTGTGCGCACTCTCTGTTTCCTTTTTGCCTTCATATCTTTCGTTCGGTGTGTTGTTCGTTACTCTCCGAACTCAAACCAGCAGCTCCTTGACCCTTTTTTCAAAAGTACTCAATCCCCTTTCTAGGACCACAACCCTTTATGTCCTTGAAAGTAGACTAGTACATCTCCTTACTTCCTTTCACAGTTGGGGAATGCCCCAAAGTTTAGTCAACCCTGATGATAACCTTCCACCCCAACGCCCCCGCCTCACGAATCGCACAAGCCAAACATCCTCTCCGTCTCCGACTAATCAGGGCATTCCAGCCCTTCTCCGCGCAAAACGCTCTGACGAGGATCTCCATATCAGAGCCGAACTGGCGTCTCCTCGTCTCCGAGTGCATCTTCTTTGATGCACTCTCCATGTTGCCCCCTCCCGTTGCTCCCCCTTCCTTGACTCCCTCAATCGTAGTCGGACTAGCGCACTCGGTTGCCGCGGCGGTGATGGGAGAGACGGGGGAGTGGTTATTATCATTGATATCTTTACTATTACTGTTGTTGGTGCTGCTCCTGCTAGGCGTGGGGAATGAATAGCTCCCGTGTCTGCTAGCAACCGGGGATAAGGGTATTTCGTGTTCCTGCGGCAACGACTGGAAGCCCGTGATGCAGTCGATCACCAGGAACTTGGCTGCGCTCTTGGCGGAAGTAGGTGTGAGGCTGGGTCGGTGAGCGGCCGATGAGTAGTCATCTAGTAACGCGTCGAGGGAGAAGTCTTGCTTCGCCATTAAGTCCGACAGGTGCAGAGCGGTGTATGTATAGGATTTATGTAGTGGGTGGCCTGTAGTTGTGTCAGCGACGACGAAGAGACGGGAACGAAAAGGAATCGACATACCGACGACGCTTACGGCCTTACCGGCGGCGCCACGTCCGGATAGGTCCACTTGCTGAATGGTAGGGCTGGATGGTGACCTGAGAATCTTGACATGTGAAGAGGGGACGCAAGGGTGAGCAGTCACAAAGTTGACATCCTTTGTCAACGAAAAGGTATGTTGCTTGGTCTGATAGGTGTCCAGGTCTGTCACAGTGAAAGAGACCTCAGCAGGGTATGTGTGGATCTGCGCCGGGCGACTGAGCTCCGAAAAGGGGGTTGCCGCATTGTCTTCAGCTGGAGTGGTATGGGCCGAATCAACTGGTGCCCATAGTTTCAGAGCATCCAGTTCGATCAGGAGAGTGGGCGGTGTCTTGTCTCGATACACGTTCTCGAATGGGATGATAAAGTCGGCTGGGAGGACTGACGAGGGGTCTGCATCTCCCAAGACGTTCGAGTCTCTCTCAACTGCGAGCTTTGCCCAAATGCGAGCCTTCTTATTGATCCCAAGGGCATCCTCTGCGAGGGTTGTCAGTTTACGGTCAATAGCCAATCAAGAAAGTCACCACTCACCTGCAGGTTCCTCAACTTCGACATTGACCCAGCCATCACCAAGTCCCTGAGGAGTAATATCGCTGGAAACCCAACCCATGCACTCAGCAGAGCCCTTACCGGCCGCAAGAACACGGCCGACGATGCAAGACGTGCTCCAGAAGCTCTTGCCCGAATACACAAAACCGCCGCAGAGGTTGGCCATAGTTCCAAGCCTTGCCATAGCCTCCGGGTCGTTTTCCAACAGCGTAGCCATCAAAAAGTGGCAAATCCCATCACCAGGTAGCATCAGACCAGACACATAGCTCTTTGACAGCCAACCTGCCGAGTGCAATGCTGCCGATATCATCCTGCGCCTCGAAGGCTCCCGCTTTGGGGCTGCCGGTCTGTGCAGATCATGTCCAGTAAAGTAGGAGGAGTGATGGCTCTCTGCTCTGCTCAAGGGACTGGCAAGCGGCGTGTTGAGCTGAGTTCCTTCAGTGACTGACCGGCAGTTCTCAGAAATCTTGGAAGCATAGACGTCAATGTCGGGCCAGCGCAACCTGGTCGCAAAGTGCTTCAGACCATAGACCTGGCGCTCGACATGCCGTCCTCTAATGGCATATACTGGGCCATGATGGTCCTTGTGGTGGTGACTGCCATGGTCGCGGGCAATGGACATACGCTTCGTCAGAGTTGCCAACCAGCCCACTGGTTTTTCCTGCTCTGGACTAGGCGGGTCTGTCTTGATTATTTCAATGTTTTCCAACCATGCCCGGGCCAGGTGCAACGACCATTTGACGGTTGTGTTGGCGTCTTTCTCGAACTTGAGAATCTCAGCAGGGTTAATGCTCTCGATGCCAAGTTCGTCGCCCTCCGTAATGGCGTCGAGCCGTACGAGAAGCTCGCAAGCGAGTAGGATCTGGAGGAGAAGCCAATATCTCTCCTCGGTAACGTCGCTCACCGGATCACCGGTCTTGAAGGATGCGCCGTCATCGACTTGGTCCTCGTCAGGGGTGCCCCAGAGCAACTGTCCAAGTCGGATTCTCCACTCGACAAGTGAGAAGTCGATCCAGATGTTGGGAGCAGCGAGGACCTTGACCAAAGCAGCGATTTGCACCGAGAGGCTATAGGGATCTCTATGGTCGAGCACCTTGGTCGGAGGGTGAAGGATCTGGAGGAACAACTCATTGTATAGTTCGCTCGAGAGCCGACGCTCGCGCGGGTGCTGCTCACTGTACCGCTTGCCGTTCTTGATCAGCTGTTCGAAAATCAAGGTTTCGTCCATGTGACGGAGGCCATCCTTGGAGGTAAGCATTCTTTGCCGTGCTTCAACGATGGCGTGGGGTCTGGACGCAAGACTCTCGAAACCCCATTGATCCTCCTTCAGGGCATCGGCGACATTGAGTTCCAGAGCAGCTTGGAAACCCATGCTTCCCTTCTCAAGCCCGCCTATGCTCAGCATGCTCGGTCGCTCACGACAACGGGGATAGAAATGGGCACAGCGCTTCTTCTCCGAGGCCCGTTGCGCCGTGGACCTATCCGGCTGGATATCACGGGTGATATGCGGCCATGCTGAGACGCAGGTCCAAGCGCGATCTTCGATCTGGGTGTGGTCGGTCAAGTCCCGAATTCCGAGCTCCTCGTCCCAAGGGAAAGCGACTGACGGATGCGGAGCGCCAGTATAGTGGCCTTCGGCTCGGTCGAAGTACTGAGGAGCTCCCGAGAAGAGCTTCTCGATCTCGGAGTCGGATAGGGTAGCCATGATGCGGGCCAGTCTTAATACCGGTCTTGTTGGACGGTCCCGCCTCAATTCACTGGGAGGCGGCGATGGGAGCGGTTTGTTAACATTTATAGGCGAGCGTGGTGATAATGGCGTGTGCGCCGATGGTGACTTTGGCGTGTAGATCTCTAAAATTGGTGATGGAACTGTTGAGGTTGTTGGTGATCGGAGTGTTAGTGGAGGAGGAGTCTAAGGTGATAGTACAGGAGTGGTCAGCCAAGTCGTTGTTTGCATAGGAGGTAGTTCAGAGCATCACAATGTCTTTCAACATGAAGCAAGGAAAGACAGCAGCAGGACGGAAATGGTCGTCTCTGGGAGGAGGTTGGGCATGAAACGAGAAACAAGATCCCCTTTTGTTTGATGCATCGTGTAAGTGTTCCCGTCGTACGATTGGCCCCCTGTAAATGCAGATGTATAGTGCCACAATGAGAGTGGTGCAGAGGGACGTTACAGAGGATCACGCGGGCAGTCTCGACCGGCCCGGACCACTCAAGTTCCCGTCTTGGAGTTGGTGCGGCTTCGCTGTAAATCTTCTCTGCATGGGCCTCTTTTTGGAGAAAGCTGGGGAAACCTGGGGAGGGGAGATGACGACACTTGCATCACTGGACAGACTGCATCACTGACAGGTCTGGTGGTCGACAAGCAACGGCGGACGACAGAGGATGGAATAGTCACCTACTTGGATGCAGCACCACTGAAAGAGAAAAAGAGGTTTGAATAAGAATCTGAACTTGACTGAATGATAATGAGGGCAAGTGTTTTACTTACAGCTTCTCGAATGGTTCCCATGCCTTGTCTTTCCCCTCTCTGTTCCCCTCCTCGTCCTTCTCCTCCTTCCCGGTATTGAGAGATCGGGATTGGAGGCTGTGATGCAGCTCTTCCCCGCGGAACTTTGGGACTTTCCTGGTGAGGGGTCGATGTGCCTGAGGAAGGAGACGAGGTATTGTTGGAGGAGGGTGGCAGCTTCCCGCATAGTCGACTGCGGATGTCCTGCAGAAAGAGCTCTCGTCTCGACCCGCGCCTCTCCTTCTTCTTCTCATTCGTTGTCGTCTGGATATCCCGTCCATTGTCATTTCCGTCAATCGAAGTCCGTCGTGAACTCTCGTTGCTGTTGAAAGTGGAAGTGCTGGTGTTGTTGTTTGTTTTGTCGCTGTTGTTGAATGTCAACCCCAAGCCAAGCCCCCCAAATCGGCCGCCGCCTCCATGTCCCCCTCCCCCCCTTCCTCCCCCCAACCCCAATCCTTCAGCAACAGCATTCCCTGTTCCCCCCAAGACATCTTCGGTAACGGTGACAACGGTGGCGTCTGCCGGCTTGGCGAATTCCGAGTTCCGCCTCCGGGGCGTCCTCCTCAACATCGAAAAATACGGCATCTTTGCGGGAACTGGCGCGCTGGCGGAATGATATGCGCCGCCTCGATCTGCGGCCGCGGCGCTCTCATTGAACGAGGGAAAATGTGTTGATGAGGTCCACGGCAGTTGTGTGTGCTCCAGCGAGTTTGTGGTGTCCACCGAGAGCGATACGGCGATAAACACTTGCCGGAGCCGGATTTGCTGTGTGAAGCTCCGCGGCGGGGCCAAACACCTCGACGACGGCTTCAGAGAACTCAGGGCCTCAACACTATTCGCTCGAATGCTTGGTGGATTTCGCTGATCAGTTGAAGCATGCAGAGACAGCACAGGAAAAAAAAACAGAACTGTGATGGGAACCTAAAGGGTAAAAAGGGGAAAAAGATGGACTAGGCCGTCGATGATCCGTTGGTCCTAGTGAGTTGGTCTAACGGACTAATATTGTGAGGACCGCGGCTCCGGCACAAGCTTCATGGTTGTCTCAAGGTACGTCCGTTATATCATCGGCGACGGCAGTCATCAGTCTTTCCCGGTTCCCGTCAGAGCTCTAATTCATTCTGGGGATGGAGGGATGGATGCCCTGGGGGACCGGACTGACAACCCCCAACCAAGCCAATGATACAAGAGAAATAATAGGGACTGCTAATTACCATCGTGAACACTTACCTAACAAGGACTGGCCATGATAAGAAGAAGCTACCAGTCTGCTAACCACCCTGGAAGCCTCGCAACTTTGCTCTCACCTACCTATATGCTTGGGTGAAAGGACCAAGAGACCAAGAGCAGCGGCCCGAAAGCAGTCCATCTACACCCCACAGCCAGTCACAGGCCAAAAGCCATAGGGATGTGCCCGACTGGCTTGTTTCGAATCCATGGAGTTCGCAGCCTGTAATCTTGCTCCTGGAAGAAATCACCGTGGTACAGGTGAACCTCTTTCATCTGAAATTGCCCTCATTGATTTCGGCCATGGTTGGACTTGGGATTTGGGATTACGCCCGCTTGGATCTGCCCGTTCGGAGGGGCGCAGTGACAATGTGGGCATGGGTCATGGGGGGACCGGCCCTAAAACAGTGGGCGGACCGACGGGAAGTTCCCCTAGGTACATACACTCCACGCTGGGGTGTTGAAGCTTCAAAGAGCTCCCTACCGGTTTTGGCTGCGGTCATTCAATGTCGGTCCCATATCGGTCAAGTAAAACCCCCAAAAAGGACGAGGAAGAAGAAGATTCTATGGTCGTCTATTCCGCCAAGGTATGTCACCGTCGGAGATCCCAAGCGAGATCCAGGGGCTTTTGTCCAGCAATAACAAGTCCCTTTTACAATACTTGGCAGGGGACTGCCTACGCGCACCTCATCTCTAACGGTGTTGTGCAAATGCAGTCATAGCAATAAAACATGGACGCCGCAGTCTCGCAGGCTGACAAGGACCTCCTTTTTCAAAGCTTACGAGGATCATTCTGAAACACAGGTGCCCACTACAATCCAGCCCTGGTAAGTTTGTTAGCGTGGTACTTAGAGCAAGCACTTTACTCTTACAAGTTAAAGTAGTCAGGTAGAATCTGACGGCGGCACGGGCGGGTCACCATCGCGAGTGGTGTTCAAGGTGGTAGAAGTGGGGCAAAGAAGTAGTCGTTGTGCGTGAGCTCGAAGTGTTGCTCTCCACCTTTGGAGAGAAATGGCCATCAAAGCCAATCAATTCCCCTGTTTTTGTTCCCTGCTAACTTCCGCACTAACAGCGGAAACCTTCCAGCATTGTTTTGTACACATAGATGCTTGCTGGACTAACCATCCCATCCCTTTAATGGTGCAAATGTATTATTTTTAGCGTAGTATGGGTTGTGACCAGTCGGATGGCCTCCCTCTCCCTACCTCTACATCTGTGACCATGTAGATACTTTGATTTTACCAGCTTTTGTAGTACTTTTTATTATTGTACTAGATGTGGAGTGCTGAGAGGTGGGGAAGCTAAAGAATTAACTAATATATTTAAGCTAAGATGAAGCTATTCCTAAATCTAGTTAATATAGGTAGGTATTCTAGTAGTAGTTAAGCTTGCAGATTGTAATGTTGTATGTAAGATACCTTAAGTACGTTAAGGTGCGCTTTTTACCTTGCTTTTTTAAATAGGAGGGGGAGCTGTTAGTTTTGAAGGCGGTTGTATTTTTATATTGTATTGAGGAGTATATTATATAGGTATCTCTTTTTGCTAGTCGTCCTTTAATATATTATTTTGCTGGTAATTCTTTAATATTGAATATTAGGAATTTATTTGGTAAAGTGCGGTAGAGGGTAGCTATTTTATTGTAAAATGCCTAAATTTTGTTAATTAATTAGTTTCGAAAGTTTGTATATACAGTTTAGTTCTTCTATTTGAAAAGAAGCCCGAACGGTTTCTCCTTTTAATTAATTAAGAGGTTAATTGTAATAACTTTTATATAGAAATAATATATTGTTAATATGGTATTTAACAAGGAATTAAATGTAGGTAATATATTAAGGTAGAAGTTAATAAATATAATTATAAATAAATTGCGACGGTGACGATGGCTATACGTATTGTACGCGTATAATTAATTATTAATATCGGCCCTATTTATATAGTAATTATATATTTAAATAATTAGTAGTATTTAGATTTGTTTATTACCTTCATTGTTAAAGTAATTCTTTATGGTGCCCTTATGCGTCGGGCGGCGACGGTAAATGTAAGTATGAAATTCCTTTCTTATATACTATATAAATAAGAAGTTTATTATTTAGCGATCATTTACATATAAGAAGATTGTTTTGTTGTCCTAGTTTAGGTTTAGTTGTATTTTTTTGCTTTTTTGGGGGTTAGGAACTGGGATATCTGATATGGTTCGATATAGCGCCCTAAAAGGTACCTTTTCTATTTTATTATTATCTTTTCGAAATTTTGTAAATTAGGGTATTGTACGGTTCGAGCGTATTGTGCTGGTAATTATAATATTTTTAATACGAAGGTAGCGAGCAAAAAGGATGGTAGTAAAAAGGCTGTTAGCAAAGATATAATAAATTAATTAATATAGTAGGAGGGGTAAATTAATTACGAATTTAGCGATTATTCTTTGAATTGGCGCGAGATTACTTTAATTTTAAACACGTTAGTTAATAATTAATTAAGGTTTGAAAGAGGATATATATAAGGTTTCGAATTGATAATACTAATTATATTATTATATTACCTCTAATCGAAGAAATAACCGCTGGATGTAGCGACTTAATATTTAATACCATGTAGTATCAGTTTATTAGGGATATAAACTGTTACTTTATTTTTACCAGTATATTTTACTATCTTTTCATTGACGGTAATATATTATAGCGGGGTTTATATTTTGAAGTAAACTTTTTGAATGTGTTTGTTGAAGTTGTGTACTTCATTTTATATGTTGAGATTGTTTTAAATTAGATCCTATACGTAAAATTGTTTTAAAAGTATTTCGAACCGAAAGAAAAGTATTTAGCTACGGATTGGGTAATTCGGGCGCCCCTCTTTTTTTTACTAATACGATAGGAAGTTTACTTCTATATAGAGATTAATATATAGTAAGATAGCGAATATAATATATAGTTCCGCGGCGTAAATTTGTTATTAATAATTCTTACAGGTATAAGGGTTAGTTTCTCCTAGTAATAAAATCTTTCGAAGGTTAGTCTATATTGTTTATTATTATATTATATGAAGGGGCAAATATTTTTTTAAATTTTAATAATATAGTAATAGGGGTATAAGTAATTTAGTATATAAATGTACCGCTATTGCCGCGGATTATTTTAAAGGGAAACTATTTAAAGTCGATAAAATTATATTAGAGGTCTTTAAATTCGTATAGGATATTAATATTAATATTATCAGGTATATTATTAGAAAGCTTATTTATTAGTTAATAGATATATTAATAGTTTTAATAATTAGGTAGAGGAAGCCTCGTAACGTCTTAGCCTGTGACCTTAGGGAGACTTTTATTATAGTCCTCGCCATCGAAGTTATTTTTAAAGTCGTGTATAAAATTACCCTTATTATTATTAGTATTTAACTTTGGCTTACTAGGGTAGAGAAAAACTATTTAATTAGGTAAGCAGTCTACGAGGTTAATATTTATTAATCCCTTCTCTAGTGGGGTGGAGTTATTCTTCTTATACTTAAAAGGGTTGCTAATAGTATAATTCAAAGTTAATGAAAGATCTATTTTAATAATAATAATATTAAGGAAAAAGTTAGTAATATTTATGTTTAATGGCTTAAAGATGGTATACTTTGGTAAGTCTATCTTAATGCCCTAATAGACGATGTAGAATCGTTGATTTTATTAGTAAAAAGGATACTTTTGTTATCGTCGATCTTTTGTATAGATAAGACCGCTAGCAGCGCTTGGCATTTGCCAGCAAGTCACCAAGTACTGCCGGTAGCTGTGGGGGCCGCTAAAAATGATACATTTGCACTGTTAAAGGGATAGGTACATTACGTGGACGTCCTTTTTTCAATTCATCTCGGCCGGGTTTGCCGCGCTTGTGATGGACGACTCTGACAATTATATCTTGTGGTGTGTTGCGCGTCTCGATTGGAAAGCATCACCGAGGATCAACAGAACGACAGGATTGCGGGCAATGAATGGGTATTAAGCCGTGTTCGGCGTCTAAATTGTTGCGCTAATAAATGATCAAACTGCGCCTTGCCGCGGCCAGTCGTGTGTGCAACTCAACTAACTTTATCAGCCGCCTTTGAAGAACAATGTAATCTCGTCGGAGGGGGGGAGAAGGGTATCAAATCATGTCAAACCATTCAGTCAGTCCCAGGTCATTCAGAACCCGAACGCCATTCATCTGCCCTTCCAATCGTCAATCATCCATCCATCCAGCCAGCTCCCTTCTTCTTGCGCTTCCCTCATTACCCCCCAACGCAGCACACACCCAATGATAACAGTCCTTCCCTGCTGCCATACGAAACAGAAGATCTGCCAAACAGAGCCTTATGCCCTATGCCATTCATGCGACCACCCATGTCGAAACAACCCGCGCACGCGATCCCGTTCGCAAAAAGACGGATGGGAGCCGTAACATCTGCCTTATGTGTGTCCCATGTCTTGTCTTTCTCGATCGGGAAATCGTCGCCCGGCCGTGCCGTGTGCGTGCGCGACGTGCGTCATGAGAGGTCCTTCGGTTCGCATCAAGGTTCGAAGTATCAGATTAATGAAGTCAAACCAATCCATCCTGCCATCCCAATCAATTCCATTCTTGGCGTGCGTGGCCCACCTCCACCACCACCAACTCTATCATCACCACATCCGAAGGACGACGTCAAGCCTCACTCTTGCGCTGCGCGCCCTTTTCAACAGCACTCGATATGTAACTATAACTCATGCCGGAGGGGTATCGTGAAAGACGACAAGCAGGTATTTCGCATCTGGTACGATTACCAGTTCCTGCTTTTTCGTCCGTAATCGTAGGAGTTTGAGTTCGTCCTGTTGCCGTGCAGTGCAGTGCATTGTCGTCAGTTTAAGCTTTTTCGCAGACCTGAACCACTACTCTCGGCATATTTTCATCTAGAGTCAAGAACCTTGGTTGGGGGTGGTGGGTAAGGGAAGGGAAAGGGAAGGGGGAAAGAAGAAAACCTGCGAGAACTCACCTCCCCATCCAGCTCCTGCACAAACTCGCCCGCATTCGACACAAAACTCCACACCATTGCCGCGAGCTCTACCACGTTCTGATCATAGGCGCTCACTGCTGCACTGCTGCCGCCGCTGTTTGCACTCCCTGTGCCCGTGCTGCCTGCCGCACCTGCCCCAGCCCCAGGTACCTCCCCATCCGTGCCCGTACCCGTAGACGCCGTTGCCGGTGCAGCAACTGCCTCCTCTCCCGTCGTAGTCACCGCCGTACCGGGAGCTGCCGCCGTATCGGTAGTAGTCGTGTCAGTAACGGTGCCAGGAGCGAATGAAGGTGACAATGGGCCTTGCTGGTCCGTGATCGGTTGCTGTTCGGACTGCTCTGGTTGCTGTGGTTGGGGCTTGGCCTTGCGAATAGAGGAGATTTGACCGCTGGTTTTGAGGATGGCGCCGGATGCGCGGTCGAGGACGATGGCACCCTTTACACCGGGCTTCTTGGAGAGCCGGCCTAAGGTCTCTTCGAGGTGGGCGGAGGCGGAGGGTGACTGGGGGGGATGTTAGTGGTGTGTGCTTGAGAAGGGTGAGGGGAGGTGGGGGGACTACTGACTGTTGGGTCTGACATTGTGAGGTGATGTGTGAATTTGAGGATTAGGTGTTTGATTGAGGGATTTGGTTTGCGCAAGTTCAAAAAAGGTTGTTGTTATTGCAGGAGAATGTGAAAGAGGTTCAATGAGCTATCGATGAGCTGTGAGAGAGAGCTCCCTTGCTCGTTCGGTGAGCTCCAGAAGCAACGAACGAACGAACAGCAACAGCGCCTGGCCACTTGCTGTCCAGCAAGGTACCCATGCCAGTACCCCTGGCCGGCAGCTGTCAAAGGTCTTGGCAGTCCAGGGATTTTGCCGCGTTACACCGCTAAAATTTCCAAACTCACCTCGTTCGTTCACTCTGCGCTTCACCAGAGATACACTTACAAAGGGCCAAGGTGAGTACTGCCATATCAATTACTGATAAGAAGAGACTGCGTCTGACTGTTGTTTAGACTATTACCTATCAAACACCGCCAAGATGGGTTCCAGCAACAAGAAAAAGAAGGAGAAGAAGAAGGACTTTAACGTATGTCAATTTTCATTCATCCACTGCATTGTTTGGGGACCACTGCTGCTGCTGGCGCAGCCCCTGGCTTTATCAGATGTGATGCCTCCCTTATCGGACACGTTCACTAACAACATATGAACCACAACAGAAAGCCAAGTTGAAGGTCGGCAAGGCCAAAGCCAAAGCAGCCAACTTTACCGACACGAGCTTCAAGTCCAAATGTTCGTCCCCCACTCACTCATGCCATCCCTCTTCGAAGCCACACTCACTAACATTCAACCTCCCAGCCATCGTCGTAAACCAACACACCCTCGCTGCCCTCGACGGCGTCGACCTCGTCGGCCTCTTCAAGCAACACCTCAACCAAGCCATCAACTCCAAATCCGACAAGCTGCGCCAAGAAGCCCTGGTCCAACTAACCAAGGACCTCTCCTCCAAGCCCATCTTCAACCCGGTCGGCGTGCCCAACCTACTCACCAAACTTTTGCCCTTAATCACCGACTCGGTCGCCAACGTGCGCACCAACTTCCTCAAGCTCCTGCGCGCCCTCCCGCCCTCCGACGTCGCCCCGCACGTCGAGAAGATCCTCATGTACATCCGCGGCGGCATGACCCATCTCTCGACCGAGATCCGCTCCGACACGCTTTCTGTGCTCGACTGGCTCATCGACGTCTGCCCGGATGAGACCGTCTCCTGCCCTGGCGGCTGGCTCAAGACGTTGAACTCGTTCTCGTCCATGTTGGGCTGGAACCCCTCTGTAGCCTCCACCCTCTCGGTCAAGGGCTGGACGTCAGCCACCAAAACCTCGCTGAACAAGGTCTCCAAGAAGAACGGCGAGGCCCAGGCTAAGCAGATCACCATCCTCGCCAAGTTCTTGGAAGCCGGGTTCAGGCCGGAGACGCCGCTGCCGTATGACGAGCAGCGGTATTGGGATAGTATTTATCGCATGCCGACGACGCCGAATCCGTTTGCTTATTTGAATCTGTGGGGCGCGCAGAGGGATCAGGATGGGGAGATGTACCCGGATCGGATCTCGAGGCAGCAGGTGTTTGAAAGGAAGTGGAGGGCGGCGATCAAGACGGGCGTGATGGGCGCGAAGCAGGAGGGGGGTGTGATTGGTAGGGCCGCGTCGGTGTTGGATAAGGTTTTGAGGACGACAGAGGAGGGTGCGAAGAAGGTGGTGGAGGAGCAGGAGAAGGTTGAGGAGGTTGAAGAGGTGGAGGCTTAAGTGTGGTGGTATGCGTATGGCAGACATATGTGGGTGTGTGTGACTATGTGGTTCACGGCGGTCGTCTTCGTTTCGGCTAATGATCTGGGAAAGGATAGGGTCCATTGTGGTTTCATTATAGGTTCTCTCGGTTTATAGGTTTCATGATTCCCTCTTGTTGTTCTTTGTTTGCTCAGCATTTCCGCCTTATCTTGCGTTTGTTGACTCGCGCCCATGGTCCCAGGAATGCCTCTGAAGTGGCTCCCGTTTCTCTAAACAGTTCATTTTTGGTACAGTGTGTGTCCATTTGACCATCAGATAAAAGCGTCAACTCGCACTTCCGTACTAGTTCTAGTTCTAGTGTTCTAGTGTCTTGCAAGCTTGCCTCTTGTTCTCTTCCAATATCTTCCTAGGTATTCTAGAGCTGTAATATAGCGTCTTCCAATGCCTGTTCATGTGCCAACGAATGCCTTTCCTGGTTCAAAGAATGCCTTTCCTGGATCAACAAATGCCTGTTTTCCCCTCGGTCACTAGGGAATATTGCAAGAGGGGTATATGATCCGACTGTGAAATCTAGACGAGAAGTATTCGTCCTGTGCGGCATGTTCGTCCGTTCGCCCATTTGTATTGTCCAACTTCGTTCTTCCTGTTCCCCTTATTCTTTGGGCTGTTCGTTCACGCGACCGCTTTTCGGGCCGCCATCAAGTTCTGTTGCGGTTGGTTATCTTCAATGCCCTGCTTGTTGAGCATGTTGTTAGCTGGCGTCGCAGGTTTTGACGGCGTTCTTGGTGTCTTCTTTGCTTGTGGATATTCCTTCTCCCAAGTCTCGCTGGCTGGTCCCCTTCTCGTTCGAATGACTCAACATGCTTGAGTGCAAGTTGTTGCTATGAGACTGTTTTTCAGGATCCGAATTTGTCTGGGCTATTATAGTATTTCGAGGCTTCGTTTGCTGCGCCGTCGTTGTCTGTTGCGATGCTTTTGTTCCTTTGGCTCACTGTCCAGGGAAGAGTCTCCTAGGCTGGTCGCTGTTCGTACAAAACCGGGTCGCGTTATCGTGGTTAGAGCGGCAGAGATATCAAGTCATGGCGGGGAGAAAAGGGCGGGTGGGACACTCTGATACTATGAACTAAGCTACATGTTAATCCCAAAAAGGCTTCCACACTTCGGATCAGTAGACCTTTGTTACGAGATCCATGACTAGTTGAAGGGCTAGTTCCTGTCTCCGTTGGTATAGTATCGTGAAGTGTTTGACTGCCTAACCGGCCTAGATCTGTGCTTTGATCCGGGTGTCCCGACCTCTTGTAGATAGGCCCGCTTGGCAGCTGTTGAAAGATGGTCCGAACGCGAACGAATCCTCCCGCCACGGCGAGCTTGTAATCAGATCAAGTGGAAGTGTGGCTGACAATACCAGGTACCTGGAGGAGGCAGTTCGATAAGTAGTACTGCAGTTGGTAGCAGACGCCCTGGAGTTCCGACACCCAAAAGGAGAAAGAAAGGAGAGTGTGTAAAGGAGGAAGTCCAGATCAGTCCTCTAGTTGCCCTTTAGGCTATCCAAGGTCTCAACCCATATGGCAATATCCGAATTAACAAGAAGACGCAAACTCCGCAAAGAGTTTATCACTGACCCGAAGAGCCGATACGTTTGATACCTGCGTATCCAAGAGCTCCCGTCACTTTGACCCGACCACGCCACGCACAGCCCCATCCCATCATCCCGTCGGGCCCCTTATCGTGACCAAAAGATCCTTTTAACTCGTCATGTCGGCGGCGGGCAGCTGCTACCCGTCAACTTTCTGCCGGTCACGCTTTGTTTCCGTCCCCAACAGCTCGTACACCGCCTGCGAGGCAGGAAGTCCTCCCGGTCATACCTTCCCTCTTCATACCTCCCTCTTCATAGCCTGCCTCTGCCCCGCCACCCTTTCCGCAGGCGCTCCTTCCTCGCTTTGGAATTTGGTTGCCTTGTTGACGCAACACGTGCTCCTCTCTGGCACACAAAGCTTGGGTGGCTTGTACGTTCTCTGATATTTAAATCAAAATATTTCAACCCCTCCCCTCTCTCTCTTCTTCCTCTCTCTCCTCACCCACGACACCCACCCGCAGGACTCGTCAACACGTCGACGTGCTGCACTTCGTATCTTGCTCCCGCTGCGAATAGCTTCCGTCATCTCGCAACAAGTAAGTCTCTTTCGTTGTTTCTATCTCGCCGTCTCCCCTCCTCGTCGACATCATTCTCACCGTAGACGCGCCGCACCTCCACGGTCGCGTCACCCCGCCGTCTCTCACTTCCACTTGAGCCCATGGAACCACTTGATTCCATTCAAGACTTCAGGTCACCATCGCTCAACGTCCAGCTGATCATCAAGCTAACCCATCCATCTCTTCCAGCCACTCTCGCGTCATGGCTGACAACGCTTGGGGTGCTACCCCCGCTGCCACCGAGGCCGAGGCCGGTGCCTGGGGCACTTCGGATCTTCAGTCGGCACTCGCTGAGACCAACGGCCACGCTGATCATCACTCAACCAACACTGAGAACGGCGCCCCTGCCCCCGTTGTGCAGGTCGTCCCTCCCAAGCTTGAGGGTTGGGTCGAGGCGACTCCGTACCAGTACGACGAATTTGCCAATCGTGAGACAGAGTGGGATGGCCAGGCCCGCATCTATGAGTGGGATGGCGAAGAGGGCGACATTGGCCCCGAGTTCCCGGAGTTGGAGGTCCAGCTCTTTGGTCCCGTCGAGGAACGCGGCCGCAGGGGTATCGACTTCTCCGCCATTGCTGAGCTCCAGCTTGTCCAAGAGGGACCTACTCGTGTCGAGCCTATCGACTCTTTCAGGGCTGCTGGCCTGCACCCAGCCATGCTCCGCAACGTCGAGCTTGCGGGCTACGATGTGCCAACCCCCATCCAGCGCTACTGTGTCCCCGCGATCAGCCAGGGACACGATGTCATTGCCATCGCACAGACTGGTGAGTTAATCTTCAGGTGCCCCTCCTGTTGACCATCCTTGACGCTGACAAATCTTTAGGTTCTGGTAAGACAGCGGCTTATCTTATTCCCATCATCAACAAGCTGATGGGCAAGGCGAAGAAGTTGGCGGCCCCTCGTCCCAACCCCGCCACCTATCAGCCCGGAATCGACCCGCCCTGCAGAGCTGAGCCTCTCGTCGTTGTTGTCTGCCCCAGCCGTGAGCTGGCGGTTCAGATCTTCAATGAGGCCAGAAAGTTTTGCTATCGTTCTATGCTGCGCCCTTGCGTCCTTTACGGCGGCGGCCCGATGAGGGAGCAGATGGAGCAGATTGCGAAGGGCTGCGACATCCTCGTCGCATCTCCCGGTCGTCTGATCGACTTCATGGATCGCCCGGAGATCCTGTCGTTGCGCCGTGTCCGCTACATGGTGATTGATGAGGCAGACGAGATGCTTGATGCCGATTGGAAGGATGATCTCGACCAGATTCTCTCTGGTGGTGGTAAGTTAACCCAGCACATCATCTTCCCGCTTTCCCAAACACATGATGAGCTCAGGCTAATGCTTTCTCCTCCACAGACCAGGAAGAGGGCAACATCAAGTATATGCTGTTTTCAGCTACTTTCCCCAAGGCCGCTCGTGACCTTGCCAAGACTCATCTTGCCGACAACCATGTGCGCCTCCGCGTTGGACGTGCCGGAAGCACCCATAGCAACATCAAGCAGGACATCGTCTGGGTCGAGCCCTATCTGAAAAAGCAAGCTTGCCTCGATCTCCTCAACACGGTGCCTCCCGGCCGCACCATCATTTTCGTCAACAGCAAACGCGCTGCTGATGAGCTCGATGACTTCCTGTTCAACAAGGGAGTTCCTTGTGTCAGTATGCACGGCGAGAGAACCCAGAGGGAGCGTGAGGCTGCCATGCGCGCCTTCCGTGCCGGAAGATCGCCCGTGCTGATCACTACCGCCGTCACTGCTCGCGGTATCGATGTGCGTAACGTTTTGCACGTCATCAACTTCGACCTCCCCTCCGCCATGTATGGTGGTATTGAGGAGTATACTCATCGCATCGGTCGCACTGGTCGTATCGGCCACAGAGGTCTTGCCACCTCTTTCTATACCGAGCGTGACGAGGATCTCGCTTCTGTTCTAACCCGGACTCTCCTCGAGACCGGTCAGGAGATCCCGGACTTTCTCCAGCCATACATCCCCGAGGACACAGAGCATCTTCACTTCGAGGCCGATTCGGACTTTGAGGAGGAGGTTGCCGGCGGCGATGATGTTGGCGGTGATGACGCTGGCGATGGCTGGGGCGCTGGTGGTGACGCCGGTGGTGACGCCGATGATGCTGGCGACGGCTGGGGCGCTGGCGGTGATGCCGGCAATACCTCTGTGCCTGCTACCAATGACTAGTAATCGCAGCACAGGACACAGCACAATCTGACGGAGGCGCTTGAGGTTTGTTTCCGGGTTGAGCCACCACAAGTTTATGGTGACTTGTGGTTTGTCAGGTATTTCTCCGACCAGCAGCAGGTTAACGGGTCTTTTGCAACGGCATCTAGGTGTAAAATGGAGGCTGTATTGGAAGGGTACCGTTGGACCATAATGATATCGTGCAAGGTCATCGGATATAAGGGTGAGGTATTGGATCTCCATTGGTATCATGATGCTTGGAGTTCTTGGAGGTAGTCCATAATAGGTGATAGTTAAGACCTTGACGATCTAGTCTTTGTGCCTGCAGTTGACCGTGATGAGTGTGATGCCCTGAAGTGATTCGGCATAGTTGTGACGCCTTGATAATGTGAGCGTAGTCATATGAAGTTTTGTGCTGCGAGTCCTGAATTGAGTCCTGGGTTGGCAAATTAACGGACAACCAAGATGCAGTGGATACAGTTGTCAAGCCGCCTAAATGTATTCATTCATGAACAATGTCATGAAGGTTAGTGAATCTGGATAGCTACCCACCTCCAAGTCTCCTCTGCAAGATAGCTAACGTCGCCACCACCTCATTCCCTTTACTTCAGCAAGCAGTTCCTCCAATCCGCAACCACCCAAACAACCTCAACATGCACCACTGGCCTCATCATTCCTTAAGTGATTACGGTTTTAATCTTCCTCTTCCCTCCGCTGCACCCAATGCCTCAAAACATATTGCGCGCGCAGCCACAGCTTCCACCCAGGCCTCTGCGAGTCCATCGTTCGCGCCTGCCGCTCCACACTGATCTCTTCCAGCTTCTCGGTCATGAGGAACGCGGGCCAGTGATTCGGGCCAAAGACGCGCAGGATGGAGAAAAGCCGAAGGGCGATGAGGGACATTTGTTCCCGTTGCTGTTCCTCTTCTAGATCATCGCGGGCGTCGGGGGGAAGGTTGGCGTGGGGGATGTAAGGGCGGGAGGTGGGGAGGGTGGAATGATGGGGGGTATATGGGGGGGAGGAGGTAGAGGAGGTAGAGGAGGTAGAGGAGGGGGAGGGGTGGTCGGGGTGGGACATTAGGCGTTCGTAGCCGAGTTTTGTGAGCTGGTTGTTTTGTTGTGTTAGTAGTTGTGGTGAGGATGGGAGTGCAGGGAATGGATGTTGAGGGGTGGAAGGTTAGGGACAGAGGTTTAGGGGGGTTTAGGATTAGGGGAGAGAAGGATTAAGGGGAGAGAAGGATTAAGGGGAGAGAAGGTTGGGGAGAGAAGGATTAGGCGAAAGATTAAGGGGAAAGGTTGAGGGCGAAGGTTAAGGGGGAGAAGGTTTAAGGGGAAAGGTTAAAGGGACAGGTTACAGGGAAAGGTGAAGAGGAGGGAAGCTTAAGGGGAGAGAAGGTTTGGGGAGGGGAAGGTTCAGGGGAAGGGTTGAGGAGAAGGGTTAAGGGGATATGTTTAGGCGCGAAAAGGCTTTAAGGGGGCTACTCACTTCCCAGGTTTGCTCGCTTGATAACGTCGCGCCGCCTCTCACCAACCAATACAGCAATTTAACTGAATTCCAACTCGCAACCGGGTTCGCCAACAAATGATTAGAGATCTTAGTCGCCGGGTGAATATCCCAATACCCCGTGCGCAAGGCATGGTTTTCCCTGCTATAGCGAATTGCCTGGGGGTCGGATTTGTACAGAATGGTGGTGAACCAGGACCAATCGGCTTCGAAGCAGGTTTCCACGTCCAGTTTGGTATTAGACTGAGAAGATGAAGAGGCACCGGAGTCGTCGAAGAAGTCACCGTCGAAGTGCAGGCGGTGGTGAGGGTGATGAGGATAGCTGTCTCGGACATCATCCATGTCGTAGTCTTGGATTTCACTAGGGCCAGGACCTGATATGAGGTCACGGTCAAGTTCCATGCGCGTGGGACCGAGCATGAGCCAGTTCTCGGTGTGGATGAAGGGGCGGGAGGCAGAGCCGTGACGCCGGATCCAGACTTGTTGGGCGTGGAGGATGAGGGAGAGAGTGAACCATTTGGAGGAGAGGATGGCGGTCTGTGAGGGTGTTAGTTCATGGTGCTTGTGGCAGGAGTATATTCTGGAAGTGAAGAGATCGATAAGGTGAAGTGAGTGACGAGCGTGTGTAAACAAGGTTCAAACAGCACTCTTTACATCAACCAAGTTTCGACATTTCCACGAGGTCACTAACCTGAAAGTCTGGATTACCAGGCATTCTCTCACCATCCTTCTCATAGCCTCTATACGACTGGATATCCTTCCTGGGGCATCCAAACCACATATCCCACGTAGGGGAGAAGGCATCGACAATCAACTGCAAAAGGAAAGTCCTGGCCGAAAGCATGTAGCCAATGCGAAGACTACTCCTGGGAAAGTTGAGGTTCTCGGACATGGAGAAGATACGCTCAAGGATTTCAGGCGGCAGCTGCTCAATGGGAGCGGCCGGCTTTCTCGTCTTGACGCGCCGTCGTCGCCTGACACCATTTTGGTCGACTTGACTCGGAATGACTCCAGTTTCCTCGTCGTACTCGTCCTGGTCACCATCCAGGTGCTTGCGCTTGAAGCGCTCGGGATTTGGAGGTTGCCAGGGTTGTTTGCGGCCGCGGCGGCCTCTGATTTTGATGGGTGTCAGCTTCATTGTTTACCGTTCTGCAGGAGTGCAGGAGAACGGCAACAGTGTTGGAATGGGACTACGAAGTGGTAGGCATGTCGTGATGTGCCAGTTGTGAAGTGGTTGAACCGTTGTGTAAGTCGTCAAACCCACATTGAGCAAGTGCAGTGGGTTCTGAAGAGAGGGTGAGGAGAAGTGCAAGGTTGTTCAACCGCTATGGAAATTTTGGTAACAGCAACAGTGAATGTTGTTCAAGGGAGAAACCTGGAAACTTCTCACCCAGCCAACCAAGGCAAGTCCTGAGGAGGATGCATTGCTCGCACCCTTCAATTGTGAGGTCACGTAGAAATGTCAAAGTGCCCACTGGTCAACACCAAAGCATGTCATTCCGTTGAAGTTGTCCAGGCGTTAGATGCATTAACAATTTTCTTATCAACTGAAGCACCATGATTGATAGAAAACGCAGCGACTTCCATGTCGAATGGAGTTGCCGCAATGCATGACGAGTTCCCGCTTTCCATGCACCCACCCTCGCTAGCACTTTCGGCACCCCTCTCACAGCAAACTTTCTCCGCCAATCTCAGTTATCAATGCCACCGCTCGGCGTGGTTCCATCGAAAGCTTTGACGACCGTTTGATACTTTTCTGCAGGCACAACATCGACTGGGATTTGGTAAGGTGCGTTGCAGCCGTTTTTTGGGAAGGCAGGAAGGCCTCACAAACACCGCGAATCATCCTCTCTCTTTGATTTGCGCGCCTTTCTTTTCCCCCTCTTTGCTACGAGAGGAGAAGAGAGAAGCATCGTCAGTCATCCACGACGACGGTTCTTTGCTGCAATGCCGCCGGCATTGAGACCAGCAGCGCCATCGCGGAGCCTCCTTCGGTATCTTCGCGCCCAGTCCGAAGGGCTCTCGTTTGCGCCAACATGTCGCGCTGCTGCTGAACGACATCCCGCTCTCCAGCGCCGCCATGTCTGTACCGCAGGCGGTCCGACCAGACCACCAAGACAGCCTTCTTCGACGAGATCGTTGAGTACAGCAACTCCACCGAAGCGCACCGAGTTGCGCGCCGGTCTTGTCGACCTCGAGGCCATTCTCCCCAAGTCGCTTCGAAAACAGCGCACCACAAAGTCCCTCCTCGCACTCCCACCGCCGGCTGGCTCGTTGCGGTTCTCGTCCAACCAATCCTCTGACTGCGACCCCAAGAGGCCAAGGCTTAGAGAGTGGCTATTCGGCAATGGCGAGAAGAAGGGGCCGCCAGATACCCGGCTGAACGATGACGACATAAGAGTCGCAGTCGAAGAAGAGTCCGGATCCATTTTTCAGCGCAGGACTTTGATGGCAAAGGCTGCAATGGATCCCAGACTGAGGTGTACAGAAGTAGACGAAAACGGCAACGTTGTCATGGTGGACGGTGAGCTCAAAAAGAGTGAGCTTATCGCAAAGGTACGTGGCCTGAAACAGATGCAGAGATGCTATGACTGCATTACTAACGAGTCGAAACACAACAGTACGGTCTTCTGCCTCGCGATCTTCGCAAGATCGATTCGTCCAACCTTCCTCATATCCTCATCCGTCCTTCGGCGATTCTTCTCAACCTGCTGCACTTGAAGGTCCTGATCAAGCATGACTGCGTCCTTCTGTTCGACGTCTACGGTTCCAAGAGTTCATACCCCCAGTCGGCCTTCATGTACGATCTACAAGGCAAGCTGCAGCAAAAGCAGTCGTCCGGAGCCAACAGTCTGCCCTACGAATTCCGCGCTCTCGAAGCCGTGCTTATGTCTGTCACTTCCGAGCTGGAAGCCGACTTCGAAGCCGTTCGTGACCCTGTCATTCGCATTCTTAGCGAGCTCGAGGATGATATCGACCGCGAGAAGCTGAGGGTGTTGCTTGTCCTGTCCAAGAGGGTTAGCACTTTCGAGCAGAAGGCCAAGCTTGTGCGTGATGCCATTGAGGAGCTGCTTGAAGCCGATGATGATCTTGCGTCCATGTACTTGACTGAGAAGACGCATGATCTCTACAGAGGCGAGGAAGACCACACTGAAATTGAGCTCTTGTTGGAGTCTTACAACAAGATTTGCGACGAAGTTGTGGAGGAAGCGAGTAACCTCGTCTCGAGCATCAGGAACACGGAGGAAATGTGAGTTTACTCCTTTCCAGACTTGCGGGAAACACACAGCTAACAACTCTACAGTATCCGTGCCATTCTTGACGCTAACCGTAACTCGCTCATGTTGCTCGATCTCAAGTTCAGCGTGGGCACCCTCGGCCTCGCAATGGGCACCTTCTTGGCGTCTTGGTACGGCATGAACCTGGAGAATTTCATAGAGGAAACCAACTGGGGATTTGCTATGGTCACCTCGGTCTCGACGGTCGCCTCGCTGATTGTCTGCTGGTACGGCCTTGTCAAGCTCCGCAAGGTGCAGCGTGTCAAGATGGGCGACTTGCACAACCGCAACGCCCCCAACCACTGGTTCCGTGACGAGAGCACCGACGTCCTGCTTGATCCCAGCAACCGTGAGAGGTTGAGGAGGATCAACTCGATGAAGAGTGCGCAGCAAAAGAGATTCACCAACAAGAAGTGGTTTTAATGCCTTGAGATGAAAAAGAACAGACAGGGTTGCGTGATGGGCAGAGAGCGTTTGGCGTTTAGGGAGAATGAACGGAATCCCTTTTTATGTTGCTTCGAAGAGAAAATAATGGCGGCAAAATGCATATTAGACGGATGGCGTTCAGACACTAAAAATGGGTCCTCTGTCTTGTTTGTTTTGTTCTGCTTGTTGTTGTAAGATGGTTGTAGGGTAGTTGACCCGCTGTCGTCTTTTCATTCTTCATGTACTAAGTAGTACACTTTATCTCAACTCATCATTATTACTAGGTAGAGGTTTAGAGAAGCGTTATAGACCAGTGCCCTGGAGGAGATACCCAGGAACGCTTCTTGTTAGGGTAGGCAGGTTATCATTAGTTGATGTTTTACAACAAACATCTTCCCGTTCCTTCCGCTATCAGCAATCCGGGTACCAATGGGCAAATATCAGACAAAATAGAAAACATGATCCGTTGTCACCACGTGCAACCCGAGGTCGATCCGGAGGCGAATGGCTAGAATGGTCGAATTCACTCCCGTTCATCCGTAGTGGTCCGGTCTCCGGTGGTTGTGTTGGGGGCCTGGGCTGGAGCTTCCCCGCAATATCCCGCCAAGGCCCATGGAAAGTGCCCCGCCGCGACGGGATCCGAACGACAGTCGACAGAACTCACCTCACACCACCTGCACGACATCACACTACAGGGGCAACTTTACGTATAAAGCTCACCAGCAACCCCCAAACAAAAGCTGAGCGGCAAACACGACCAATTCGCCGTGCCTCTGCCTCACCGTGCTCGATACAACCTTTGTATAACCTCGCCGATTCCTTCCAACTCGGAGCTGGAGAGGCTCAGCTGAACGATCAATAATCACAAATCCCTGGGACTTTGAGAGTCAATTGAGGGAGCAGATATATAAAGCGGTCTGTCGAACGGATTACCAAGAGGATTGAGTCTAGTACCTCTCATCTTTACCATCAATTACCAAGGTCAGTCAGTCAGTCCATCAACATCAATTTTCCAGTTTCTACACCAATGGAGACTTATAGACAGACCCTCTATATACCCTATGCAAGACTTTTCAGTTATTATAAGCTGCAGTTGAGCCGAGTCAAGTGGCTTTTTCTCTCCTTCCTCCGCACAAACCGAACACCAAACACGATGGTTCTATCAGGGTCCTCATTGATCATCATCGATGCCCCCCGGCGCTCCCGGTCCGGGTGAATCCGGGGTACGGGTACGGGTACGGTCATGGTTATCATGACGTGGAGTATTCACGGACGTTTCGTGAGGAAGTCATGAACAAGGAGAGAAAGGGGGCCATGTCGAGTGTTTTGTTTCTTCACTCAAAATGGTCTTGGCATAAAAGACGATGGAAACTACGGACTGAATCAGTTCTCATCAGTTATCCCCACTCTCTTGAGCTTCACTTCACACCTTCTCAGGGTATTGAAGCCAGCCAGCTAACATACCACAACAGACAGGCTCTCGCCGTCCATCATTCTCAGTACCACTCCGTCCAAAACTAAGACTTTCGCGCCGTTCTTCTCGAGGACTAGAACTCATCTTTCACATCGCCCAAGCTCAAGCTCAAGCCGCACAACCACCACCATCACTACCACGCAAACCAAACCAGAAGAGCGTCAAAGACAACAAAAACAGGACATCAACAAACAACCACCGCCAATACCACCGCCAACACCAGCGGAGACTAAGACACCGAGTTCGTCTTCCCATCACCACCACAAAAGCCATATATATACCTCGTCATCAAACGACCAAACCGTCGACAAAATGATGTCCCAAATCCCCGGCGAGATCCCACCACCCAACCTGGCCGCTCTGGCCGAGGACCACTACTTCTCTGCCAACCCGCCGCCCAAGGACCTCGAGAAGCATGTGAAGCTGGCGAAGGACTTTATCGATTTTCATGCCAAGGAGGGAAGGAGGTTGGTGCTGATTACCAGTGGTGGAACTACTGTGCCGCTTGGTGAGTTTACCTTTTTTGGTTTTGTTGTGTGATGAGGAGTGGATGAGTGTGAAGGGGGGGAAGGGAAGGGACACGAGGGGAGAGGAAAAAAGAGGGAGGGAAGTGAGAGGATGGGGTGAAGTTGAGGTTGGGGAGGGAGTGTGAATGGGGAGAAGGGAGATGATTCAGGGGTGAAAAGAGGGAAATGGGTTAACGAAGTAAGGTTGCTAACGTTTAACAGAAAAGCAGACGGTGCGGTTCATCGACAATTTCTCGGCTGGTACTCGCGGTGCTGTAAGTTTTCCCTCCTCGCTTGCTTATGCCGGGGCATCGTCATCAAAGTGCCCCTTCGTATAGGGAATGTCTAACCAACCAACCCCCAGACATCCGCCGAATACTTCCTCGAAGCCGGCTACGCCGTCCTCTTCCTGCACCGACAATTCTCCCTCCTGCCCTTCTCGCGCCATTACTCGCACGCAACCGATTGCTTCCTCGATTTTTTGAGAGAAGGCCCCAACGGCTCCGTCGTCGCCCGCGACAAGGACGCCAGCAAAATGCTCCAAGTCCTCCGTAAATACCACGACGCCCGCGACAACAACATGCTGCTGGCCATCCCCTTCGTCAGCATCTCGGACTACCTGCACGAGCTGAGGTCCATCGCCCAGCTGATGAAGCCGCTCGGCCCTGATGCTCTCTTGTATCTTGCCGCCGCCGTTAGCGACTTTTTCGTGCCGCCGGATCGCATGTCGGAGCATAAGATCCAGAGCACGGATGCTGCTGACTTTAAGAAGTCTTCTTCAACCTCGACTTCTGTTGCGCCCAGCACGAGGGCCACGCCTGCCCCTGGATCTGGAAATGGAAATGGATCGGGGACGGCGGGAGTGGTGGATGAAGAGACCTTTGACAACTTTGATTCGTCCCCCACCGTGCCTAGGAGTAAGCGGTTGGTGGTCGATCTTGACCCTGTACCCAAGTTCCTCAAGAACTTGGTTGAAGGGTGGTCGCCTGAGGGAATGATTGTCTCGTTCAAGCTGGAGACGGATCCGAGTATCTTGACGCTGAAGGCCAAGTACTCGCTGGATCGGTATCAGCATCATTTGGTTATTGGGAACTTGCTGTACGTTTTTTCCTTTTTCTTTCTACTTGTTCGCCTTTCCTTCCTTCTGCTACTTTCCTTCCCCCTTCTCCTTCTCCTTCTCCCACTCCTTCTCCCTCTCCTTCTCCCTCTCCTTCTCCCACTCCTTCTCCCTCTCCTTCTCCCTCTCCTTCTCCCTCTCCTTCTCCCTCTCCTTCTCCCCCTCAACCCCCCACCCCACCTGCTTCAAATCATCGAATCTAACAACCAACCCTTCACCCACAGCTCAACCCGCAAATGGGAAGTAGTCTTCGTAGCACCCAACCGCAAAGACCGCTGGATCCGGGTCCCCATGCACCGCCGTGTCGGCTCCGGCTCTGCTTCTTCCGGCAACCCAAACCCACCATTAGATGCCGCCGATGCCGTAACAACAAATAAGGACGAACCGCTAGACCCCAAGTCCCTCCCCGAAGGCGAACCCGAGATCGAGATCGAGAGCTTGATCATCCCGGCCGTCAAGGAGTTGCATAGTGAGTATGTTGATACCTTTGAGAGGTCGGAGAGGAGGGGGAGGAGTGGCACGCCTGCCTAGTGCTTAGCCTTAAGGCGAGGTGTTTGGGGGGGAATATGTTTGGTGAAGAGTAGTGGGTGAATGGGGTGAGTGGAGGGTGAGTGAGTATCAGTGAAGTTAGGATGAGTGAAGGATGGAGTGGCTATGCATATAAATGCTGGGTGGTGGTGGGGTATGGTATGGTATGGTATGGTCATGGGAGGAATGGGGAGGAGGTTGAGGAGGAAAGGAAAGGAAAGGGTGTGATACATATGTAGTATCATTATTGGAAATGTTGCAGTCAACACCACAAAAATTTTGGGATGGTAAGATACGACGGATAGAGTGGAGGGGGATTCAGCACCGAATGACAGACAGACAGCATTGGGTTTTTGAAATATTTGGTCTCTGTAACATTATTGAGCACTGGATTTTGTACAGCGATATAATGAGCGATTCAACGGCTTCGCGGCTTGTACTTTGGGAAACATCTGTGGGTTGTTTAACATCTTGATCCATATGTTCGGCTGCGATAGCTACGTCATGGTCATCCGGTGTGTAGTAGAGCCGGAGGAGACGATGGGGACTTTGAGTGAATGAGAACCTTGTTGTCTCTTGATTTTCTTCGCATCTGGAGAAGAAAGGAATCTGGGGAGAAAAACTCGCCATTGCTGGGGATACGCGTACGTTACAGAGATGATAAAACAGAAGCAGCCAGTACGCCCGAAAGCAACCGCGTCATGCTTTATCCGTGACATCCCCAATCAAATCAATCACACAAAGAACCGGAACATGGTGTGTTTGCCTGGAAAATCGCATTTCTGTTTACGGTTTCCCAGACATTGTTGGCCTTAAAGGTGTCTTTCGCCCGTAGCTAGTTTGCTCAGACTCAAGTCCAACCACCACCACACCCAAAAACACAGCATCCCATCCCAATCACAGACGCCCTAAAAAAGTTGCTTGCTTTTTGCCCTTTTTTTCCCCCCAAACTCATCCTGGGATCGCCCTGTTTCCAGGAACCCCACAAAAGAATGCACAGTTACAGTCCGTTCCGGCGTTGTTTCGTGTCGTCATCGTCAAAAGTTCGTTCATCGTGGTGACGCGGGGAAAGAAAGGGTTGATTGGGTTTCTTTTAGCTCGCTAACTTTGTCGCCGGAGAGAAAAGAAGGTTGTCATCGCGACGGAAGCTTCATGCGTTGCGGGGGATAATTTAAGAGCCGGGGTTGGGGTTCATCTGTTTTTGTCATGTCAGTTTTGCCGTTCGCTAGACTTGGTCGTTGTATGTCTGCTTTCGAGATCTCGAGGTCCCGAGATCTGTCAGGCCGGACTGCGGTTGTAACTGACCTTGCGCTTGCCGCCAGTCATGGTGACGTTGACGAAGCGGCGAGTGTAAGTGAGTCTCTTCTTGGCGCGGCCCTTAGGAGTCTTCTTCTTCTCCTGCTTCTCGACCTTAGGGGTCTGAGACTTGACCTTGCCTGTATTGCGAATTCGTCAGATTGGTGTTTCTCATCTTTTGCCAGATCGGTATCGGTTTTGATGTTTGGATGTGCAGGGGTCGTGTGATTCGGAATCCATGATCTCGTTCTCCTCGATGTCGTCGTCTTCGTTATCGATGATGATCGGTGGGATTGTGATAGTGGTGGTGATGGTGATGATGGGACACAAATATCACTACGGGGAGAAGCAACATACCGGCACGGGCCAAACTGTTCACTCATCGTTAGCATCGCTGTTTATCTATCATCATCATCATCACATCATCAAGAAAACCGGCATGGAGCCTGGCAAAACAACATACCTTCCGTGAACCTTTCCCATTTTCGGTTATTGCGGTGGGCGCGAGAAGACTACTGTGGTTGTCGAAGTGGTAAGGCCTCTTGCCGTCAAAAGGGAGCAAAAATCGAGACTGGCAGGAATACTGACCTGGGCGGACTGGATTTAGCGATTAATTGTGGGAGCTGCGGGGCTCGTCATTGGGGCTCAAACCGTGCGCTCGCCTCCTCCCGGCACTTCGTTTTTTCGTGGCTCACGTGAGGTGGCGAAGGCCTCTGCTGTGGCGGGCAATTCTTGGCGGCTTGGCAGTTGGCGGGCTCTTATCGCTTATCAGGTGATCAAGCACATGATCGCGCGTCCTTTGAGGTTTGGGAGAAATGTGGGCCTCAATTTCTCGGCTGCAGAGCGCTGGACTGATTCCAGGTTGTTGAACCCCTGGCGGTTTTTGGCAACTGAACCGTTCGAACTTTCCATCACTTCATCTCAGAATTGTTGTCACAGTCGGGTGTACGTGTAGTATGCATACAAAATGCCACAGTTCAAACATCCTGTTCAGATCAACATCCGCCGGCACGGTAACGACAAACTCTGACAACAGGATTACCTCTATCGCCAGCCATGTCTGTCGATCGCTACGGCAACAACTTCACAGCGACAATGACAGGGCCATGAAGTGCTGACGACTCCCACTTACACCGGCCGCAATGCCCAGACCAGTCACGTCACAGAGCACTGAACAAGCGGGGAATGAAGACGCGGCCCGCTAACACCAATCCGGGGTCAATCTGCAGAGCGCCCCGGCACCGATGGCGAGATCCTGCAGGTGCCACTTACACGGAGCTGCTCCCGTCTTTTTATCTCGTCGACCTTCCTTCCCTCTTGATATTTCAGTTCGACAGGACTTACACACCTCAAGCGTGAAATTGGCAGGGAAGACGTTTTCTTCTCAACCACAACACTCACTCCCTCCCTCTCGACCTACATATTCACGAGAGTCAGTGCTTCACATCACTGATCCATATAAGTCCCGGACTTATATCGTGAAAACCTCGAACCATCATCGGCGCCCCTTATTCGGCAGCCACCACCACCAGCGTCGCCCGTCATGAAGCCCATCGCCTTGAGCGCGCTCCTCACCGCCGCGGCCGCCGTCGCCGTGCCGGGTGAGTATGAGAACAAGCCATCGCAGCCATCACAGCCTTTCAAGCACCGGATCCCGACCTCCTACGAGTCGGCCGTCATGGCGCGGCGCATTCTCGCGCTCACTCCCCTCGGCACTCTGGCCACCATCTTCCCAGCGGCCTCCAATTCTTCCTCGATCATGACCGAAGAAGAAAAGAACAACCCGAAGATGCGGGAGAACCGGCCCGCGGAAGTGGCCGGCATGCCCCACGGCTTGATGGAGTACATCTCAGACTGCGAGTACGCGACCAACGACGTCGGCAACCCGACGCTTCTGGCCATCAGCATCGAGACCTCGTTCAAGAACATTGCCGCCGGTAGCAATGTTTCTTTGGCGGTGCAGTGGACTCCTCCTCCTCATCATCGTTGGCCTCCTCATGGTCCCCCGGGGCATAAGAAGCCTCCTCACCATGGCGATGATGACGAGCATGACCACAAGGAGCACGAAGAGCATGAACACGAGGACCACAAAGACCACAAAGATCACAAAGACAAAAAGCACCACAAAGACAAAAAGCACAAGGACCACAAAAAGAAGCGCCCTCACCACCCCCGACGCTTCTCCCCCGCCGCCCTCCCCCGCTTCTCCCTCCTAGGCTACGTCGAAAGGATCGAAGGCGGCGACGACCGCAGCCAGGAAGGTTCCATCGGCTCGCAACTCGCCTCGTGCTTCACCAAGGTCCACCCAGACGCCAAGTGGTGGCTTCCGGGCAACCGGATTCACGAGTCGCACTTTGTCCGGCTGGTGGTGACGCAGGTGTACTGGATTGGCGGGTTTGGCGATCGGGCTTATATCGGCTGGATCCCTGTTGATGAGTGGAAGAAGGTCACAAAAGAGGAGTGGGAGGCGATCAGGTTGCCGGGGGAGTGGGAGGGTCATCACGGTAAGCCGCATGGACCTCCTCATCCTCCGAAGCATGAGAAGCCTGAGGATGGTGGTGATGAGGGAAGTGATAGTGATGGTGAGGATGAGGGAGAGAAGCAGACTGGGACTGAGAAGGAGAAGGGGTGGGTGGTTGTTCAGGATGGGAAGAATGAGGATTATGGTGTGAAGGATCTCTAAGAAGTAAGGTTTCGCGGAGTGTCTACTATGATGCAACCAGGCAAAACTCTGACAGTACGTGTTTTACTATTCTCGATTTACCTTGCTGGAATGGATGGAAGACGGGAGTGCGCTTTTCCTTGGATATCACTTACCTAGATTATGCTTCCATCCACGCCAAGCATTTTGTTTGTACCACAAGCCCGATATTATACCCAATAGCTGAGATAATCAATCTCAAGATACAGCCAAGCCCTTCCTTACATGCTTTTTGCGATTGGTTCATCCAATGCGAGCTCATCCATATTAGATTTCGGAAATAGCCTATTCAAGGTAAGATCACGCTTTGGTCATGGAAACGAAACGAATCAATTACATAGATATAAAAACGCCTAGGGAAGTTGACACCCGAGGTCTCGAGCTAACAAACAAACCAGTATTGATTGGACTGTAGCTTGCTCACACAAACCACGGCAGAAGAAGGAAGGAACAAAAGATCAAAAGGGAAAGAAGCAATGTCACTGTGTCACCCTAGACACTATATCTGATAATTCCCAAATATGCCCTGTCAGCTGTCAAGCCGCTGCCGTGACGCTGCCGCCCTATAGGGGGCTTACCACACGGAAACGCAAGCTGACGACACGGCTCGGTTCAATCCCACGAGATGGAGGGGTGACAGGATGGAACCAAAGTGTTTCATTGGCGCGTACCAAAAATTGTTGTGTGCCGCAATTTAAAACCAGCAGCTTCTTTGAAAACGGGCAGGCAGGCAGGCAGAAAGGAAGGAAGGAAAAGGTACCATGTATAACGGTTTAATTTCCCGTCGGGCTGCCTATCGTGAGGTCGGATGGATGGGGCTTGGATCCTACCTGGGAAAAGATTTAAGCATGGAACGATTGCCGTGGTTTCGTTAGCGGGTCTTTGATAACCACTTCTGGAAGGATTTTGATTCAACCAGCGGCTATCGTCGCGCGAGTAACTAACTGGCTAACAGCAGAAAAGAGAATGAAATGATGGCAGACTCAATCGTGATTGCGCTTGAGAGCGCTGTGGGCCTTTCCGCGGAAGCTCAGCAACATTCGGGGCCTACCTCTGCTCGACGACATGAACTCGGAGGGATGAGCAATGGCGATGGCGATGCTAACGCGGCCGAAGATCCCAAGGCACACAGGCCAATAGAAAGACGAGCCACGGGCAACGGACGGTTTCCTATCCGTGTCAATGGCTCCAGAGTTAGCTCTTCATCGACGACAGCATCTACGGTTACCGTCGTTTCCCCCGCGGATTCGAAACCGCCGCCGATTCCCCAGAGATCGCACTTCAGGGGCGTATCCCAAAGCCCGTCCTTGGTCAACAAAAAGCCGGGGTTGATACCCCTTGCCCTACAAAGATCCAAGGGTGCGGGTTTGAGAAGCAGTTCGGTGCCTCCTAGAACTTCTCAGGGTCTGAAGCCAAACGGGGCCCAGGTGACTGGGACTCGGTTGGCACGAGCTATGTCCTCGGCGGAGGAAGGTCGGTCTGAGATGGATACTGTTGCCGGAGATACGATTCGCGTGGCCTCTGGGAAACCAACCAGCAGTCAACCTAATGGAGCAAGTCAGGTTAGAAACAAGCCGGTGTTCACCAACCCTTTCAGACAAGAAAGCGCGACACTTGGAAGACCCTCCAGCGTCTGGGAACTGTCAGTCCTTCCGGTGCGTCGGCATGCTTCTCAGGGCCGCGAGCCGCTTCTTGAGGTCGCTCGTGGCGTTCTCTACTCAATCTCACAAGTTCATTCGTCTGTTCAGAGCATGGCGAATTTCGTCGTCAACCATGGGACCGGATCCAGCCTGGAAGCCGCTTTTGAGAAAGCTAGTTTCCACTTCCATGAGCTGGAACAAGCTATCCATGTTTTTGATCTCCCGACTGGCACACGAGGCGACGAGCGTCCGAACCACAAGCCTCTGCAGCAGGCTCTGTCAAGGCTTGTCAGCGCCTACATCCAGATCTGTGGTGAACTCACCGGCCATATCGACATGTTCGTGGATAATGGGGACGAGAAGTATATCCGGACCTTTCTTATGCTCGTGTACCATAGCATCATGGAACTCCGCACAACCATGCATGGATGGCTGTCCACAACCTCAACCACGAGACCTCCTCCAGTGCCTGATTTTGACGCCGCCGCGACGCTCAAACCACGACGTCGGACACCAGGGTCCATGACTCCCACGCCGTCTGGAAGAGGTTCAACAAGAAACCATTCCCCATTACCGTCTTTCAAGGGCCGCAAGCCCCCAGGTGGCCTTGAGTCCGCTCGAGGAGGCGTCAACATGCAAGTCAGGACGGACTTGCCTTATCCTGGGCCAGGGGGGGCTCCAACACGGACAGTAGCGGTGGCAGCAACGGATTCGGCTCCGACTTCTACTTCGGCAAAGAGCACCGGCATGACCACGGCGTCCACACTGGTAGCGACACCGGATATACGGCCGATGCCGACAACTCCAGAGCCACCTCCCACTGCCACCTCGTTCCCTTCTCCATCTTTCTCCTCGCCCACTCCTTCACATATGTCCAACAATGCCGCATCAGATGCGACTGATTCGCCGTTCGATGTGCTCTTCTTGACGCTGAAGTCGGCAACTTGTCAGATTCTTCACACCCTCCCGCCACTGAACTCTTTGTTTGCGCACTACCATCACCAGGTCCATTCCAGTCCAGCAATGTGGGAAGCAGCAAAGGCCTGGACCATCCTTTTGACCAGTGGCGTCAAAGTGCAGAAACAAACGGAAGCTTTGCGGGAGAGGCTGTCCACCTTGAGAGTTGGCGATCCGGCGTTATTCTCCCCTCCACCCGGCGCGCGGGCAAATCAGCCACAGAATGGTTCGGGCCACGGATCGGCATCGGGTTCGTTTTGGGATGTATGCGAGGGGCTGTACACCACTTGGGCAGAGTTTGGAGATCTGCTGAAAGCGGTGTTAGTGAAATCCAAGGATTCGGCAGACACAACAGAGCTTAACCCGAAACTCTCGCTACCACCGGAAACACTCAAGCAACTCGGCAAAATATCGCGAGGGCTCAAGGATGCAGCAGAATTGAATGTGGTGGTTAGGAGGCAGATACAGGTGCAACAACAGCAGCAGCAAGCTCAACCTGTCGCGCCGGCTGTCGTCATGTCGCAAGGGCGGAACAAGATCATGGTGAGAATGAGGGAACGCTCAAGGGCAAGAGAAAGGAGTATCAGTCCCAGAACGAGAGACATAAGCGCTGTTCGAGCGAGAACGCCGGCGGCGAGAAGGTTGCAGCAGATGCAGATGGAGATGCAATCACTCCCGCCTCTGCCCATGACGCCGCAGAGTGCAGCGCTGGGACCGGCGTTTAGGGCTACGAAACCCTCTCCTTTTGGGTCATTCTCTGGGTAATGGGAAGGAGTGAATGGATTATGGTGGCGAGTGGGTGGTTCTTTCCATTTTCACTTGTTTCTGCAGGTGCTTTGCAGTGGTGATCTCGGCCATGATGGATGATGGAAGTCGCTTTTTGGACCCACAAGCCACAGCGTGCATGTATAGGTAAGCCACGCGCTGGTGGTTGACAATGGGTTGGGCTCATTGGGTTCGTGATCTCTGTTCCGTTACAACTCTCTACTGTGCACACTGCAGCCTACTAGTCGGCCTATGTAACCTCGCCGCTGTCAGCTTCTTGGCCCTTCATCTTTGGATCTATCTGGAAGAGTTCATCCGGACTTCCACCTTCAACACCTCATCGACACCACTTTCATCGTCACGCCCCCTTGGCTACTTAGGCGGATGCGATCCGTCGCCTGCTCCTCGTTATGCAACTTTTAGCTCGACAACGGCTATGATATCTTGGTAGGTTGATCCACAAGCTATATATCTTCTCTGTTCAAGCTAACCAAGCGTTATTCCAGTCTGCCTTGTGGTTGAGCAGCGACTACCCTCAGACGACGCGATTCGCAAAGCAAGCGAAAGGTCGTTAAGAATAAACCGAACACGTCACGGTCGATACATTACACCTTGGGTATACTTCTGTACGCATCCATGCGTCTTTTGTACACCATCTGAGCAAAATTCAACACCTTTCTTGGATTGAAGAATCCCTGGTAGACGCTAGCCGACGTGCCTTCAAATCAATACGAGGCATATCACAGTTTTACAACGGGCTTTCCAAGCTAAAACGACCGCCCGGCAAGCTATGGACAATCAACACGCCCCTAAGCTGGGGCTAAATCAGCTCTGTGACCAGGTTGCGAGCCTTTGCTTCGAGACATCATCCACCAAGCAAACCATGGACGATCAACACCCTCCTAAGCTAGGGCTGAATCAGCTCTGCGAGACCTGTGTCGACAACATCTTCCCAAAGGATAGGGAATGGCAATGGCTCAAAGAGGGCTTCGACGACAAACCCGAAGAAGAAAAGCTTATTGGGCCCTTCACCTTGAAGCGTCTTCTTGAAGCTGTGAAGACTGGTTGTCACTTCTGTACCATAGTGTCGGAGAGTATCCGCCAGATGGAGGACCTACTTCGCCCTAGAGGCTATGGGGATCTTTGGGGTACTCAAGAGCGTTACTTCTTGTTGCCCCACTGCGATTCAAGAAGTTATGCATGGTTCGAGATTGATTTTAAGTTGGGAATGAAAGTCCAGTATCAAAACTTCAGCATCGATGTTTCTCCCGCCACTGTCCTGAATCAGGATGACTCTTACCAGTATAGCCACTTTCGATATGGGAAGATGGTGCAGAACCAGTCGTATACCAACCTCAGCGAGCAAACTTTCGACCAGGTCAGACAATGGTTACAGACATGTCAACAAACGCACACGATGTGTAACACTCGGTCCGGGTCTGAGCCGCAGTTGGGACGACCGCCCGTACGGTTCATCGACTTGGGAGTCGATGCAACTCATCCGGTCAGACTGGTTGACCGTCAGTTGACAGGAGACGACAAACCGGTATATATCACTCTCAGCTATCGTTGGACAGCAGAGATAGAGATGTCTCAGACGACGCAAGCTAACAAACATATCCATTACGACGCAATTCCTGTTAGCCGGTGGCCACAAGTTTACAAGGATACTGCATCAATAGCACGCCGTCTTGGTGTACGATACATTTGGATAGATGCCTTGTGTATCATACAGGGTGATCACAAGGATTGGTCTGAGCAATCTCAGATGATGGACATGGTATACACAAACGGGTTTCTCAATCTTGCAGCCATCTTGGGTGAAGAATCTCCCGGCCTTGAGTGCTATCGGAACCCTTTGAGCATCATGCCATGTGTCGTGACTCGGGTTTCTAGCAAAGGCAATGGGGCTGGCGAGACCAGTCACTGGATGCTTAAGATGGATGATAGCTTCGAGTATTCTGTTCCCTATGCCCCTCTTTACAAAAGAGGGTGGACATTGCAAGAACGAGCCTTATCAACAAGGACGCTACATTGCGGCAAGCAGCTCTATTGGGAGTGTATGGCATCCACAGCTCCGGAGTCATTCCCTTCGCTTCACTTCCAGGATCGAAAAATGTTAATTTCGACGTGGGGAAACCCTGTCCAATGCTTGAAAAGCGTTCTGTCTGACGACGGTTTTTTTCGGACTTTCGGCTCTGAAAAAGACCCCCGTCCCCAACCCCCAATTCATTCTAGACATCTGCGTCGGCACCGGCAACCAGGCCTTGATAGTCATAAGACTGTCGTTAACATTTGGAACGACGTTGTTGAGGCATTCTCAGCCATGTCACTGACTAAGCCGAGCGACAAGTTGGTTGCGCTCCGAGGTATCGTTAACAGACTGCAAGGTCAACTTGAAGATGCGGAAGTAGTCAGCCAATATGCATCAGGCCTATGGAAGATTGGGATTTTCTTTGAACAGCAACTATGTTGGTGGATGTCAGAGCGTTACGCTCCCCCAAGGCCTGAGCTGGATCATGATCTGGCTAAGCATTTTCCGTCCTGGTCATGGGCTGCGTGTGGCAACAGACTCTCCTTCCCCACCATCATGGAATCTCGGGAAACACGAAGGCTAGCCAAGCTTGAGTCGTTACATGGGACAGACGATAACACCACAGATCCACTGGGGCCAGCCAGGATTGTTCTCCGTGGCGCACTTATACCTTTCATCAACGCTGAAAAGATCCTCACCGATGGATTAAGGCAGCCTGTCGTCTCATGGACGGAGGAGAATCCTCTCAAGGAGTCGAGCATGTGGATAAGATTCGAAGCAATGTATCCGGATAAGCCAATTGACGCAGAAGCAAAAAAGAAGAAACTCAAATTGCTCCCGTTGTATTACGATTACTATCACGGAGTGTGTACAATGGAGGGTCATGTTTATGGTCTTCTCCTGGACTGCGTTGGGACTCATGATGGGCGATCACTTTATCGTCGATTCGGCATGTTCATGTCGGACAGAACGACAGCGCGCGAATTCGATGGCCTGGAAGACCTTTTCTCGTTGGATAAAGCGATAAAATCGGGCAAGCTGTTCGGCCCGAGGGAGGTGACTCTTGCGGATCTGGATAAAGTTATTGAAGTAGACGGTTCCGACGAACTCAATTATGAAAACCGTTGGATAGACTGGATTTTCGACATAGCAGAGGAAGAAGAGGCGGTAGACGGGATCCCAAAAGAGCTTTACGAGAAACTCCTGAAAGAGCCCCAGATTTGCCTGATATAAGCCAGGTCAACATGTCAGCTCTTCTCTTTTAGCATATATGTTATACGCATCTGATTTCTTTTTACGTTCAACGGATATCTCTTTCTTCTTTCTCCTTCAAATCTCCTTCACATCTCGCAGTGTAACTTATTTTCTTCGCTACAAACTCGCAGATACTGCGCTCATCTACAACGAGTTTTTTTTCGTGAATCAACCATGTTTACAAACGCTTCTTGGATGTCATCGCCCGAAATTTCAATAACAATAAACCAGACAAGCACCATCATCGTAACCGTACCTTTACCTATGCAGCAAGACACCCAGCTGGATCGGGCTGGATCGAACAGAACTGCCGCTGGACTTGGATCTCTCTATAGACAAAGACCTCGCAAGGCCCAGGAGCAACTTTCACCTCAAGAATCGCCTTCTTATCTCCTCCCATAGCATCACCCACAACAAAAATCCATCCACACATCCGTCCTCACAATGTTTAACGTCCACCACACAGACGCCTTCCAGCTCTTGCTGCCAGTTCAGCTCACAATCTAATGCTGCTTTGTTTATTAACTGTTGGTACTATTAGTATTTTGGACGAGATCTATCCCGAGCTAACCCAAACCTTACAAATACGCATTGAAATGATTACCTAAGTAGTAACTAGAAATATTCAGGGACAAGTCGGAAATGCATTAACAAGATTAAACATGGCATATTCAGCATCAAATTAGCATAGAGGTATTCAAAATAGACCAAGTTTCTATCATGAAACAAAAACGCATGGATGACATCTGAAAACGCCTAGGGAAAGTTGACCCGAGCGAGGTCTCGAGCTAACAAACAAACAAACAAACAAACTAGTAGAGTCTATTGGACTGTACAAACCCCAAAGACATATCTAGTTCTTGCACCTCTTTCCAACTCGGGTAGGCCGAGTACGAGACCAAGCAAAGCCATATCACGCAGGCTCAAGTGTCGATATTGGCATCGATGTCACAGCTGATGTCTATTTCCTACATGGCGTAAATAGAACTTGAAGTGCAAGAGTAGCAATGTTCCAGCATCGGATATCGACTGACAAGTTAACACATTGACCGCCCCCCAGCCAGCCAGCCAGCCAGCCAGCCACTTCCCCTTGGTCAATCTCTATCGCGTACGTAGGTTTTTCCTGCTCTCTTCTCATCCCTCTCTTCCGGGCCTCCCGGCTGGCTGCCTCTCAATCAACTGTGCTGCAACCCCTTTTAATCACAGGCCATTCATCATCGCCCCTTTCTTGACGGCTTGTCTACCTAGACAAGGCAAGGCGAGTGAAGGCCAGACAAGGCAGGCAGGACAAGGCTAGCCCAGGCAGGACAGGACAGGCACCAGCGTCGTCTTGAAAACTCTCTCGTATCAAATTCAGCCAACAACACCCAAACCAGTTAACAACACTCACAACCTCCATCCTCAAAAGGCTCGCTAGAGACACTGACTACCTGGAATAAGAAGCGGATACGGATACTCTTGCCATCTAGCCCGTCGTTCCAAGTAGGGACAGTATGATGAGGTAACTGATACTCAACACGCCTGTCACTTGCTGTCACTGTATGGTATGTACATAGTTTCTAAATCGGGATGAACAGCGTGAGATGAGCTTCAGACTTCCAGTATCCAGACTCAATGCTCAAGACCAACAAGCAAGAACCAACACGGAAAACCAACGCGGAGGAACAAACGAGCATGAACCAACGAGCATGAACCAACGACACAACTTAGGTTGTGTGATAGCAGTATCTCTAGTGTTGACAATACATAGCCCTCATGCCATTGTGACCCCGGTGACTGGCCAGCCCAAAACGGAACCATGAAGTTAAGTTCCAGCCTCATCAGCAACAGCCTCACCACCAACAGTCCAGTCACATAAGGGTACGCCAACCGACCCCATATCCTCCCCATCAACCCCATCAACTCCATATGTAGCCATCAACTCGATAACTCCTTCGTAACTGCCAAGGCAAGCCCGGATATGAAACAAGACCCATTAAGTGGGTCCCGAAAAGGCCCCAATTCCAGGCAGACTAGGCGGCGATCAATGGATCACAGGGTACTTCGGTCCGGACGAACTCATGGCTCATGTGTGCTCATGCACATGTGGAAGGTCGGATGTTGTAAGTTCGGAACAGATATCGGAGGTGTTCCGACCTCTTCCGGTGTGAGTCACTCGGTCGGTCACTCGGTCTGCCTCCCTGGGGTGGGTGAAGGTTTGGTGTGGAATTTGCCCCCTTCTCCTTCGCTCCTTCTCTTTCCCTCCTTCCCCGGGGGCCACTCGCTCATAACTTTGTTTGCGAATATGGGGTGATTTTGTGAATTTGAGATTTGACTTTGTGTGGTTTTTACTTCGGGATGGAAGCTTCGTGGATCCGCGACTCCGTGCCTCCGGGGTTCCTTCCATCCCGGTAGCGACTGACAAGTGATGCTTCAGACGTTGGATGCCAGGTGGTTGGTTGGTTGGTATGCCCACAAGAGATGAGAATGAGAATGACCGGTATTGCTCCTGACAACTGCCGAACGGACGACGATAATGAGACAGAAGATGCCACTAGACATGGTACACACGCTATTGGATCGCGAGGATCGTGTGAACGATGAACCGAAATGAGGAGGCGAAAACTTAAAACGTTTGGGCCTGTCAGGCCTCTCTCGTGCTTCTCATGCCTGTCATCCGTCTCATGCTTCACGGGTCTTCAGCTTCGTGCCTTCGTGCCTTCCTTATTCGTACCTCGTACCTTCCTCATCTTGACGAGAAGGCGGCTATGAGCGGCTGGAGGGCCCATCCAGTCATACATGGAAAGGACGACAGTATGGTACGGGGAAAGTGTGAAGCAGAGTTTTCCCGCCGTGTGACACAGCACAGCGCGTGGCGAGTGATCTTGAAGAAAAACCGGATGGCAACCTCACTTGGGGTTTGCGATCCGTCCGTTCCGGTGAGGTTTGTTCCATGAGATCCGGATGGCGAACGATGAGTGTGTGAATGAGCGAGTACGTAAGTGAGTGGATGAGTAGATGAGACTCACGCGAACAGTCTTATGATGTGACAAAGGGATAGAAACAACTTACCACTCACTTACCTCACTCACTTGGCATCATGTCATCCGTATCGTTCATTGATCGGTCCATACGTAAATCTCGTGTCGTGTCGTGAATCCGTTGCGGCTGGCTCGGTAGGCCTCTCTCTGAGTCTCTGGTCTCGTGATCAAGCTTGGCTTTCTTGTTTGGCTCACAGTTCGTTTCTCTTTGGTTGCGAACGGTTGGCGCAGGCACGAAAGAGGAGGCAGGCAGAACGGGCACGGTGTGCAGATAATCTGAATCTGTGCAAAAAGCATGTCAGAACACATTTTGTGTTTAATAAAGGTGTTCGATTTTGATAAGTTTGCAACTAGACCCATCCGGCTGGTTAAGCAACCGGGTGTGTGTGTGCTTGTCTGTATAGCTCCATTTTGTTTGCCTGTAAACTAAACTCGACGATCGACCGATGATACGAAGGTTTCGATGTTCTCGGTGCGTGCGCGTGTGTTTAACGAAGGGACGGACGGAGGAGGTTCGAGAGCGGTTCCAAAGAATGTGTGAAATTAAGATTCCAAATCTTATTCGTGTGGATTGCCAAGTATGGCTTCTTAAGCATAGCGAGAGAGTTCAGGAACCTGGCAAGCCATTCGACTTCGTCGGTTTGGTCGTCCGCGAGTGAAAGCCGTTGTCGGATATTCCCAAGCCAAGGTTTCTCTGCTGCGTTTGTTCGTATGCGCTGCCTTTGCGCCCTGCTTCTGGTTGCAGTTGTAGAGATATGTGCTCCTCCAAAATCCATTATGCTCATAAGGACGTTCCATGTGCTTGCCTCCCATGCCCTGAATTCGCCAAGCGTCCAGAAGACGCGGATATCATCGTGCGTTCGAAAACAACAAATAAAGGGGAAGAAAAAAAAAGACTGTAAACCACAACAAACAGACACAACCATCGCTCCTCATCGTACACTAAACTACAGCCACCGGTTCGCCAGCGCAAAAGGCAAAACAAAGCACGAGCCCAACCATCCCAATGCCGTTTCCCAGATCCAGGACAATGCATGCAAAAAGTGCTTTTAGCCTGTTTCCTTGGGTGCCCCATCTAAGCCGTCTAGCTTGATGTTTCCAAGGTTGGACTGCAAATCTTAACTCCAGCGCGCCGCCTTCCATTTTTCCCCAAGTGAACATATAGAATTATAAGCTTGTCACAAAGGCAGGTAGTGAAAAAAATGTGCTGCTAAATGCGGACGTGACGTAACGTAAAGGATATTACGAATAATAATCGCAACTGCTTAGCAAAGAATCCCATCCCACATCCCGGGACCACCGATACCACCCATGGCGGGATGAAGTGATGGGATTGCAGGCCGAGCGTCTTCCACCGAGAAACAGAGCCGCTTGTAACTCTCATCGGAGAAGGAGCGGACCGGCATCTGGCGAGATGGGTTCACAGAGTCCATGCCAGAAAGAAGGTCGCGAACGTTGTCCTGCAGAGGCTTGTGGGTGGAAGGAGCCCTAGCACGCTTCATTCCCGCTCTAGCCGGAAAATCACTGCCCTGACGGCGCAAGTCTTGAAGAGCAAGTGCAGCGACCTTGTAGTCATTGAGGTTCTGGCCGGCCGGATCCATGTAGCAGGACTCGGGCGAAAGCGTCAAGGTATTGCCTCCATAGGTTTCGTGAGCCGAAACAACAACTGGCTGTAGACCATACTTCTCACCCTCCTGCTTTCCATACTGGTAGCGCGCCTGAGCATCCGAGTCGGACGACGGCGCACTTTCCACGGAAGTAGCGGAGAAAGAAGAAGATCGGGACAGTTGCGACGAATCAGAAACCATGGATTCGGGGGAAGACGCAGTAGAGACGCTGTTGGCAAGAGACGAACGGCGGGTAAGATAAGGGGGGGACGAAGCCGAAGGCCACCGATCCGAGAGCTGAGCAGCCGTTGCGTGCGAGACCTGCTGCATAGCATATCCCATCGACGAGCCCTTTGCAAGAAGACAAGACGCAGCACTCACTGCAGGAGTACTGGTCATTGCGCGCAGCTGAGGAGTAGGACGGGGGCTCGGGAGCAAGCCAAGCGCCGGAGCCATGCGGCACTCCGCTTGCACGGCGAAAGGGCTCGGTTCCATAACAGCAGGGGTTGCCATCGGAGCCGGAATCCTAGCGCGGCACTCAACCTTGCTCTCGAAAGGGGAAGAACGCTCAAACGGAGGCGTGTAGAGCGATCTGGCGACAGCCGGCACAATAACAGGCGATCTCTGATGGAACCAGGAGGCCACTTCCTCGACGTTATCCAACTCTGGAGTCAACTTGCGGATAGCGTTCTTGTAGTTGGCGCATTGCTGCTGATAGATCTGCTGGGCTGCAGAACCAGAGCAGGGTGGAAGCGACGGGTTGAGCTTGGCCATGCACTCAGTCCACCGCTCATATAAGTGGTCTGGGATGTGCAACTTCCAGTTGACCGCCAAGAGGAAAGCCATCTCATTCTGGTTGATCTCCTTGACATTGAGGCCAGAGATCTTGCTCCAGGCCTTTGCCGAGTAGTTCCTGTCCTGCAGATACTTGGAAGCCAAAATCAAAGCAGCAAGGAACATGCGGCGCCCACACTGGAGACCCGGGTTCTCGAGGCAATCGCGAGACTGTTCCATGGTGAAGTCGCAGGCAGGGACATGGGGCTTGATCAGGATCAAGTAGTACAGTGCAACCGTCAAGGTGGAATAGCTGGAACGCGAGCGCTTGAGCGTCTCCTGGATAAACTGGCGCAGCGAAAGCCCCGGATTCGCTCCATTGCCGTTGCGAGGGCAGGCCGAAGACAAAGGCCAAATGGCTTCGACGGTCAAGGTGGCTGAATCTAAGAAAGAAATTTGAGCATATGTCCATCTAGAAAACCGGTAATAGATACTCCTTACCGACAACGGTGTCAACGAAGTTAACTTTGCGGTCATCTTGTCTCACTAGAGAGGGCGGATGTCCGGTACGAGAGGTCGCTGAGCGGTTTGTGCGCCGGGGGTTTTGTCTCAAAAGACGGTCGCCCTTGGCCTGTTCAGTGCAACTCTTTTGCCAGTGACTAACATGCTTTACGGACGGTTCACAAAGGCTCTCGACAGAGCTGATGGAAGTTTGCGACGAGTTCGAAAACTGCGTGGGGAAAAAAAAGGTGCGGTAAGATTGTTCGGTGTCGGATGCGCTCGAGCGGGAATCATCCGAGTCTTGGGACGAAGTAGTGTCGGACGGGACCGAGATTAAAGAAACCGAGAGAAGGGAATCGACGGAGGTGTAGGAGGTTAGGGTGGTTGTGGGATATGAGGCGTTTCGAAGAAGCGAGCTGCAGCGGGGGTGCACGCGACGTTCGCTGTTGAGATTCATGGTGCACTTATGGTGGTTGAAAGCAAAACCAAGTACCTCCAGCCGCCGTCAAGTTGTAGTATCGACCGTTATAGTATTGAGCAGATCGTGAACCTATCGAGATGCAAGCTTCACCGGTAACAAGGCGAAGCAAAGTATGTCGAAGAGGAGAGAGAATATCCTAGAGCAGCAAAGCGCAGGAATTCAGAGTTCCACGATTGAACGGACCGGAAGATACGACAGAGACGGCGACTGGAGTAGTATGTTTAAGCGCAAGATGCATCGTTTCGTGGATGATTTCGCCGAGGTTGAACGGGGGCGAAAGGGGGGGTGCTTATGGTAGGCTTAGTATGCTACCACCATATGCGCGACTCGGAATGGGTGTTGTCTAAGTGTATCGTTTCGAGGTGGTTATGCGTCGTTGAAGGCGTTGTCGTCAAAGGCGTGAAGACCGTTGAATATGTTCGAGTCGGAGAGAGTAAGGAGTGTTGTTGTTGTTGTTGTAGTTGCGGTTAGCGTGTGGTGGGTTGGTGTGTAATGGTGTTGTCGTCGACGGTGTTGTGATGAGGTGGTTGCGATGCGATAGTGATGTCGGTGTGGGTAGGTGATGGTGACGCCGTGCAGACTGGATATGCAAGGTACAGACTGGGAAGCTGGCTCGATGTGGGGGAGGCAGACGACGTGTCTGGTCGGCTTGTTTTAAAAGGCGTGGACGGCGATGTGTGGTGGTGACGATACACCCCCGTTGTCGGATGGGAGTAGACGAGAAAGGGTGACTCTTCGCGGGCGCGTGTCCTTATCCTTCTGGGATCGGGGGGGCGAACAGCAAAACGACTCGACCAGCTGCCTGCGGGCACTGTGAGTGACTTGGACTTGGAGTGCGATAGGGACCTGATGGGCGGGTCTTCTTGGTCTTGCGCTGGACCGCTGACCTGCTGGGCCTGATGGGGACCTGATGGAACCGGATGGGGCGACCCTGGTCTGCCGTCTCCTCTTGCTCGATGACTCTTTTCGCACGCGCTGGCTTGGGCTTGAGTGGCGAAGGAGCCCTAGCAACGGAATCGATTCGATGCCGGAATTACAACGGATCGGAAATTTGTTAAGGAGGGTAACAGGTGGCTGCAACTGGCAGGGCGTTCACCTGTGTAAAATGTGCAAGTGCGATGTGCAATGTGCGATGTGGATGAGTGACGGGGTGTTCTTTCTGTGTGTGGTGACAGGTGCCTGTGCTAACACTTTTTTCTTCAGCGCACTTTTACAGTGGTGTGACCAGCCTCCCAAGACGGAAGCCTGAAAATGGATCTCGTTTGGCTGTTTTTAGTAGGCTCGGTTGTGGCGAACAATTGACGTTGCGGTGAGTTGTTTGCCTCTGCCGTGCTTCTTTGTCGTATGGGCAGGTGGTGTTGTGTGCTAAGGAGTGAGTCTTTCCCGCCGTCTTCAGCAGAGAGGGGAGTGAGTCGCCGGATACCGATTCGGTCTGGTGATGAATGGGAGGATAGGCAGTTGTCGTGTTTGGTGGTGTGTCTCGTTGAAAACCCTGACGGTCTGTATGACTGGTCTGGGCTCTTCCACTTGTTGGTCCTTGTTGATTTTCCTTTGTCGCAGGGTCAAGCGAATGCCGCACGGAAAAGGAGAATACGGCTTCAGACAAACACCAGGCAGCGACGCACAGAAGGGACGGGGCCTGGGAGAGACTGGGAACAATTGCGAGGGTGGGAAACTTGGTAGATTAAAAGAGCTTTTGGTTATTTGTTGGCGATGATGGTGGTTGTGACGACGTGGGCGTAAGAGAAAAGAGGCGTGCGAATGCACCAGATCTATCACGCAGACTACAAATTTGGGGGAAAACTTGAGTCGCGATCGTCTTAGATCTTGGAGGAATACATGGCTGCTGTGCTGGTCAGAGAAAAGGAAGGATTGAGAGACGAAGGCGTGGGTGTCGATGAGTTTTGAAGGAGGTGACTGTTCCTTCCCACACCAGAGTCGAGCGGATGTCGTCGGTACTCGACGGAGTAACAGAAGTTGCCGGCCCGTCCGTGGTATTTGGTGCATATGGGGAACTCCGGCAGTTAGCAGACCGGGGTACCTTTTTGCAAAGTTCCTTTCTGCCTGTTCGCTCCGCGTTGACGCAAGGGAATCACCTTCCATGCATAGAGCTACGATGTGCCTCCACTTCAGGGCATCATGGATCCGCTGCAAGGTCGCCTGGTCACTATCTGATGGTATTTGATATGGGAAGTGGATGGGGGGCAGGTCCAGCTGAATATCTACACTTTCGTTTCCATGATTTTGCCCTTTGCAAAGGATTTGCTTCACTTGACAAATTGCCCATGGTTTTGTACCTCTAAGCTTCCAGTTGTCCAACCGCTTCTCATCGTCGTTGTGGGCGCCATCAGACTCTTGTCCGCCCCTTTCTTTCTCTCATTGTTCAGACTCCCTTCGGCCGCCGGCACCAGATACTCTTTCACTCAAGACCGCGCGATATCACCCAGTTTCAACTCGAAATCGTGTGCAGCGAGAAAGGAGGGAAGGGTTGCAAGGCCGCAACACACTGATTGGCCCTCGCACTGCTATTGCTGCAAGTCGGCGGGGGTGCGGTTGTGTGCGACTTGCCATCTCATTCGCTGGTTTGCTCATTCGGATTCTTTCATCCAGAAACACCAGAAAGGCAGCACGGGCAAGAAAGGAAGGTTGAAGCAGACTTTGAATATCACCCTTGTCTAGTGTCTCCCTACCACCTCAAGCCTGAAGCGGCTTAGGCCGGGGAACGCGGGCGCAGACTGCATCATCACCATCACCACCACCACCAGACGCCGACGGTTTGTGGGATTGCAGGCAATGGAACGTCGTGTGTTCAAAGTGTGGTGGTAGATGGTATGAAGACAGTCTCAAGATTCTCATGAAGCAGATCGGCGACCCTTCAAACCACAGATGGTGTTGACGGCCCCTTTTCCAGAACTCCTAGGCTGAGTTTGCAGTGTGACTCAAATGGCGTCCAGCAAGCAACGCGCCGGTCGAGAACACAACCATAGCACAGCTGATGTGGCTCGAGAGTGGTTTGTTCCGTCCAGAGTGTGTGTGAGGTTGTACAGACCCAAAAGGCAAACCAAGAGGGGTCGCGACACATGTCCATGTCTTGAGGAGCTGCCGTTGCCACAGAAAAAGCAGCACACCATCATCATCCGGACGGGAAAAGCGAAGGCAAATCAGAGTCACCAACGGAGTTCTCGGTTGCTGGTGAGGTTGCGACAGGGCAGCAACATGATGTTCAAATGGAACTGTATGTTTGCGAGGCCTGTAAGGCCCACAGCAGAGCTGAAGGCGAACGTCTTCTCTCCCGCCGCAAGAGATGCAGCTTTGAGTCAAACCTTACATCACAAAGACAAACCTCATGGATGAAGGTGATGAAAGTCTGATTCCCTACTGTCGACTGCTGTGAATCACCAAGCACTAACAAGCACTAACAATTATGGAATTAGTCAACTCTTACAAGTGTCAACTGTCAAGGCCTTGATACCCCACCAGCCCCTCCTGCCAATCCCATCCAATCACCGCCGAAAGAAAGCCAAGCCCCGAACCAGTTCCCGTCTCCACTTGCTTTTGGGCTTCCTCGGCTTCCACTTTCCTTTGTTCCCTCCAGTAACGCATCGCCAAACTTGGCAAGCATTCTCGGCAGGCCTCTTTCTCAGTCCCTTCCTTCGCAGCCGCACCGCCATGACGATTGCCAGGTTAATTTTATCACAGCAAGCGCGACACAGCCTTGGAGGCATGCGAATCCTCAAGAGTCTGGATGTTTGCAAAGAATTTCCAACTTCACGGACGACAGTTTGACTCGGCATGGACTACTACATGCGTCTGAGGAAATCCAGCTGCTGGTTCTTCGGACCGGTTTCATACTACCTAGAGTGTTGACATCAACCCTCCCGGCCAACTCAAACAACACCCGGATATTCTGCCACTTTGCAAACCATCACAGACATGCATTTCTGACCATGATTATTGCACATCCTCGTCGTCGATCATGCTCTTCTGTTGGCTTTAAGTCGCGGTTATGATGGCGGTCGCGGTTGCGGCTGCGGCTATGACACGGCGACACGGCTTCCCCACATGATTCGGGCTTCAATCTTGCGGCTCAGGCTGTGCCAGTCTGCCAGAGCATCAACAACCGTCAATCCGCAACGCCTCCGCAATGCCTTCTTTGACGCTCCTGGCGATGCCCGCAGTGGTCAGTTGAACGTCAAAGTCTGTCTTTGTGAGACTGTGAATCCAAGTGGCAGCTGGCTACTTGCTTTGCAAAATAACACCACTCCCGCAGACTGTTCTGCCTCGTCTTTTTCGAATCCGAGACACTCGAGACATCACTGCAACCTAAACCAGAACTTGGAAACTATAGGCATTCCATGGTTCCGACAGTGTATCGATGACAACAATCCTCCTAATAATTGGCTATTCGCTATGAACCATAATGATGAGAAAAGCCTGTGAAGCCGCAAGAGATCACTGACAATCACGTTGCTCACGACCAATCCCACTCGAGCCATACTTGATGATCCGGTGTAATCCAATAGGTTCACCATGATCACTCATGGAAATGCGGCCCCGTGGCACAATATCGGACCTCCAATAGACCGAGAAATGGCGTTATAGACGTCGAAAAGGATCAGATAATCACCAGCCTTTTCTTCGTTTTCGCAAAACTCATTCAAGAGAGCAGGTGCCATCACCATCAACATGAATAGCCGTAATTTCAGTTGCTACAACGCCATGAAATTGGCCCCGGAGATCCCCGCGTTGCTCCACTTGTTCACTCGAACGCCGTGCGACCAACGGTATTGCCGTCGAAACGTCAGGCCAAGAGAGCCCCCGGACTTCATGCGTATGTAGCAGCTAAAACCCCAACCCTAGCGTCGCCCATATCGCACCGCGCCGCGCCGTCGCAACTTTGGTGTTTCACCATTCACCACCAAAATGAGTCAACTCTGCAATCTCTGCTGCCGTCACCTCATCCCGCGATAGTGACG